GGGAGTGGTAGCAGTGGAGGGGGTCATGGAGGCAGCGGAGGTCGTGGAGGAGGTCAATCTCTCGTTGGCTTGGCTTATGGATCCATCTATTACCCTGTGGACTATGGTAGCACCGGAGGATACGGACATCAGTACGGTGAGTCAACAGTGTCCTTATACAGTGGACTGCCTGGGGTTAGAGCCCTGAGCTAGAGTGTAATCTTTGCCAACTTGGAATCAGCTTATGCTGCCTTGTCAAAAATTTCTGAAAGGTCATTGTGTTTTATTTGCAGTGTGACAACCCATCCTGCCCAAACGGTATTTCTATTGGCAATTTCAGAATGTTAAGAGACTTCAAAGGTGCTCACATTTCCACTCACATCTGTGTAAATTGAACACTAACCATCAAAAATCACGTGACTGAAAATCATCTATTAAAGACGAGTTAAAAGATGAAGTACGCCACCTGGTGTTGAAAGACTTACCGAACAAATGGAGTCTGTGGTTTTTTCCATTCATAACTTTATTTCCAAGAGCTAAAACAAGGAACAGATTTCACAATGTTGATTAATTGTTGAAAATGCAGATGAAATCAGCTGATTGGGTTTTACCTTTGAACCATTCTTATCCACAGAAAGACATATTTTTACGGTGGTGTTTTCCCTCGAATGCAGTTTTTAACTGACCCCATAAGTAATCAATAAGCATATCACTGTCTGTTTCCTTTTCTCCTTTCAAAACTTGAGACACAAAATTTTAGAACGTCATTTTCATAGTGGACACGTAGCCATGATTATCCTGTTTCCTTACCAAGATACAGGCGACTATGCCTGTTCATTGATTCATTAAAAGAAATAAACAGTATGAAGAAAAAGTTACATTCAGCAAAACATATAACAAATTTTAAATAGCTTTCCAGCCAAGCTAATAAGCTGGTTTTTTTGTTCCCGCTGGTGTGTCATTTTGTCACTGCTTATAAAGTAGTGTACGGTACCAGCGACACACTCTTACTTTTCAAACTGACCCCGTAACTAATGGAGTGTGAAATCTAGTTATAGCCAAGGCTGTTGTAAATTGCTCCTCAAATTATCCACTTGTGCGTAATTATTTATGCACTGGTGACAAATAGGAAGGCTGGTATGACAGTGTATAGGTGCTGTCTTTGTCTGGTGAAAACACCAAGATACTGCCAATACACTAGTCACGTACATGAGGAGATCATTACTGCATAAAAAAGTTCCCTTTTCTCAGGACAAGAGAAAAAAAATCTTCCCCCTGCTTTTTTTATCTTTGGGAATATTTTGCCTTTTTGATCCAAATGACATCCTCCCAAATTTGAGTGGACATCATCTTATTCTTCTACTGAATTTAAATAACAGTTACATTTACCTTTGAAGTAATTTATTATTGCTTAGCAAGTTTCTGGAATGCAATTTAGCTGAGAACCAGTGATAGATTACAAGCAGTGCACCGTGACATTTTAACTGGCAAAAGGGTTTTCCAAGTTGAGATTTTTGCTCTTCACAATGCCAAACAGGGATACATAGGCATTTAACTATGAATACTTCACGGACTTGTTAATGCTATCGGGCATTTTCCATTTGATAAGATGTAGATCTTTTTTTATCTGTAATAACAGTGACGAAATTAGTTTGCTTTTGCATTTTTAACACATCATTGTAGGTATATGTACAGAATGCGGTCCAACATGCAGAGCATGCTTTGCAAAACCTATTCCGGTTAAAAATTTAGTACAATATATGCAAGTTATCACAAGCTTCACAAAGAATACAGTTTTGAAGCTGCGTGTACTTTATTTCTCTAATGGACAAATGAGTTGCTTTTTTAAACAGTGGATATTGTTAAATTTACCACCACGGCAGAAAACCATTGGCTTCATTCAAACTGAAGATTTGCCTCATGTATTTATAACAATCTACCGGTATTAACAGCTTTAACCGTGTCCCATGCCCGATCTGTCTAAAATTTGGCATGCTTGTAAAGACATTCAGTATGGTTACATCTGTGAGGTCTTCAATTTGACAAAGTGTTTGGTTGGTCATTTGTAGTTCACAACCTCAAGCATGTTTGACTGCATACAATGATCAAATCATGACCATTTTCACGAGAGACAAATTGGTCCCAAATCATGATTTTTCAAATTTCAAATTGCTGTTGCTTGACAAAATCACCTAGGCTATGTGGTGCCTACAACTTTGTGTAATCATTTTTACCAAATCTAATGAAATCACCCAAGTCATGATGATCTCTGTGTGGCAAAATTCAACTAAACTACATTCTTCATTTCCACGAAGAGACAAATTTGTCTTCCATAGATATGGAAAAAAGAGCAAACCGTGGGCAAAACGTATTTTATAGTTTGACTATGAGACATATTTGACTCCAGAAATGTGTGTATTACAGTGTTGCACTCGGCACAAACTATGGCAAAAGCATTGCTGTGTGTGCTGTGTTTGTGAAGGCACCAAAAGTCTCATAAATTTTAGCATTTCCAAAATCAGACAAACTTGTTTATTTACCAAAAAACAATTTGAATTACATTCTATTAATATTATTTTGTAGTTCTGTGTCCTTTAAGATCCCTTCTTTCATTGAGTAGCATTGCTTAAGTCAAAGGCATGCTAAATACTGAGAAAAAGATACCAACTTCAAATGCTATTTTCTCAAAACCTAGGTTTTACTCTCCAGTGAGAAATTTGTCTCTGTGTGAGAGCTGTGACAAGATTTGAGTGGCAAAAGTCAGTCCAAATATTTTGATAATCTGTCTCAGAAAAATTGGCATTTTGCAAAAATGCTTGGCCAGATTTGTCTAAACCTGGAACCAAAATGATAAACCCCTGACATACCTGAAGGCTTGACATGGTAAAATATGTTACTATTGCGTGGTGGGCATGTTGGAAAGGAGGCAGATGCCACCCTGGCACGTTAGGGTTATTTCATTCAAATTATACGTTACCCCAGTAGCTGCAAGTTTCTCAGTGAAGGACCTAAAGGCCAGATCATACTACAGGCAAAAGTGACAGTGAAGCAAATTTGACATCACGAAAAATTTGCAGCGAAATTTCACATGAGTTGAAATGTGTGCAACTTTTACAAATTTGCAATGCCAAGATTTCATCTGACGTCGCAAATACGCGTTCGGTTTTTGCTTTTGTACAAAGTGTTAACTGGCTTTCAGGCTAAGTGAAAGCCCTCAAGTGTGCATTTCTGCCATTTCCTAGAGTTTCTCAGTACTAGTTCTTGGCTATATCTGCAGAAGAGCTCTTTGCTTCTCACAAACAGCTGAGCAATTATATTTAGAACATACTGCATCATGTAAGCCTCTTCCGAATCTCTTTGAAATCAACATACAGTTTTCATGAGTGTATCGACTTGGTTGGCCATCACACCACAAGGTGTTAATCTTTGATTCATCAATTTCCCTCTCACCTTGGCACTTCCAAGCTGATGTCTCGTAGCGGCAGTTGATCCAGACCTCGTCAACACCCTCAGGCATCAGCTTGTACATGAGGTCGATTTCCCCCCAGCTCAGGGGCACGGCCAGTTGACCTCCGTGCTGGAGGCACTGCCTCTTTGCATTTTCAGATCCAAGGAACTTCTCTGAAGTTATCAAGTAGCAGGAGTCATTGGCTTGTTTCCATGCCAGAGGGCAGCCGCTCTGGACAGTAGATGGGCAGACGCTAGTGGCTGCAGTCATGAAAGTCTGCCCAGTAAGACCCAGGATCACAATAGCTGAAGCCAACATGGTTCACTTTTTTCAGTACAGCTTTCCACTTCAATTCCAAATTGAATGGCGCTTTCAGCCTCAATGGCAAAATCCTGATTTCTGCATGAATTAATTTTAAGCTTAATCTACCAATATATTGTATGAAAATCACGCACAGTATCACTTTAATTTGTCTCTCGTAGTCGCCAACTACTCAATGTTTGGCAGAGGTGAGCTGCTACATGTAGGTTTAAACTCCTCATGCTTCCTCGCACCCAATAACTTAGGATTTCACTCAAGAGTTTTTACTCAGATGAGATATTACCCCTGATCCAAGAAATGATGTTTGAGGTTTTGAATGGGATCTTTGTAAAGCTGGAAACATCTAAAGCAAGTCTTGTACGTAAGTAAACCTGATGAGTCCACGCCTCATGTTTGGTACTGTCACATATGGAATCACTTACTCAGCTGGCAGATCAAGATGTACTGCGTTGTGCGCTCAGTATCACGAGTGCAGTAGCTACACTGCATGACAAAGCAGGCAGTTTCTTTGAGTCACTTGCTTTGAGTCTCCATAGAGATACAAATAAGCCTCGTTGGTTGATTTTTTGTAATGTAAATTAAAGCCCTGCACCTTTGCAGGCATATGCATTTTGTACCAGGCCCAGCATCGCCCTAGTCACAGTATGCTTGCTGCAAAAATTTATTATAAATCATAAAAGGGCATAGAGAAATGCCATTAATTGAGCACCAGCATTTAATCACAACAAAGGCCGCCTTGTGTATACATATATCTGTAAAGACCCTTTTTATTGATGGCAATTACACATGTAATTGATGCATCAGCAACAAGCCCTTGCTAAATTGAAGGGTGTCGTAGAAAAGGCAATTTGTTTTTTTTTTTAACATGTACCTCTACTCCCGGGCTAGCCTTCCTCTTATACGAGTCTTTTCTCAATAGGTTGCCGTGGATACTGCTGTCATGGTAATGCCGAGAAGCTTTGCCGTCACTAGGAGAAGACAAGCTTACAAGTCCATCTCCTCTTAGTCCAATCAAAAATGTTTTAGCAACCAGCACACACAAATTGCTTATGTGGTGAATTATCTCCACATCAATGGCACATGTAGAAATTGTGGGCAGGCACTGAGCCATGTGCTTAATGAAGAGGAAATGCTGTACCCTTCAGACACCAATTTTCCCTAAGGTCGGAGCAGCTGCATTTGATTAAGCACACATTGTAAATGTACATTTTGTATGCTGATGTAAGCTGTGCCAGTTTTGTCCATATAGACCCTTGTGACTGTATCGATGAAAACATAGAATATAGGTCAAATGTGAATGTCATTTCTAGTCACTGCTGTGAAATTGAACCACCAATCAGACATTATGTTTGATACCGGTATATACATGTAGTTATGAGTTTTCAAAGATTTATCAATAGCCTAGATACAAATGATGAAGCAGTTTACATGTGTGTGCCTTCTATTCTGCAAAACACTTTTTAAATTGTTGTAGTTTGAAATCCAGTTCATCTCGTAAATTGGGATCTCCTAAATCATTATATTTATGATAGAAGCCTTCTGTGTTTGTCAGAGCAAGCCAGCAATCTTGCTTCAATCTGGCATATATCAGTATTCATTCTATCTACTTTGCAAGAAATCTGAATTCCATTTTGGTATGTGGAAAATTCTTTCGTTTCATTGTATTTTCCTCTTAACAATTTGATTGTGATTGTAGACCAGGTCTGTTTACAGATGCAGATGGGATTTGTGTAGTAACAGAATGTTTCATTAAAAGTGGGTGGGGCTGGAGGAGGACACAGCTCCACCCCTCATTACTGCCACCCAACATTAATCATAATCACGGACAGCCAAGAGAAGTCAAATATTTTGACAGCTTAATTTAAATTTCATAGCACTCCTCTCTACATAAAATTATACAGGTGAGCTCTATTTTGGTGACGAAAGGCTGAAGAACGTTGTCATCAGGCGTGGTATTGGTGGGCGCGGGGGCGGGGCTTTGAAGATAATGACACGTCACATGATTGTGGACGGCATCATCTCTGCTAATGGCGAGACCCCTGACAGCACACACAGCGTTCATGCAGGTGAGTATCAATGTCTGGAGATGGTTGTTCAGGAATCATGCGCTACCATACAGTATGTGGCCTAGTGGTAATAGGGTTTTTTAGCTTCCAATCATAGGGTCGGGGGTTTGAATCCAGCTGATGGTTGCATGTTGCGATTCAATATGAAAGGGAAAGTCACCAAAATATCTTCCCATGCAAAATTTACGTTGTGGACTCTTTGGAAAAACTCTGTTTCTCATCATTTCCTGAGGTGGTGGATCTGGTGGCAGCATCTGGATCGACTGCGAGGAGCTGGACGGTTATGGTCACCTGTCGACCGACGGCGGGAATGGGCGCAATAGTGGAGGGGGTGGAGCCGGTGGAAGGGTGGCTGTGTACCACCAGACAATCCGCAACTTCAATGGCACCATATCAGCTGGTGGAGGTGAGGGATGAATGCGAAGTTAAACATGAGGTACCTCGAGGTTGGCTCAAGGTTTTTACGAGGTTTGAAAGGATTTGAGGTGTTAAGGTGAATCCTCAAGTTACTCTTTGTTGAATTCTGCATACTTGTCTCATCAGATTCTGTTAGTAAGCACCTAGTGCTATGTGGTAGCATGTTATTGCTTGTGATAGCTTTTATGCACTGGATTGAATGCATAATAGCTATCACAACAACACTAAGCCACACTAAGTCTTTGGATTAAAATTTTAAAAAAATTGTGTTTGCAAAGTAATATGTCTGACCAAAATTCCAAACTGACAGAATAATTTATTTCACATTATTTTATTTCAAACTACATACAAAAGGATATGACAGAGACAGATATGCCCTTGAGTATTATTGTGAATGATGAATCAAGAAGTGTCTTATAGGAGTCGGTTTTTCAGGCCGGGGCAACGCCGTTGGTAAATTTGTTGAGAATTTTTTAACTTTTCAAAAGAAACTCAAAGAGAAGCTTGACTGTTGGTCTAACTGTTGCCTTTTGTTCATTTTATTACCCTGACAATGTAACTAGAGAATCTTGTTTGTTTTGTAGGTTCCAGCTCTTACGAAGTTGGCGGTGCTGGCACGGTATACATCGAGCAGTACATAGACAACGTGACCTACGCCAACATAACTGGTCAAAATGACACACGCATCACACTACACAAGACCCTGAAGATAAACAACAATGGCCGACCATATCCGCACGCTGCAACCTACAGCCATGGTGACCTACGGAATCTGCTTGACGGCAACTACGAGGATATCACCAGGTCTGGTGGGATAACATGGTTGTGGCATTCTTCCAACTCATACAACTTGGACGAGGTGAGGCTTCTTCTCCAGAGTTTTCATGGTCTGGGATTTATGTAGTAATATTTGTCTTAAGTGGCCTGTATACATGTACATGTCTGCGGCTACTACAGTAAACACTATTTAAAGTTTTTTCGCAGTTAGGAGATATATATGCAACCATACGTCTTAAGCCCAACCACGGGGGTTGTGTTTGTATTGCACATGCCCAATGTATATTAGACTCGCGTTGCAGCCGTTCATCAGTATATCAACAGTAAAAACACCATCAACCTGCGTGAATTGCGGTAGTCAAGTGGTTACAGCATAGTGGTTTGAGATGAATGGGGTGTGGGTTTGAATCCTGGGTCAAAATTGTGGGCAGGGAGGTTTTTCTTTTTAAAGGAAAATAAAGCCTGAATGTTGTAGGAGCCTAATTTCACACGTGAAGTTTTTATGGTTGGTTGAGCGTGTAGATGTCATGCATTGTGCATGGTTGTGAGCCGTGGTTTGGCTTCAAACGTGTGACTGCATGTGTAGCTCCAGTCAGTGTAAGTCCCTTCCAGTGAATGACAAAACTTTGAAACAAATGGAAAAATGAAAGATTTCGTTCATTGAGATAAACATGTTTTAAGCAAGAAGTTTGAAGTCTTGGTGTTCTTAGGATTTGGTCATTCACAGTAAGAACAGTAGCTATACACCGAAAAATTTCAGAGAGCCTTTTAGAAATACCTTAATAAGTTTCAGTGATTTAACCTGTCAGCTGCCCCCTGTGAATTTTAATTTGTGCCAGGCCAAGTACATTGCAGTTCAATAAGTTACTTTATGAATTAAATTTTTGAGTTTTTAAAAAATTATTTTAAGGGGACGGGGATGGACTGGTATCCAGACTCCCTCACTGAGATTGATCTGTTCGCTGGTTCTTGAATCCACAGGTTCATGTCCATGGCAACGCGCACGTTGCCATCCTGAGTGACACCTCAGTGGAGCAAGTTGAAGTGCGTGGTGGCAAACTGTTGGGTGATCGATCTGCTGTCCTACACATAGGCCGGAACCAGACCTTTGGCTTTGACTGGGTGGATATCTACTTTGCAGCCAATGCCATGCTGTACAGGTCAGCATCAGGAACATGCAATATTATTCTCTTAGAAAGAGGAACCAAAGGAAATTATGTGGGGAAAATGATTTATTCAGATCTCTGGAAAACGTATACATAGAGATAGAGCACAAGAAATCTTTGCTTGGCAAAGTGGTTTACATGTATCAGCTAATATTTCATATGACATGTACATGTATGATTACCAGTGCTCTTGAGTGGTTTTCAGCCAATTTTGATAAGTTTGGCAACAAAACTTGCGAAAGCAAAATGTTCTTAGCAGAAGGTGAGCCCCTAACCTCACTGAAGTAAAGATTGGCAATGACTATGCAGCCATTTGAAATTTTGACTGATCGCTGAATACCGCGTATGGTGCATTTGATTACTTTTCTCGGACTCACATGCATTATCGCTGATATAGATGGATGTTCTCAATCTGAGGTTATAGAAATAAACGATCTTCGGTTACTGAAATCCCCTGGCTGGGTCAAGAGGTCATAAGTCTTGCTCGTGTGATGTTGCCAAGTGTGCATCTGCAGTTTGGACTTCAAATTTACCTCATGCGCATCGAGCGCTCCACCTTCTTAAGATATATATTGTTGGATCAAAATGTATACTATTGTGTCCTATGGAAGAGATCTACTAGAATTTATCAGTTGACTTTGCATTTGAAAGCAGCAGACATCCAATGGTGCCGACTTTGCTTTGTATTGTGGGACGCTTCCCCGAATAACCCGCCCGACAAGTGGGTTCCTTTGTCCAGGTCCGAGTAAGTGTGAGAAGTCGCACTGGTGAAGATTTGACGACAGTCATACCTGTTTGATAAGTCCAGGGTTAGTAACTGAATGTTTGATACCTCTAACACTAACACTTCTAGCACCAACGGAGAGAATGTAAAGCGACAGATTTTTGTCTTCTGCAGATACGGCCAATTAGAGCTGCCCCCTCGACTCAGCATGCGTGATGTGTGGATGGAGATCAATGGAACCCTAGCTGACGTCGGCGACTTCACGGTGGACAGTGGGGGTATCCTCCACATGTGGTCCTATGGTAACTCGCGTGACCAGCCGCCGGGCCGCTACGAGTGCGTCAACATGACGGTGCGGTCCGACGGGGAGCTGCAAATGCTGACTGTGGCAGGGGAGAGCGAGTTCACCTTTGAAATGAAACGCTTTGTCGTGAATGCCGGCGGTTACGTCAGGACCAACCAGCTGCATGTTATCACAGAAGATCTAACTATTGATGTAGCAGGTGGGTACATGTTCAAGTGCATTTTGGGTACTTTAATTTCTTGCAGTTAAACTTTCTTTTGCCACTTCTGACACCGCTTCTATAGTAGCAAACTGTTGTATTTTCATGAGAGTTGCCAATTCCACAAATGGGCCTAACTGTCCTTATTACCAAAATTATATTTTAAGTTCCTTTAGGCACTGAAATGCTGTTAAAAAAATCCTCAAAATCCATAATCTTTTCAGTGAATGTTTAATAATGTGCAACCAATGTTGTTGTCCAGTCAACCACAATTTCAGACAAGTCCTGCAACCACCAAAAGTTGATCACTGTTCATCCATTCTCAAGTCATGTTGTGAGCTATTTACATGTACTTGAGACAAAGGCAATACATTATTATCGTTCATCTGCTATTACTTGTGACGGGTCCAGTGAATTGACTTTTTACCAGGCTTGTGATACTTCCATCTGCAATGTTTTAGAAGAAGCACAAACAACGTGACTTTGTCTTTTCCTTTCAGGCGACTTTCATGCTGATTTCAGTGGTCATGCCTTGGGTCAGGGTCGCGGTGCAGGCCAGAGCACGTCCAGAGGTCAGCGTGGTGGGTCTGGCGGGGGTCACGGAGGTCGGGGTGGGCGTTCCAGCAGAGGCATATACTCCTCCAATGCCTATGGGTCCATTTACCTCCCGAGAGAGCTGGGCAGTGGAGGCGGAGTTGGTAACACAGAAAATGGAGGAAGAGGGGGAGGTAAGTTGGACAGTAAGCCGTATCCGAAATGGGCTTCCAGAGCTCTGGCTATGTCTGTTGTCAGCATGTGACTGTGTGTTTTCAAGAAGCGAAGACCTAGATCAAGCTTAAGAAGCATGATTAGTGTACATCCTAAGGCTAGGAAGCCTGAAGTAATCTATTCATAGGCCACACTCTTCTTCTTGTGTGGTTATTTGTATCATTTTTGTGTCATTTCAAAGAGCATAGGTATGCTCTGACAAATCGATGACGTGTTATTTCTGTTCCATGTCATTCTATTCCAAGAAATCTGATTATGTCTCGAAAGTAATCATTTAAATATGACATAGGACTCGAGTGCTGTATGGAAAAAATTAAAATAATGAGCCACTGGCTCCTAGAAAAAAAAAAGTCAGGTACCTGGTCAATTTTTGTACATACTGTATACACATTTTCAAAATACACAATGACAAAACACACACAAACATTATTCAGTCAATTATCCACAGGACAAACAGGCTCCGGATTTTGTGCTCGTGGAATAAATAAAAAATGGCAACCAGTTATATGAAGAAAACAGCTGAAAGAAAAGACAAGGCATGTTTGTTCTGTTCCTTTTGAGCATTTTGTACCTGGGACCGGACCGGACAAAGGAATAAAAACATGGAATAACTTGAACGTGGATTCTGTGGACTTTTATTTTCAAAAATGGGATTTGTATTTCCCTTATATTATGGGCAATTACCATTTGTATGTCATTCCTCAGGTACCTTGCTGCTTGAGGTTAGTGATGACCTCAGGGTAGAAGGTCGTCTCCATGCCAACGGGGAGGACAGTCAAGGCAACTCTGGAGCAGGTGCAGGGGGTAGTATACTGGCCCGCGTGAATCACCTGGACGGAGCTGGGACCATTGAAGTCAGAGGCGGACAAGGTCTGAGTCAGTCATTCAAACTTTCCCGAAAGCCATAGCAATAAATGGATGCCCTAATTTCTTCTTTTCAAGAGAAGGATTTTAGCACTTGTAAAACACAAATAATATTTCTGAAGCGATTACTATTTCGAAACATCAAGATCACAAGATCAAACTCAACTAAGTACAGGCAAAATAGCCTGTAAAAAAAATTGGTCATGGCTGCCTCAAAGTATGCTCTAGGTCGAGAAGGACAAGCCACTAAATGCACAACTAGACTGCTCAGGAAAACAAAGTTCCAGGTGAAGAAAATATAAATACACATAAAATTTCAGTTCAATCAAAGTATTGCGAGTTTCATGCGCAAATTGCCCGTGGGGCTTTATTGATTCTACACGTAAACGACCGAGGGCGCTATTTTCTTGCAACATCATCCCTTGTTGCCATTATGACTGTGCGTGTCCAGTTTTTCATTTGGAAATGGCCATTGTCAAGCACACTTGGTTCATACTACTTCTCACAGTCTATGAAATTTGTGGATGAAGTAACCATGATGCTAGAAAGAGTGTGTTTATTTTTTTTCTCTTGGCTGTTCCAGGAAGTTACAGTTTTGGCTTCTCGTAAACATGGGTAACTGTACAGTACGGAAGGCGCTGACTTACGGCTGAAGCTGGGTCCTATATACTTGTGTGTTACGTTAGTCATAGCCCAGAGTTTGGACAGAACTTAATTTTTTTTCAGTACTGAGGAGGTAGTTTTGTACTGAGAGCAAAAGGCATAATTCAAAGACTATTTCAACTTGGTTTTGTTTGCGTAGGCTCGGCCTATGGCGGAGGTGGCTCTGGTGGTCGCATGGCCATCTACTACACTCACTACAACTTCATCGGCGACTTCCTCTCACAAGGAGGTAATGGACCCGACCACCATGTGGCCTCTGGTACGGTTTACCTAGAGGGAGGCTTGGACTCAGACCAACCGTTGCGCAGACTCATCGTGGACAACAAGCGGGCGTCCCCTGGGCGTTCAGAGATTGACGAATACGTCCAACTGCCGTTGGACAGTGTGGATTCATACAGTTCCACGGACTATTACACCTACGGTGGAGTCCGGATATTGACAGATGGGGCGCCATATTCATCGCATAGTACATGGTATCACCTCAGTCGAATGTTTTCTGGCACTGGAATGGATGGGAATTACTACTTAACTGGTAACCGGACCCCGAAGATTACAATCTCATTCTTCAATGAGGTGTATGCATACGCCCTTCGAGTATATCCACAGTGTAACAGGTGGGTACCAGTGGTGCTTCCCAAACTTTGGTTTCATCCCTGGTTGCACCCCTTGGGTTTTATTTTAGCCCATCGAGTTGTGAACCCTTTGCCTAATGAAAAGGTAAGTGTTGTCGTAAAGCTTCCAACAGCATACAGTTGAAACTCATTCTAGAGCCTGGAGAAAGCCACAGTCATAGGTAAGGCCAAGATTTGCAAAAATGGCAAACATTAGTTGGAGTGGTTCTTTCTATCAATAAAAAAAGTGTACATTTTCACAAATTTTCTACTCTGGAAATTGGATTCTCTTATTTTTAGAGCAAGTTTATGTCAGCACAAAGATCTAACATTGACTCTGTGCATTCACAAAAGAGGGTGCTATTTACCATCTGTATGGTGACTGTGTGGCAGTAAGTATAATAAATATAGTCCTACATGAAATGAATGAAACCGTCCTTCGATATCACTTCTTTTTTTGTTTTCAAGGAGTAGTTGAAGTAAGGGGTCCTTAGTTTACTTAAGGCTTCGTTTTCTAGGGCTTATTTTGGCCACTAGGGTAATAAAATGTTCTTTTCTGTTCTGTCATTTTTCCATCAGCCACATATCTGATTACAAAATCTCTAGCCGCATCGGCATCACCTTGACTGACCACACGAATGGATTCGTGGATGTGACGGGCTGCAGAACCCAGCAGGAACAGAATCAGTATTCACTGGTTCTCATAGATTCTAATGTAGACAAGGTATTAGAGTGTGCGGAATGGATACCAGTCATGCAAATAAAATGTCACCGATGCCATATTAAAATTGATTGGAAGGTGTGTCTGAGAATGTTGAACCCTCAAGCAGAAGCATCCCCTCATTATTGGTTGAAAAGAGCCATGTTGGCCGGGAGCAGTGCGACTGTCATGCTTACATTTCAAAGTCGTTCCTGAACCAGAAAGGTTCAGTTTAGACCAAAGGAGCCTCCGTTGCTAAGAAAATTGCACCCTCTCTTGGCCTAGCTCGAAGCTCATAAACTTCAAAATCTATCTGGAGGTTTTGAAGGGTTTTGCAGGAGTGAGGAAGGTTGAACGGAGCCACTGTTACCGAACACATGGTTTGATGCCCTCTCAAAGTTAAAAACATCTACAGTGCACGACTAGTTTCCTGTAAAGTGGAGAATTTTTTGGAGTATTTAGGAATGTTCTTGGCAAAAAATGCCAGTATTGCAAACTCTGTCCCCGTTTCATAATGCTACGAGGCTAACTATTTTAGCAAACAGAACAAAACTCCCTTTTTTGAAAACTAGTATCCACATTATTTACAGGTTTTTTTGACAGACCGTTGAAATGGCTGTAATATTGTTTACTTTATCGCTCTTGTAGATTTACATAGAACTGAGGGCACACGGCAGCTATGCGGCCATGAACAAGGTGGAAGTGCTAGTGCAACGCAACCCGACATTCCTGGGAGCCGAAATTCAGCCGCGCTTTGCGGTTGTACCGGGTACGCTCATTGTAGCGGAAGATGAGAGCACCAACACTTTTGAATTTGATGAGGTGAATCCCCCAGTATTTTTAATACTCTCTTTTGAAGAAGAAGTGTGAAATTCAAGTCAGTGATATGCTTTAGCTAGTCTTGCTTCTGAAGAGCGCAAGATCGATTGTATGACCTTTGACTGCATAAAGCCGTAAGAGTAATTTGTGAATGTTTATGAACCACATGCTTGCCCACAGTAATATCTAAATGAGATTTTCTTCTTTCAACTTCAGTGTTACTTATTTCATCAGTGGCCCACTATCTGAACTTTTTTTCCTACTTTTAAGCCAATGCGCTGTCATTGTGTTGCCCTGTATTGGTCATTTACAAATGCTTCCTCTTCCAATACACAGATTATCATTAGGGGTCAAGGGGCACTTGCCATGACCAACAAGTATGCGCAGTACTCGAGCCTGGTGACGCACGCCGTGAGCGGTGATCGCAGCGGGCTTCTGACACTGTTTTGGGGCCAGGTCCTCGATGCCACTATGCCGAGGGCATTGTTGCCGTTCTCCCTACTGGCTCTGGACGGAACCACGGTCACCCTTCCAACCATACTGGACTGCAAAAATGTTGAGATAGCTATCGACGGTAAGAGCACAATACCAGCAATCCTAATTCAATGTAGCTGTGAGTAAATTATACCTTGTATTTGGTGTCATAATTTCAATAGGTATTTTGTTTTTCCATTTGTGGTGAATTATTTGCCTGCTTTTCCCTATTACCAAGTTTCTATTTCATTTTGTTGATATGAATTGAGATACTGCATATTGGCCAGATGAGATCGAAACTTTTATCTTTGAAAAAATGTTTTCTAAAATGTGTATTTCGCACCACAAAAAGTGACTCTGTGTAACAGTCACCATGTGCTAAAAGGAACACTGATTAAAAGCACAGTTAGGCACCAGCCTTTTCCTCATCTTTTACTTTCTCAGGGAGCCTGCACAGCATGGACAGGTTCACCATCAGTTCTGGCTGCAAAGTCTCCTTGGAATACAAAGGCGGTGGGAGAAACTACATTGACCATCTCGACATCAAGACCTTTGGGTCCATGTACATCAATGACAACCAGCAAGGCACAGTCACAATTGAAGGAACCACGCTGAATGTCCGTAGTGGAGCTCTGGTAAGTTTATTTGCAATTGTTTTCAACAACAAAATGTTTATGTGACCTTTTTTCCATGCCTATCAAACTTAGGCTTATTGAATGGGCACAGTTTAACAATTACGCATGATCTCTAGACAGGTAGAAATTGTTTTAAATTTTAATTTAGAAGAAAACAGCAAATTTTAAAATTAGTTTTCAAGGCTACTTTAGAATCTTAAATTGTGATCTCAAGTCTTAAATCTTAGACCTTAAATCCTAGAATTTAAGTTGAAACGACATTTGCCGTTTCCCACAGCTGAAATCAAGCGACTTGAGCCTTCACTACGTCAACATCAGCATAGAGCCATCAGCTACCCTGTCCATCGGCTTCCAGACAGAACTGAAGCATGAACAGGCCATTGGTAAGAGCATTATGAGCTTTGGCTGGTGCACTGAAGATTGGTAGTCATGGTAGAATTCTGGGTGTAGCTTCTAGCACGTTTTGGATGTAGAGGTTGGATAGATATCTGAAGTCACTGCTTTGAAACACAGCAGAAAATCCTTAGTAGTTTCAGTATTTTTCTGATCAGTTCCAACCACAAATGGTGGCAAAATAAAACCTATCATCTTTTAGTTTTCGTGCCAACAGCTGTACACATGTAAAAACATTTTTGGCTGAATACTCTGCATTGTGTCCAAAAATGTTTAAATTCTGCATTAAGAAAGGCAGATTGTAAAATTGGTCACAATTTTCTTTCACTTCTAGGAACTAGTCCGGGTCTGCCTGGGATGCGCGGCTCATCCGGTGCGGGCCACGCCAGCAACGGTGGGCAGGGACAAAACCAGCCTCGCGTAGGGGCAACCTATGGTTCCTTCCTGACCCCTGACCTTTTCGGATCAGATGGGGGTTACTCCACATACCCTCATCTGGGTGGATCGGGAGCTGGTAGGGTCTACATGAATGTGACAAGGATACTAACGGTGGACGGAACTCTGTCTGCAATAGGTGAGAACTCCTTGGACCCCAGAACCAGATCACAGTTGTCTGAAAAATCTTCAAGTAATTGCTTATTACCCACGAGTATACAAGCATTCGAGTCTGTCCGTGTTAAATCCTGCCAGATCATTTTGCATAAAATCTTCACATTGGATTATTTAAAGTACTTTTTAAACTAGTTTTTTGGTGGTGTAATAAATTTTAGAGACTATACAGTGTTTGCGTGGCTGCCATCTTGCAGGCCTGTGCTTCTGTTCCACAGGGTAAGCACAAAGGAGGTTTCCCTGTGAGACGAAAGAACTGCTCTGCACGATGGCTACCATCAAGCAAAGCCTCAATAAAAGTTTAGTCTGGTTTTAAATGGGGCGTATAAATATTTTCCATGATTTGCTAGCCAAATAAAGAAGATTTAGTTTTAATCTGATGTTGAGAATGCTATGTTTATTGTTCTGTGCGTTGCCATTTTGTCTTCTTTGAAGGTGGAGCATACCGGTCCCCAGGAGCAGGGGGCGGCAGTGGAGGAAGCATTTGGATTGAGACGGAGACACTTGATGGTGATGGGGCCATCGATGTCTCCGGTGGGGCTGGATACTCGGGTAGTCTAAGCCCCTATGGTGGGGGAGGTGCCGGTGGCCGCATCGCAGTATATTACACAAACAACCACTTCATTGGTAAGATCTTTGACACAGGACCTACCCTGTTGCAGTGAAGGTAAAATTTTTTCAGAACCAGTGTTGAACATAAGGCAAGTGGTTTATCTCCAGAGTCCTTGGCATGAATGACTGAGAATGTTTCCACTTGCCTTGGATAGGGTTGTGAGTCCATTGCAGGTTGCTTCAAAGCTAATGTCAGTACCCATGTACCTATGTTCCTTTATGGAGAGAAGCAAGTAAAGTGCTTACTTGAGGACACAATCTTGGACATTTGGGGCATTCAGACCCCTGACCTTGTAATAAGGAGTTACAAACTCTAACCATGAGAGTCACACTCTTTGATTTTGTTGTCATCTAGGTGATTTTGAGGCTACTGGTGGTGACAGCAGTTTTGAGCCTGGTGGTCCTGGAACGGTCTACTTGCACAAACTCCAACCCCTGAATGGTACAACTCTCCTGGATGCGACAAGTGACGAGGCTCAAATTACCCACGATTCCAATGTCACAGAGCCCCTCACCAACCGCTCGCTGTACATCAACAACCGTGGCCGTCGGCCCCGTGACTGGAATCGCAACATCACTGATGGTTATGCTGACTATGCAAGCTTGCCAACGATCATCTGGCTGATGCCAGCAGAGCGAGCTCAGATTGACATCGTTCGAAACGACCCCACCCACAACTTCACCGAAGACATCATCCTGGATGAGCTGCACATATACGGCAGTGCGCAGTTGGCGTATCTGGACTCTGAGTACCACGATCACTCGGTGGACATCCGAATTGGATCCATTTCCGGCGATCGGTCAGGGAAGATGCTGGTTGGCCGAAATCAGTCGCTGTACGTCTCCAACGCTCACTTCCCATCAGACATGGATCTGTACCGGGGCGGTTTGGCTACCCTGCACGGAGAGCTCACAGTGGCTGGGGTCAGGATTAATGTAGAAGGGGTGTTGGAGAATGCAGAGAATATCACAGTTGCAGATGGAGGTAAAAAAAATCCAGAATTTATTATAAAAGTCTGAAATACAAGAAACTAGTACTCGGTATTTGATACAGACATCTGGGGTCACATTATTTGTTCCCCAGTGTAACAAATTACTAAAGCTACCTGACACAAGATACCACCTATCGCTGTGGTAAACCATGAAATGTTCACAGGTTATCAGTCGACATGTACAAAGATTCCAACCAGCCAGCTGACACCGGCAAGCTCAGTGATCACAAGACGTCTGCACTTGTAAGCAGGAGGTCATGGGTTGAGTCCCACCCGAGTATGCTTACGTGCTTTTTTCACAAGCCTTCGGGGGCATACACTGAGCATTCAGTGTTAAAATACATGTCGAGCAGGGCAAAAATCCAAAATTAATGTACAAAGAAAACATTTGAACTTTAGGAATTAATTTGTTGTTTTCAAACCCATGAAGGCACCTTGCTCATGCATGAGATGATCAATATTGACGGCGAACCAACAGAGACCTTGAACTTTAAGGCCATCAACATCCGCAACCACGGCACAATGATGGTAAAAAATGGCCGTGACAGACGGACGCTGGACGGGGAGTTCCTCCAAGTGTATGGGGGTGGCCAGTTGTTGTCCACCAACCTGCACATCGTCGCGGACGTGGTGATTGTAGACTCCAAGGGGTCCATCACCGTGGATGGTGAAGGTTTCCCCGGCAACAGTAAGTTCCCAATTGGGTGATATTGATCATCCTCTTTAGGAATTAATCCATCTGCTGAATTGCCTGTTTTGGTTAACTTCACAGTGGGTGCTGAAGGATTCTGTGGGATTTGCTAATTTGTGTGCGCTTGTACATGGTGCCTTGTGGGGTACCGGAACAATGGAAGGTACCCCACAAGGCCAGTTTTGATCCTTGTGGGGTACTAAAGTGGTACCCGATAAGAATTTCACGAGAGATATTTCAAATTTACTCAAAAAGGAGGAATTTTCAAGTGCCATTCAAAGTCGCAAATTGAAGTGTTTTATATAAGGGACTTACAGTCGAAATTTCAACCCAGGAAACTGAATTTGGTTGAAATGGCAGTGATTTGAAATTTTTTCCATGTTGTGTGGGAGTTTTGTACACGAGAACAAAGGAAATACCCCACAAGAATGCATATGTAAGGAAGTGTGAGTTGATGTGAGTTAAGTTTTGTTGCAAATTAAGACAGCTTTTGTTGGGTTGTGGAGCCAAATCCGACGCCTGTGACAAGAAAGGGACTTAATGCATGTGTAATTGTAAAACTGAAAAAAGAGTTTGGGGTCGTAGAAGGGTGTTACCCAGGGGTGGGCTAAGATCCCCGTTAACTGACTCCAGGATATCCTATTCAAGATCTACAAGATGAGAGACAACTTGACACCTGGTGGCACTGTTCATACAGGCTTCAGCAGTGACGAGAGTGATGCGTTTGCTGACAAAAATCACAAATAGGAGGGGAGATCAAGTGCCCCACCCCCGGGTCTACCATTCAACAGCAACCCCATTTGGGACCTTGTGTAATTCTGTATGATAACTTGACTTGGGTGTCACTTTACAGTTTCAGAGATTCAGTGTGCTGTTGTCAGTTACATATTTCATCAGAAGAGATGAGATTTTCTTACCTTGTCATTTAAAGGTGGTCCAGGTGGGGGCTTCAAGTATGGCAACATCGGCACTGGAGCTACCCACGGTGGAGAAGGGGGTTGCCAGACCAGTTCTCAGCTTTCCCCTCCGGCCTATGGATCCTTCACCACCCCTGCTGAATATGGAAGCGGCGGAGGGAATGGGGGCGGTGCCGGGGGCGGGATACTGTCGATGAACATCAGCCAGTCGCTGAGGGTGGAGGGCGAGGTACGGGCCAACGGCGTGCGCAGCACCACCGACTTCAGTGGCGGAGGGAGCGGGGGGAGCATCCATATCCTCGCCGAGTACATCGAAGGGTCGGGTGTTTTCCAGGTTTGTGAATTTCCTGGATTGTAGTTCATACTGATGGATTTTTTATCAATCACAACTAGGCTGTCTGGTAATTTCATCAGAGCTACATCAACCGCTTCAGGCTGGAAAGACCTGTTTCATGATTTAGTCATCTCTAAACCAAGGCATGACTTGTGGATGAATACGTAAAGAATGCCTTGGCTCACCTCCAGCTGACATCTAAAATCCTCTATTTGTTTTGTGTATGCACACACAGAAGTCCGCGTACTCTTTGGAGGTGGCCAGTGTGTTGAATTGGCCCCTGTACACAGGCTGTCAATATATTTTAGAAGAACAATGTGCCGCTGGTTTCCTGTGCAAGAAAAGTCTTTGTGGAAATGCATTTTTTGTATTGAAAGGACACATGCATTTCAGACAGACAGTGTTAAGGAGGGTTTGTTTGTTTAATTGTAGGCTAACGGTGGGGATGCCAACTCTGGCGGTGGAGGCGGTGGCGGCAGGATGGCCCTCTACTTCCAAGAGAATAAATTTGATGGCGCCTTTGAAGCCCGGGGTGGATGGGGAGCTCATGAGCATGGGGCCTCAGGGACCATCTATCGGAAGAGAGTGGCCGAGGGTGAGGAGCACAAGACTTTGAGGGTGTACAACCGAGCAGACTCGGTCCACACAGCCCAGGTAGGTCCTTAGATTGTCCTGAGTGTCTGTGTGTAGATTTCAGGGCAGGGCAAGTTGAAGCACAGACTTTTAGTCCATTTGTTCATTGACAGTAACCAAAGGCCTTGGCACATTACCCTCGTACTCGAAAGACCCAAGTCAAACCTTGTTGGGAATTCGTCACCACACCCATCTCATACAGTAATTTGAATGTTGTTGGTTACCTTTGCATTTACGTTGTGAAAAAAAGGCTACAGATAACCAGCAGTGCAATTGAGCTTTAAGGTCTGGTTTCTGAAGTCTGTTGTTCAAGTGGTGTTGTTCAGGTTTGGTTTATTTCAGCACAAATTTGATCAAGGATCACTAGTTAACTAGTGGCTGGTTCATGACGTGCTCGGCGCATGTGCAGTGAAGTTGAAGTACAAACGACCCTAGTCAACTGTTGTCAGGTCATTAGTCCAAAGGGGAGAAGGAGTGCCCTTCGGAGGGCAAAATAGCAAAAATAAAAGTTAAAATTGTCGTTTAGTAGTGACTTACTGTTTTTCTGGCATTATTCTTATAACTGGTCCTCTCTGCACTGTGCAATGGTCTATGGCAACCAACGACACCACCAACTTCGGTAGGCTGGTTGCAAATAGTTGACCAGGCTATTCCAACCATCATTAAATAACATGTGTTTGATCAGAGTTAGTTGAACTATATGGTTAACTGTGGTCCTTGATTGAACTTGCCCATAGTTGTCACTCAAAGTTGCCCATAGTTGTCTCTCAAACTTGCCCATAGTTGTCTCTAAAACTTGCCCATAGTTGTCACTCAAACTTACCCATAGTTGTCACTCAAACTTGCCCATAGTTGTCACTCAAACTCGCCCATACTTGTCACTCAAACTCGCCCATACTTGTCACTCAAACTCGCCCATACTTGTCACTCAAACTCGCCCATACTTGTCACTCAAACTCGCCCATACTTGTCACTCAAACTTGCCCATAGTTGTCACTCAAACTCGCTCATAGTTATCACTCAAACTTGCCCATAGTTGTCACTCAAACTCGCTCATAGTTATCACTCAAACTTTCCCATAGTTGTCACTCAAACTTGCCCATAGTTGTCACTCAAACTTGCCCATAGTTGTCACTCAAACTCGCCCATAGTTGTCACTCAAACTTGCCCATAGTTTCAACACAGATTGTCCACACTGATTCATATACTTCCAGTGCACTTCTTTGGTTTGCTGTGATATAAGGCCATGTGTAATGGACATTGCTGAAATGGCTATGGCTAGTCTCTGTAGCATGCTAATTGTTAAAACTATAGCCACAGTCACAAAATACCTGCAGTCTGATGCTGACTTGGATAAGTGAACGTCTTTAGTGAAACACTTTGCTGCAATCCTGTTGTAAGCAAAAGTTGAAAGTCTGCATTGTATTCCGAGTTTCGATAAACCTCCGTCTGCTTGTATCTTTCCTGCAGTCGCGTCGGACTTGGATTACCCTCCCACCTTTCTCCGACCCAGATCACGACATTGACCTGCTGGATGTTGGTCAGTACGCCCATGTGGAGCTGGAAGCGGTGGACGCGGATGGCTACGCCACCAAAGACAACTCTACCAGGTTGCTCCACGTGGCCCAGACAACCGGAGACTCGACGGCGACTGTTCACGTTGGGGAGTCGGATGAGCTGTACATTGCTTGGAATGCCTCCAGATATTTGCCATTCCACTTGGTCCTTTATGAGGTACTTTTAAATTCAAATATTTTTGCAGTCATGGTAATGATATACCTTTTAAGATCCTTAAATAATGTTTGGCAAGTTGTCTTTTAGTAAACGTAACAGCTACATGAATTGTTTAGTCCAAACTTGGTTTCAAAGAGGAATTCGCAGTGGCAAAGTTATTTGTAGAGTGTTAGCAGGTTGTTGAAATGAAATGAACTCTGGTTAGTTCATTGGCACCTAGTAGATATATACATGTACTTCTTGGTAAGTGTGATAGCTTACCCATGAATTACCTGGTTGTAATCATTTCATACCCACTACAGAATGGAACAGCCTCCCTCCCTCAAGACACTTTCCTCCAATCAGTGGATTTCACTCTCCATGCTGGCGATCTGATTGGCTTATCGGATTTGGAGATTGGTCTCAACTCCCGGGTCACCTACCACCCCCCTGCCCGAATCAACTCTGCCACCCAGAGCGAGGCAAATTTGCATAGCCTTAGTGTGCTGAGTGGCGGGGTGATGGACTACACAGGAACTGCCGCTCTGAATCAGGAGCTTAGCATTAACCTGGTGGGGGAGTTCAACATGAGAGCTGGGGCTTTGATGACTGCAGATAAAATGGACATTTCAGGTTCGTGTTATCAGTTTTAAAATTTTGCTTCTTTATTGTCACCAATGCAAACTTAAAATTGTCCAAAAATTTAAAGGATATTTTGCTTCAGAATGAGAAATGAGATTTGGGTAATTTATATTAAAAGTGCTTGCTTTAGCTCTTGAGTTTACATTGGAGATTCTCTGCTCTGTAGTACAATAATATGGAGCTCTAAATTTCACAGTTCTTGTTGATTGTCTACAGCGGACAGCATCACAATTGATCATGAGGCTACGCTTGATGTCAGTGGGAGGGGCCACAGACCTGGGCAAGGCCTGAGCTCAGGTATCCCACATTCCAGCGGAGGATCTGGTGCATCCCATGGTGGCAGAGGTGGGATGGGAGCTTATGTGTCTTATGCCAGAAAGGCCTATGGAGATGTGTTGAGGCCCAGAGAATTTGGAAGTGGGGGAAGCTCAGCTGGAGGCAGTGGGGTGAGTTAGGAAAACTAGGAAAGTGTATGCTAGATTGTCCTTTGATGGTTAAAGTGGGATAAGAGAATTTGGAAGTAGGTAGCCATTTTGAGTCCACAGTAGGAGACATGCAAAGATTATCTATTGGTTGCGGAAGTGGGATAAGTTTTTTGTTATGAGTTCAGCTGTTCCACAACAGAGACTTTCATTATGCTCATTTGGTGGTGGCAGCATGGAGATAGATGTTTCAATTTTTACATCTAACACAGTAGGGAATGCGATTACTTCCTGTCAAAACTTGAATCAGAGATAGTTGAATCATCATGTCTCCACCCTGTTTTGCTCTCATGATATAAATTTGCAGAATTTGTGCTCAGGAGGCGGTGTCCTACGTCTCCGAGCCCACAATCACACCTTGATAGATGGAGATGTACTGGCCAGCGGTCACCATGCCAACATCCTCAGGACCGGTGGTGCAAGTGGTGGCAGCATCTGGATTACGAGCAGCAGCATCAGCGGTAAGATCTTGTCTTGATGCGTCTGGTTATTTGGTATACAGTCATCTTCTGTCAAAATCTGGAGCTGCATAGCAGCAAGTAATGCTCAGAAAATTTACATGCCCAACTAATGTCAGCCTTGAACCAGTCACAGTCCATAGATACAGTGTGCCACTGAGGTAAATATGCTGCGATGTTTAACTTTGTCTTTTGTTCAGGGAGGGGTAAGCTCATTGCCAACGGTGGCCATGCGACCTGTGTACCCTACTGCAGCCAATGTGATTCAGAGAAGCGTTGCCTGCAGTGCACCAGCTACAAGTTCCTGCAGTATTACAATTGTGTCTCAGATTGCTACGACAGCAACAACCGGAGATACCCTGATGCCTGGCCTTGGAATCATGCTACAGGACGATACTGTGCTCGGGAGTCTTCAACTAGCACGAGGGTAACTTGTGGAATTTTTACTCTTGAATTTAGATAAGAAGTACAGAGAGGATTTCAAATCCCTGAAGGAACTGGATTTTTCGAGTACATCTGCTTGCTGTCAGGACCAACAGGCCTGTGTCTCATGTTATTGGGAATCCTCTGTCACTCAAGGTCCTTATCATCACCGTAGCACTATCAGGATTTGATTAAATTGCTAAAGGGCTGGAGTATACTGAATTGTAGCAGAATTTCACTTCAGTTGTATTAAATAATGTGACATTCTGAGCCTAGCTTCGCAAATGGCTAGTGCACGGCTTATACCACAGGTGTATTGCTCTGATATGCCCATGTTGGAGGCATATGGAGAATTTGAATTCCTGCTTTTTTGTTGAATTTTGCTTTGTACAAAAACAAGGAAAGCATTTCAAGATTTAGAAGATTTAGAAGATTAGAAGATGTGCTCATTGGTTCATTCCCCCTTCAGGTCAAACTGTTATTTTGTAGAAATAGTTAATATAACTTTGTAGTACAGTAGTATTAACTTCTTCATTAAAGTAATAGGCCTATTATCTAGCAGATGTATGCATTGGATGCTTGTAGTTGAATGTAAATCAAAATTGTCTGTTTACAGGAGATTGGTGGAGGTGGTGCCGGCGGGCGCATTGCTGTACACACCAACAATTTCAATCATTTTGTTGGAAGAATGGAAGCCTTCGGTGGCCGAAGTCACAAGGAAGCCGGGGGACCAGGTACCATCTACCTGTCCAACATCACACCCAATGAAACGGTGCGATCATTGCTCATCAACAATGACAAACGTGGCCCAACACGGACCTACCTGCCCTCTAGTGAACAGGACAGCTCACGAGCATACATCATCACCGATTCAGAGCATGGTGTGAGCGAGTACACCTTTGAGAAGGCTACCCTAACGGGTATGGCTCACTTAGCCTTCGAGAGCTCAATGAGTGGGCCTTTTGACGTGACTATTGGCCACTTGGACGGAGACAGGAGTGGGTTGATCCACCCCAGTGTCAAGTATCCAATCACAGTAGAGGATTCTACATCTCCATTTCCTGCAGGGTTCAGAGTGTATGAGGACACTTATGTCAGCTTCCCAAAAGGTAAGGATTTTAAAATTTTGTGAACTTTTTGCAAGGCTGCACTTTTGATGTGCACAGCATTAATTGTTTTAACTGAGGAATGCTCAAAGCTGTTACTTTTTGATGTGCAGAGCATTTATTGCTTTAACTGGGGAAGACTCAAAGCTGTTACTTTTGATGTGCAGAGCATTAATTGCTTTAACTGGGAAGACTCAAAGCCGTTACTTTTGATGTGCAGAGCATTAATTGCTTTAACTGGGAAGACTCAAAGCCGTTACTTTTGATGTGCAGAGCATTAATTACTTTTACTGGGGAAGACTCAAAGCCGTTACCACCTTGCTGCAATGCTCATGTGTAGATGCTTCGTGTTTGTGCACATTCTGGTGAAAACTGATCCCTGACACTGCGCCTTCCGCGTGTGCACAAGCCAGTGCACACATACAATGAGTGCTTCACTGGATCACCAAAGTACAGCATCTGAGGTTGTCAGACAAGCAGCATTACTTGCCACTGTCTGCTGTCATGTCATTCCTGGTGAAACGAACGCATCCATGAAAATTTGAAAGCAAGGCTGGCCTTTCAGTTTGTATGTTACATTTTTCCCTTGTTATCAGTCACCAGACTAGAGGGTCTACCAATCAACCCTGTATACATCGAGGGCACAATTGATGGGGTGCAAGACCTCACTGTTGGCCAAGGAATGCACGTATCTATTGGAGAGCATGTAAGTTTGACTAAATATCATTTTTGACACTGTCAAGACAAATTTTAACCTTTTTTCCTTTACTTTCGAAAAACAATCTTTCGCTGTTCTTCAGAAAATTGTTCATGTCTGAAACGAACCTGTTGATAGCTACAATATGTTTAAAACTCTTTGAAAGTCATAGAGCTGGATGGAAGTTCAAGTGTCAAACCACTGTATCGTACAGTGAGACCAATCGAAATTAATCATGTGTTTATAGAAAGCTGTGGTTTGTTTAGGTGTGAGGTCAAAATACAAATGCTTTTGAAAGCATTCAACGCTTTGTAAACGTTAAACCCCACTGACGGTCATCTTCGAACAGATGAACGCTTCAGCGAGGCTGGCCAAACCGTTGCGGTCGAGTACACCTTGCACTCTGCAGCTTCCAGTAAACAATGGACAGCTCATCGCATTACGGCATCATAGACTTCTGCGGTCTGGTGGATGAGTCATAACAATAGCTCTTTACTTTGCAGCTCCGCAGGAGGATTTAGATCAGCAGACTGTTTTAACTTCCTGATGAAACATGTGTATTGAGTGGTTGTGTTGCGCTGTCGGTTTTCAGACCAGTCTTTTCAGGTCTCGATACTAGGTAATCTTGATATTTTGTCTCGGTATTGTGAGTCAAATACCACCAACCATTGAACTGTTTCGAAACCGTTTGTATTTTGACCTCACGCCTTAATGAATGCTTCTCAAATTATTTTGTTTGAATATAGAAAACTTTTTCAAGTGCCCACCGTGAATTGTCCTGTTGTGTACTGTCTGTATTAAAACTGTCATGCCTTATGAAGAGGAGTTAATATTTGTTAACCGTACCTTTTGTTTCTGGCATTTCAGGGAAAGTATTCTGGCCAACCCGACAAGTTCTTCCCTCTTAACACGCTGCACGTCCTCCCCAGTGGCCAACTCTCCTCCTTCTACCCAGCCGGCTTGAGCTATAACCCAGCCTTTGACATCTTAGACCCCTCACTGAAGCTGAGACTCAGCGGTTCTTTGCAGATTCACCCAGGGGGGTTGATAAAGGTATAAACTGTGAAACTTCCTTTGGGTCAAGTTCGATCAAGAAGCAGTGTAGAAATAGTAATAAATTTATGATGAATAATTTTGCCTTTTTATCAATATTAAAAATTGAGATCATCACCAATTGAGCTACGGTCAAACATCACCATGGAATTTCACGATCCTCATGGCTCCCTGCCGTACTAAGCATCTTAACCCCGTCGCACTGGGAACCGTCGACAGTCGCGGCTTTGTGTGAGGATTAGTGCATACCACACATACTGTCTACTCACCATGCAGCTGCTGGTTCAATGGGGCCTGCTGCTGGACAGAGCTTTGCATTCTGGGCATACCACTGCCCAGCAGTCACGGTCAAAAGAATCCTGGTGTTAGGGGGTTAAGCTTGAACTTTTTGGCTGCGTAGAAAGTTTATGAAAGTTTCATTTTAAATAGCCATTAATAAACCGTTACACTTGGATTTTTATTTTTCCTCGATAAAAAAGGAAAGCAGACAGTGGCCACAGTCTTTGGAATTTTTGTCAATTTGGAATGATATTAATGATTATTTATTGGCATTTTTTGCAGACCAATTATCTTGATGTTGTTGCTGAGGTGCAGGTGGAAATTGACACTGCAGGCGTGATTGATACATCAGGACGAAGCCCAGACGTACAACATGGAGGGATAGACGGTGTAAATGGTTAGTGAGAGACAAAACCAAAATAAAAATCATGTGTGCAGTTCAGAATTCTGCCAAGAAGTGATGTTGCTGTTTGAAACTTCTTCTTTGAGAGATTAAGCAGTCCTTATCTTTGCCTTTGTTACAATTGAAATAAAATGATATACCTAATTTCTGGTAATTCCAGAATTTAGGGGTCCATTTTTTTTGTGTCCCTGTCACATCTGACATGTGATTTTGTAAGTTCAGAACCCATGTTCTAATTTCCAAGAGTGACAAATTAATGCAAATTATGTGCCAAACAAAGTAATAGTTTGAAATCAATGCCGGTGATATTTCCATGTCAAATAAAGGTCAGATGTAACAGGGAGACAAAAATGTCATACTTTTGGACCACTAAGTTCTGGAATTACCCACCTCTAATGGAAACCAGCTTCCTCACTGGTATCCTGCTTATTGCTTGCTGTTCACGTGCTTTGTTATGGCTCGGAGCCTCGTTGATGTACAAAAATTTGGTCTCTAAGTACAGTACATGTGTACATTGACAGGCTGTGTGGGATTTTTTTTATAATTCTGCTTAGACAGAGATGTATGATAATAAAATAAGTTATCACATTACTGAGAAGTCATCGTGTGATGGAAGCACATTTACTGTCAGAATGACTTTGTTCTTGTCATCTTGCTAGGGGCATCTGGTGGAGGTCACGGGGGCAGCGGTGGGCAAGGTAATGGACAGACCATTGTCGGTCCACCCCGAGGCGCTGCCCTTGCACCCGCTAGCTTTGGCAGTGCCGGAGGCATCGGTAACAAGTCCCCCTCAAGCCCTGACTCGGCTGGCAAGGGGGGTGGCGTGATACTGATCTCCGCTCCCGTGGTGGAAATTGACGGGCAGCTCAAGTCAGATGGGACTGGTGCTAGTCAATGGTACAGTGGTGGTGGCAGCGGTGGGACCATCTTTGTGCAGACTCAAGAGCTGCGTGGACAAGGTGAGTTGATGCTATTGATAACTTCAACTTACTTCGGCTGCCCTGTTGCAATTTTGTAAACTTTTGAGTGAAGCATTGTTTCAGTGAATCGAGAAAAAATGTTCAAATTTGGGCAAAATGAATTGAACAAAATCTTCATTTTCTGTACTCGTGTTTGAAAGTTAAGTCCCACCCTATGCAGGTTTGCCTTTTGAGTGTGGGTTATTGTAGAGTTGATATGTTTTTGTTGCAGTTTTCAAACAACCTTTGCTGAAATCTCTGAGCTTCAGTCTTTCCTTGAGGGATTGAAAAACCCACCCATCTTGCAAGACAATATATGTGACTGGCTCTGCAAAAAGGTGTATTAAATTACCCAATGGAAAAACGAGTAATGGCCCATTCCTTGTGGCAAGGGTGAAAATATTTGGAAATGTTTTGAGGCCGATTGCTTGACCAGAAAGCCTCTGTTACTAAGGAAAACCAAGAGCGTGTCTAATTTAAGTTTAATGTTTCTGTTCGTTATGTTTAAAGGGCATTATCTCAAACAGCATGTGTGATGAAGTGAAATTATATGAATATGCAAATGGCAAATAACTTCAAAATGCAAAATGCCACTGAGATGAATAATATATCCAATGAAAGCTGAGGAAGTGAGCAATTTGTTTATATATATATATTGCTCAAATTCCAAAAAAGTGACACAATACACCTTTTTGACGAGCCGGTCACATATAATTGTGCTTGGTAAAACCTGTTGACATTCATTTGTGTCAAATTGTGTGTTGCTTCTTCTGACAGTTAGAAGTTTGGATCATTCTGTTTCCCTCCCCCCCCAGGTCAGGTATCTGCCCAAGGGGGCTCGGTCCCCTCAGGTTCCTCTGAGAAGCAAGGCGGAGCTGGAGGGGGCGGTCGCATCACCCTCCAGTACCACAACACGTCTTTCTCTGGCCAGCTCATTGCCCCTGGTGGCCGCAGTAACTACGAGCCTGGTGGAGCGGGAACCATCATTCAGGAAGACCTCACTGCGGACACAGTCAGACTCTTTGCAGACAACCACTTTGTCGGAAGACCAAGAGTTACTGAGGTTGGCTAGTTTCCCTTAACTAATTGAACCTTTCCTTCTCAAATCTCAATTATGCAGCCAGTTATTTTATTGACACTTTGTGTTTACATAGCTTTACCCGTTGAAGAAGCTACTCATCAATTGAAAATAGCCATGTTGGTCAGGGGTGCTCATTTTGTTAGGAGCGATGCGACCGTAACACGTGCATTTCATAGTCGCATTGCTAAGAAATTTGTGCCCTCTCTTCATCCTGCTCGATGCTCATATATGTGTGAAGTTGCATCCCAATTTGACAAACGACTTCACAGTAAGTTAACAACCATTAGTATTTCATGTCACTGTCTGTAGATTGGCCTTTTATCCTGTCTGCAGTCAATGGAAGCACCAGATTTTTTGGCATTTTTGTTTTATGAGTTTATGAGGCTGGTGCAGTGATTGCCTAATGTAAGTCTTGATCCTGTATTCAAACACAATTTCTTCAAAATCATGTTTTCCCGGAGCACCTTTTCCTCAGTAAAACGTCACATAAACCAATTCTAAAAGGCGTCACCACATTTAAAAGACGTTTTGCCTATCCTAATCCTTCCACCAAGGTTGACTATCCAGGCTTGATTGGGGTCCACAAGGGTCGTGACAGCTGCCGAACATGGCTTCTACCCCGGGGCGACGGGTCAGAGTACGATTTCCAACAGGTGGACATCAGGGGCCAAGCAGACCTGGCATTGTTCAAAGCCACACGGAGTGACACACAGACTGTTGTCCTAGAGAGTAACAGTGGCGACAGCTCTGGATACTTCCACGTTGGACCTCTCCAGGTATGATCTGGGACCCATTTCAGAACACAAAATTGTGGGAAGCCAAGAAAATATTGACACTAGATTTTGCCCTTGTACAACGTGTACATGTATATTCACACTGTTTTCGCAGTTGATCTTTTGTCACAAATTTGAAGTAACAATACTTCTGCATATCATAATCGATCAATTTCAGAATATTGCGATAATCCAATGGCTGACCACATCTTCCATGATCAAATTAAGACTGTCGTGTTATTTGTGAAGAAGTTTTTTTGGAATGATGTTTAATTACACCCCCATCAGGTGCTGAAGATTGACCTGCCTGCTGACAACCCAAGGCTGGCCTGGAACATTCAACTTTACGAGAGGGGTGAGCTAGATATGCCAGCTCACCTTGAGGTGCATGATCTCACATTGGTCTTGGAAGGCACCGTGACTGGTGTCAGAAATATCTCCGTGGGGAAAGGTGGTGAGGTTCACCTCAGGTAAAAAAAAAACAACTTTTCAAAAGTATTTTAGCTTTTCTTTCACTTGTGTAACTCTTAATGCTAGTTTACATAAACACAAAAGTAGAAGTGAGCATTTGTTTGGAAAAGAAAACACTCATGCAGAATTCAGAAAAGATCACATGAGTTGAGCTGTTGGAAAGTTGTTCCAAGAATATAAAGCACAGATTTGTCAATTACTATTATGACTTCTAATCAGAGAAATATGCCAACTTTTCTAGTTTGTATACCATAATTATATGAACTGACCACAAATATAATAACAGAAATTGATATTTTGTTTTTGAGGAATACTTATTGTTTACCACATAAATCTACTTTGTAGCGTTTGCACCCTGTTTTCAATCTTGTAGTCATGTGACTAACGCCACATACCACGTCTCTGAGACCATCACCTTCGACCAGTTTGTCATCCACGGCGGTGGGAAAGTCTACATTGAGGGTGGTACCCAAGGACTTGGGTTGCTAGGCAACAAGCTCCATCTGGAGAGCGGGGCCTACTTGAAGGCCGATCGTCTGCTTGTCAATGTGACCGACATGATCGTAGAGGAACTTGCAGTTCTCGATCTGAGCTCTGCTTTGGTAATGAATTTGAATTTTAGCTCTTCTATTCAACGTGCTTCCGTTTTGGGGGAAGAGAAACAAAGTTTAAGAAGTATTATGCTGAAGGACAGTGTGGACTAATGTAACACTTTGTTGCCTAGCAACAGCATCCTGTTCAATCAGTGTAATACTTGTGTGCACTTGTTCATGTACACATTACATGGAGTACGTTCAAACTCAAAGGTTTTGGTTGAGTGTTAAACACTTGGTGGCCTTGGAGTTACGTGTTAATCAAACCTCTCTCCTTGTCAACAGTGGAAGGGAGGTCTCCTGGGTAGAGCTTACTTCTCGGCCCCTGAAAAATATGAATAATAATGTTTTTCTTCCATTTTTTCTGCAGTCTGGCTATGAACACAGCAACCTCGGTCAGGGCCTTGGCAACAGCGGTGCAGGGCACGGAGGTCAAGGAGGCAGGGGTCAAGGGTCAACTGGAGGTGGCCTGTTCTACGGCAACATTCTGGAGCCTCAGCACTTTGGGAGTAGTGCCAGTAACAATCAGGCCTTTGGAGGTGGCATACTCACAGCTTTGGTGGCCAACGAGTTGAGAGTAGATGGTATGAATGAATCCATTCTACAGACAGATGTCGAAATTAACAAATCTGAAGTTATGTTTGTGAGCATATGTATAAATTGGTAGCTGGAATTTCGCTAGTGGTTGTGTATTTTGATGAACTACCAGAAATGCAACACTCCTTGTCGTTGAGCCGTCTCCCTGTCTGTTGCTGTCGGGCCAACACTCCAGAGCCACTCAGTTCTCTGTCTTCGTTTATAAACAGCACTTATGCTTTGTTCAATTTGACCAGGAACAATCCGAGTGAATGGCCAGAACGGACAGTCTTCATCAGGAGGTGGGGCAAGCGGTGGCAGTATCTTGCTGAACACTCTGCTGTTCACTGGAGGAGGTCTCATCCAATCAAATGGTGGTGCCGGTAAGTGTGGGCTTTGTACATGACTGGATGAGGCAAATTTCCCACAGGTGTACTAAAACAGAAACAATCATCATTTTATTAAACTCCTTCTGCATACAAAACACATTGTCCATTTTGATATGGTTCATGGTTTTTTTGCACCCTGTGGGGAAAATGTTACCAGTGACTTCTCTTTGGGTGCCATGCCATCTTGCAAAGAATGCATACTTCTATTGGGTTTTTCATAATGCAGAACAGTTGGACTGTTTCTGTCGGAATGCTGTGCTTTTACTCCAGAACAGTCAGGTGTTCCATTGGGAACAGTCGCGTTCCACACAGAACGCTGTGTTCCTTTGTGAGAACGGTCCAACGGGAACATGTGTTCCCGTCGGAACGTCCCCATTCGGGTAGCTTCATATTGCCCATGTACAAATCTTTGCCAGTGTTCAAAAACAGAGCCTGCCATGGCAAAAGAACTTAAGTAAACTACCTTGCTTTTCTGATAGGCCTTATTGTGAATAAGAATCAGAAGTAAACTGAAGATGGAAATGTGATGTGGCAAAATTTCTTAAGCTCATGATGGAAATTTTGTTTTTGACTGAGATACAAAAGTGAAAAGCACTATGTGCTGACTGCGTGGAGAGTACATGTCGGTGTGTGTATCACTAGGGTATAGGTTGCATTATTAACATCAAGCTTAATTGCCTCAGTCGTGTCGTTCAACCTTTCTAATGATTTTAAAAGACCTAACCCCACCCCCCTTCAGTTACAAGTTAGGTTTCCAAATTGTTTCCGATATGTTGGAATACTTATGAGAAGAGACATTGCAATGATGATAAAGCCCTCTGCCACACAATCCCCCCCGATGAATAAAATACTTGGGGGCTTTAGACGTTGACATTAACACAATAGAATTACCGGGGTTCAGAAATACTCCAAATTCATTGCATGGTAAGCTGTATGTCGTGGTGAATATGGACAAGAAAAACAGGAGAAATGTTAACCTTCATGAGGAGTAAATCACAAAATGCTGCGCTCCAGCTGCTGTGCTTCAGACACAGGGTCAAGGAAATGAATGCCAAAAATCTTCCTTCCCGATTGCGAATGGAACAGGAGGACTGTTCCACTGGGAACACGCCTTCTCAGTGGAACGCTGCCTGGAATGGTCTATGCACAATGTGGAACTTGCCCACATCGCGGAGTCCAACAGAATGGGAACATTCACGGTTTTTGAGACGTTTCCTAAATGCAACAAAGAGTGACATTGGTGGTCATTGATGAGGTTGGGTGTTGGATGCCTTCAACAGGTCACAGTTCAGTAGGAGGTGGTGGCAGTGGTGGACGCATAGCCGTCTTTTTCACCGAAGACACCTTCACAGGACGATTCACGGCCTACGGGGGAAGCTCAGGCTATGAGCCAGGGGCGGCCGGAACTGTGTATCGGGAGTCAAAGGTCATGACCCCGCGTTACAGGAGTCTTTTAGTGGATAACAATGGCCAGACGGTGCGCGAGGTACGTCCTGCTTAACCTTTGATACAAATTCTTTGTTTTCAGAACTCAGAGGAGTTAAGCACCATTTTTTTTACAACCTAGCTCCTAACACATTGTGACATGCACCTTTGCAGCACACTTCAAAGTGACACCGAATGGTAGGCATGTGGTATCATATTTTATTGATGTCCAAATCCTGATTACTCTCCTTTGGAATTCACTAATTTTTTTGGTTCATTTCAGTCATCAATCAGCAACTACTACAATCTCCGCAACGATGCTGCAGTTACGTGGGTCAACTCCATAACTGTTGGCATTGAGTACATTTTTGATGAGCTCACGTTGCGTGGCAAAGCGCATCTAGCTTTCGAAGCCCGTGTTGAGACCAACATGCCACGCTATGTTGTCATTCAGAAGCTCATCGGCGAAGAGAGTCGAGATTATGATAGATATGGCACACTCCATACTGGCCCAAACCAAGTTGTGACCATCCGCCAAGCTATGTACTATGTGCCGCTTACGCTGCGAGTGTATGAACGCGGATCCTTGAACCTGCCTGACCGTGTCATGCTCTTCCGCACCACAAATGTCATCGATGGCTCCATAGGGGGTGCCGGGTATCTGTCCCTTGCACATGCCACACTGAGGTTCGGACCCAAGTCCAAGTCCGTGGTCGAGTCTTTGCGGACTAGTTTCAGCTTCCAGACCCTCCGCATTCTGTCAGAGAGCGTGGTGGAACTCCGCGGCTGGGACGGAGACTACGTGCTGAAACTGACCACACTGGAGGTCGGGCCCAGTGCTCAGGTACTGGGACGAAGGTTAAAAATACTGGCCAACACCATCACACTGGCAGAAACTGCATTACTTAGTGTGGACTACGGTGGATATGACAACAATGGAAGAGGTAAAACCCAACTAATTTCTAAATATAGTGACATTCTGAGGACAAACTTTAGTGCCACGATTTTCTTCATCTGTTTTTAAATTCAAGCTACAGCAGTTATGCTGGTTTTCCTAAGACTGTATATTTGCCACTGTTAACTCCAGACAGATCCTATTGATCCTGATTGAATTTGTTTTTCAATTAAAGGCAAAACCTTCCTCGTCATAAAACAGGCAATGCTGCAGTTGAGACCATCACAAGAGCAGTCTCTAGTATAGGAAGCACAATGAGAAGGGAATACTTTGTGTCCATTCTTCTGATGAGCCAAATTTGGGTTTCGTGGGGTCTTGCGATGGTCATAATAGGTCTTAACTGTAACAAACTGGAATGAGGTTTAGAACTATGTTTAGAAGTATAGATCCTATGAAATGGAGATAGACCATCTGCAGCCCTTCTTCATCCTTTCAAGACGCCTCCACTCCTCAAAAACCAGATCCATAGGACATGTGGCTTTATGTACATGTATTTGTGTCTACACACCCCATGTATTTATGTATTAATTCTTCCAACTTTTAGGCAGTACTTTTTCAAGTGACTGTATCAGTCAAGTACTTACCTTGCTGGGACTGGACCCTCATTATTGTTCTGCTGCCACTTTCCTAGTGATCCAAAGGTCAATTTGACAGCCACAAACTCTCTGTCTCTGCCCAACAGGTATCTACTTTGCCGGTGCTGGAGGCAGCCACGGTGCAAAGGGAGGTCTGGGTGATGCCAGCCCTGACTCCAGTCCACATTACGACTCCATCTTTGCTCCCGTGGAGTTCGGGGAGGCCGGGGGTTGTGGGGTGCATCGATGCGAGGATGGCGGAGCACCAGCTGGTGGGGGTGCCCTCCACATAGAGTCAACAATCCTGGAGAACCATGGAACCATCACTGCAAGGTAGGATACATCTTTCATCTTGGCCCAGTGTAAAAGAGCTTCAGAGAAGAGAAGACTGTCTTTCTCTTGTACCTGCTGAACATCCTACTTAACTCTTTAGAACGTTTCAGCTGATAATATCGATCAAGTCCATGTTTTCCGTGCCCCACAATTTTTGTACATAAAGGCCCTGCAAAATCTGTCTCAGGTCTTCAAATGAGGAAGATTATTGTTTGTACGTCCATGCAAATGACTACTCCAAGTAAAAGAGTAGAGTGTTTGTTTTCTCTTGACATCAGTTGCCCTTATTCCTGACCTTATTGAGGTTGCTAAACAGTTTACCCAGTGGTTTACTAGTACAGCAGCCGAATCGCCGAACCGATCCAAAAGCACTTTCAAACCGAACTGAACTGAACCGAACCAAACCAAACAAAACTGGTCAGTTTGGATGTTCGGTTTTAATATGACATGGCATTACTAGTGCACAGAATGCATGGACAAAAACTTGATAAAAAAGCAAACACAACGAAAAATGGGTAATGAGTTATGCTGCACTGGTGCCAGCACTCAACACAATCACGCACTGTAAATGTACATGTGCAGTAACTTATGGTTGCCACGCATCACATGATCGTTGTAAAAAGCACATGTTGAGAATTCACTGATAATCAACCGAGAACATGCAACGTATGTCATTTCCACTGCACAACAATTCTAAATTCTCACTACATCCAACTGTGCTTATGTATATTCACATTTAACATTATGTTTGTCAATCTCTGATAGCCCGCCCTTACGTTCCTCGATAGGCCAATGATGTTATAAATGGCCTTGCAAAACGAATTTTGATTGGATGCTGATCACAGTCAGACTAGTGCTCGATCAAAGGCAACCCCAGAGGGAAAACTGATATTACCAGGTGGGCCATTGCAATCGAGCACACAACAAGACTTGGTTTGAGCGGTGGCCTAACTTGCCTTTTGTTTGATCGCAGTCATAGTGTGAATACATGGTAATGGAATTTTGTCAGAAGTTGTCCGCAAATCTCAAATACCGAAATGCCGTTATTTATTCGAAAAAGACTGAGGGAAAGTCACCCCTTTGGTCACGTGGGCGCCGTCCTGGGAAAGAATGCTGAAGATTCTTCGAATACATCAAAAGCCATCGTTTGGTAGTTCAATCTGTGCCAGGAAAAATAACCAAAACTCATTTCGCTGGAAATCTTATTTCATCTTGTATCCTGTAAAGGAGGAAACTCCCATTTGAGCATTCTGTTTTTTTTCTGTTTTCACATATCCTACAATCGTTTTGTTGAGTTAAGCGTGGTCCAAACACAACTGCTTTTGGTCTATAAAACCAAAACAGGGTTGGAAACTGTCACATCTCCAATGGTAACTTTCTAGGTAATTTTAATTCCTAAACAAACTTTAGGAAAACAGTTTGGAAAAAAATGTTCACATCAAAGTTGCTCATGGATGGGGATGGAGAGAGATTCATGGCTTGTATTATACACCAAAATACTATATACGGTACGTTCATAGCGAGCTCAGCATTGTCTCAATATGCATTGTACATGTACGTGTACTTATCTGAACCTGAACCGAAGTTCAGCAAAAAATTTCCAAACTGTGTCAGAACGGAACCCGTACCGAACTTTGGCATCTACTTCAGCAGTATGGTTTATGCAATTGATTTTTGATTAAAATGGTAAAGTAATTCCATCTGAATTATGCAAGGTTATGGTCTGTTTGAATACTTGCAGGCCATCTGAATTCTTTAGACAAAGTTCGCTTACTGCATTGCTGTGGTTACAGTGGGCTAAGACTGTCTTGCTTACTTACGACAGAAAAATTGTCATCACAGACAAGCTTTTATGAGTTCATCCATTTAAGTCCATCCTAGATGGATGCGTATTGTTGCGTCGTAAAAAACAAGTTTTTATTTACCTCTGGGATTAACAGCATTGGTGGTTGCAATCACAGACCTCTGTGATTAGCAGAAATGTGACATTTGATTTCATGCTGATGTCATGTCATATGTAACATTGAATCTGTTAGAGGCCAGAATGCAGCCAGCGTGGCAGCCTATGAGCGGTCAGGAGGGGGTGCAGGTGGCAGTATCAGGATACAAGTTGACTCCATTAAGTCAACAGGTATTATTTTACATTTTCAACAAACGTGTAAACCTAAATGTTTTAGAAATCGCTAAATCGCTAAGTTTTTTTCAAAGCCAGCTCTCAAGAAGCTGTGTTATTGCCAATAGATCTTGATGTACATATGCATTAAACTCAGGGGTCCAATCTTATTCTTCTTTGGTTTGGTCTGTCAGGAATCATCGATGCTAGTGGTGGTCATGGTGACAGGAGCATTGGAGGCGGGGGAGCTGGTGGTATCATTGCTATCTACTGTGATGATGAACTGATTGCCAATCCTCCACTAGCGTGTGGTGCGTCAGGATATCAGGCAGGGGGAGCAGGATTTGTCTACCTTGAACGTCTCAAAGAGGGCCAGCTTTACCGCAAAGTGAGTCAATTTTGTCAGCCACAATAGAAGTTCGCCTATCCTAGAAAAGTAACTTGCATCAGAACAGGATTACCTTGGTTTCATTTTCTCCAAAGCAAGCTTGTAAACTGTTTTTTACTAGCTCTCAAAAGATGCCGAGCATACAGTGCCAGAATTCATCTCACCATTTCTTTATCCTACCTTTAATCTATTTGTTATCATTCATGAAGGAATTTTATTCGTTGTTTTGTTACAGATAAGGATGGACAACTGTGGGCGAGATTCTCCACATGAAGCTGTGGCTGACTTAAGTTTGGACGCCAACCTCTTCAGCCTCCACGAATTGGAGATCAGAGGGTCTGCAAGACTTCGTCTGGCTGGGAGAAGATCCTACAACCCCTCTCTCTGTTTCCCTGTAGCTGTCGTGAAGGGTGATCGCACAGGATGGTTCACCGTCAGTAGCCAAATCGAAGCTCACTTTGGTATCTGCGGATGCCCTGTCTGTCATGTTGAAGAAGCAAATCCAAACATGGATCTTGTCTTCAGTATTTCTGTCGAAGAAGGTGGCTACCTAAAACTCCCAAGTGACGTGACTATTCGCAATGGAGTAACTTTAGATCTTTGTGGCCGCCTGGATGTGACTGAGGAAGGTATAGTCAGCATTCGGGATAGAGGAACATTCTTAGCAAGCTATCCAGCCGCAGCTGGAGATGCTGATGCTACTACAGGAACTTTAGAAATTGAAGCAATCAAGATTTTCAAGGGAGGTCTTATGAAGAAATCGGTAGAGTGTCCCAATCCAGAGAGTATGCCATTGTATCTCAGTGTCAGCACCCTGCAAAAATCGTGGATGTCTGCTTTTGTTGAAGATGGATTCATCATCCCTAACACTACCAATGTGATTGCAGACAGCATTCAGGACTCTTTGCCTAGCCTGGTTTGTCCTGAAGGAATTCAGACATTCTATAATACAACAGTTGAAGACTTGTGCGCAGGAGGTTTCATGATATCCTTCGATAACACCACAAATGTTACTGTTTGCGATTACAGCAGTCTTCACATGACAGCTGGGCAAAGCTGTGAGTTGATTCCTGGGGAGCATATCTATCAGTCTCTGATCCTGGAAGGAGGTTCAGAAATCATAGTCGTTGGACAAGGTGATGGGTCTACATTCACTCAGTTGAGTGTTTCAAATCTCACAATCAACTATGGTGGGTTGATCAGTGGTACTGCAAGTGGATTTGTCAGTGGTGGGCCAGGACAAGGCACAGGTAGCAGTGGAGGAAGCCATGGTGGAGTAGGAGGGGGTGCTAATGCAGGGGCAACTTATGGAAGTGTAAGGGACCCGATTGCTTATGGTAGCAGTGGCGCAAACAGCCGTGGGGGTGGACAAATTCAGATCATGGTCAGTGGAAGCTTCCATCATGATGGAGTCATTGAGATGGTGGGTGGAGACGGCATCGGTGGAGGAAGTGGTGGGAGCATCTACATCCAAACTGGGTCCTTCTCAGGATATGGAGAGATTGACGCTGATGGTGGTGGTGGATCCACATCTGGAGGCGGAGGGGGTAGAATAGCACTAGATATACAAGGTCGGTATGGCTACAAAGGCCTGTTGCATGCAAACGGTGGCAGCGGTGGTATCAGGGGCTCCTCGGGCACTGTCTTCATACAATATCCCATTGACGGCACTCTGTTTACTACCTTGATCATCTCCGGACAGTCACCTCAGCCAACACTTACACCTTCTCTCAGGCTGACAGACTTGGCTGAACTGCATGTAAAAGACTCTGGAGTTTTCGGGCTTGACTCTGAGCTCAATGTGACAAACATTATTGGTGATGGCACAGGAAAGATTGTTTTGATGACTGGGGCATTGCTAGAAGTTCAAGCAGTAAACAACCCACATCTTGGCACCCAGTTTACATTGGAGGTGCAAGATGGTGCTCAGTTCAAAACAGAGTCCAATCTCTACCTGACAGGAGTCAATCAACCATTACTTGAACTCTGGGGAAACTTGACAGCAACTAGCCTCACAGTTGGAGAGAGTGGCCAAGTTATGATAAAGGGAAGTGGGAAATTGATGACCTCTCAGGTCTTGGTTCACAAGTCAGCCCAATTTACCATTTCTGAAGGTTGGATTGGAAGAAATCCAGAATCCGGAACTGTTAATTTAGACATGCTGTCTGTGGGACCTGAAGCCAGTGTTCAAATCCAGTCTGAAACTGATCTGAAGATTGCCATCCTGACCCTTAGCTTTAGATCTTCCCTCACCAGTTCTGCATCACTGAATATTACAACAAACTCCTCAAGCATTGAAAGTGGTGCAGTTCTCACAGTCAACAGTGGAGGCCTGGTGGATGGACCTGGAAGTACAGGCCATGTAACTTGCGGAGCAAGTCATGGTGGACAGGGAGCCTGTGAGTCAGTGAAGGGGTCCACATATAACTCAGTTTTTCATCCTGAATCCCCAGGCAGTGGAATAAGTAATGCCGGAGGTTCCATTCGGGGAGGTGGCATCATATCCTTTACTGTGTCTGAGTCTATTGAAGTTGGAGGTACCATTTCTGCAAATGGGGGAAGCAGTACCAACTTAGGTGGTGCCTCTGGAGGGAGTATTTACATCTCTGCAGCTAAGCTTGGAGGACATGGGCTGTTAGCTGCTAATGGTGGTGATGGGGGTGCATCTTGCTGTGGTGGAGGCGGTGGAGGACGCATCGCCATCAATTGCCTGGATACAAGTGACTTTGCAGGCTTTGTCACTGCGTATGGAGGGCATGGGTTGACCAAGGGGGCTGCAGGAACCATCTTTGTGCAGACAAATGAGCAAGGATACCAGACAAAAACACTCACGGTTGATAACCGTGATCTGGCATCAGACTGCTACACAGTGTTCCTGCCAAGGATGGATGATCCTATAGTCTCACTTGATAAACTTGTCTTGAGGAACTCAGGAAGGCTTCAGATTACTGAGCAAGGCTCTGTGTCTCTCACTGTGAGTGACCTTGATGGTGATTTCAGTGGCAACATCCTAGTGCAGACAAACCAGAGTCTCTCTTTAGCCACAAGGCAGGCTGTTACAAGCTACTACATCCTACAGAGTGCCATTGTGGTGCAAGAGGGAGGAGAGATCATCATCCCTTCCAATCTCTATTTGCATCAAGTCACTCAGGGACGGTCTCTTCATCTAGCGGGCTTAATCACTGGGGTGAAGAATCTCCTCATCGGTTCCAGTGCAGATGTTTTGATAGAGTCAACTGCAAGCACTGCCTTCCTCTCAGGGGAAGACTATGTCTTCATTGACCCGCCTGGAACATTCACCCTTGATTCTCTACTTGTTCTTGGATATGGAAGTCTCACATTTGAAACAACCCTAGATTTGCCAACCTCCTTAAATGTCTTAAATGAGATACATGTCAGGTATAGCGGCATCTTGAAAGGAAGGTGGCTCCTCCTTGAGGTTAGTCAGGTCCATGTTGAATATGGGGGGTCAATTACAAGCAATGCAATGGGGTACCAGGCTACTTTAGGTCCAGGTGCCGGTTCAAGTGATCCAGCTGGTGGTGCTGGTGGGAGCCATGGAGGAGTTGGAGGTCAAGGATCAGGAAGCAGTCGACCAATTCAAGACTCATATGGAAGTCTATATGAGACCAGAGATTTTGGAAGCGGTGGAGGCAACAGTAACGCTGGCACTGGTGGCTCTGGTGGTGGAATAATCCAAATGAATGTGGTGACCTTCAGGCTGGACGGATTGGTGACTTCAAGTGGAAGCAGTGGTGGCTGCAGTGGTGGCAGCGGTGGCGCTGTGCACATCCAGGTTCTCCAGGAGTTTACAGGTGCTGGACGAATCGATGTGGCAGGTGGTGATGCTGCACATGCTCAATGCGGAGGAGGTGGCGGAGGTAGAATCACTATCATTACACAAGTTGAATCCCGTTTCACAGGAACGTACATAGTCCACGGAGGTTCGTCTGGCACTGCTTCCCATGCCGGAGGCTCTGGAACTGCCTTCCTAAAGCAGATAACAGGAGCCACAGATTTCACCCAACTCATCATCAACAATAATGATGCTGGCATTACATCTGCACAGCGCACTCTCCTTAACGAGACTGAAATTGAGGAGTACAACTTTGACGAGCTTCACATTCTCAAGAATGTCATCTTGGAGGTAGCAGGTCTGGATAGATACATGACAGTGGCGACACTCATCGGTGATGGTACCAGCACTCTCAGAGTTCATGACACGATGACCATGAGTGTTTCTGTAGGACAAGATGAGGTCAGTCTCACATGCAGCTTCCAACTCGATCCAGAAGGAGAACTGAAGCTCCCCGCAAGGGTGTCCTTCTTTGGACCAAATAACATTCTATCAGGTTAGTAAAGAAATCTACAATTGCAAATTAGTTTCCCCGATGCAACAATTTTGATGGTTATATCGCATGCTTGACAGATAAGGTCGTTTGGATGTGATACATCATGCCTATATTTTGACCCGTGGATAGTTACATTGTAGTACAGCAACTTTGTAGTGTGTCCAAGGACATGACAATACTTTGGAGGTCTGGAGCAGTTTAAGTTTGTCCAATCGGTGCAATTTACACATTATCAACAGTTTCTTCAAATTGGGAAAGGTTTATGGTCAGGCAGGATTGTTCAAAGGAGTGTTCAGGTTTGATCTTAACTCACTCGATGTTTGCCTGCAAATGGCCATACATTTGAAATTGGTTTATATATGGCATTCAAAAACAAAGTTAGCATGTATTTAGTTTCTTTTCTTTTGTTTGCGTTACAGGTACATTGACAAACATCTTTGAAATGGTGATTGCATCTAACCAACAAGTAACCTTGTCCCCAGAGGGCCGTACAGCTCTCTTCATTGATGGAAACTATACCTACATATCCGAGCGTGGTGCCTACAAGCTAGCCCTCCTGTCGGTCAACGACTACGCAAGCCTGACTTTTGGCGTGTCAGCAAACAAGACAGCAGTCCGGCCTCTATCGATCGGATCATTGGATGTTGAATATAGGGGTGTTGTCAATGGGGAGACGCTCCTTATACAGGGAAATGAGGTAGTGTTGCATGCAGGCAGTACCATTCAGCTCTCTGGGGGTGGTTGGGTGGCTGAAGAGGGACCTGGAGCTGGCAAGAGGGTTCGTATTCATTCCCTTATATTCTTTTTAATTGTTCATCCCCATGCATTTGCAGTGCACTGACTAGTTACTTGAACTTGAATAACTTGTGATCATTTTAATTACATCTCCCTGGTAAGCTTGATAGTCCAGCGGTTAAGACATCTGCACTTGTAAGCATGAGGTCATGAGTCCCACCCGAGTAAGCTTGTGATGTTGTTCACAAGCTCTCAGACACGTACTGAGTATACAGTGTTTGAATATACCTTGGGTAAGGACAAAACCCATAATTAAACATAACATCGCTCCAACGCAAAGTGCATATACATCTTGAAACTTGTTATCAGTTGAATCACAATTCTATTGAAATAAAACATCATTAGAAAAAAAGAGAAAAACTTTGAATTAGAGCCTCAAGGTGCATTCATACCTTAGGCCATGCTATAACTTTGAATGAATTTCTCATCCCTGATTTCAAAATGTGTAACATGCAACCCATATTTGCCGAGATTGGTCACAAATAAACAGCATGCTGAAAAGTTGAAGAGTCAGAGTTGATCTTTAAGACATGTCCAAAAGCTGTGACTGTGGCTAGTTCCAGTATACGTGTCTATGGGGAGTGGCTACAGCCACAGGCCAGCGTCTTTTATGAGGGTGCATGTTGTAGGCTACAATCCTGGATAAATCTTGTTGGGCCTCCAACCCCCCGACCCCCTTTCATTGTTGGGTCTATGCGCGCACAGTCTGCACTCCAGCTGGACGTGACAATGTTGACCAGGGGAATGGAGGAGGGGCTACAGAGTGTATGGCTATTGCCAAGTGTCCCAACAATTTTGTCCAGGATTGTAACAGCATCCCAGATTTCTATGCACAGCCTTACCAACAATGAATGGTTATTATCTTTCTAGGTTGGCAACATTGGCACTGGTGCGGGACATGGTGGCTTCGGAGGGTCTGCCCTAGGCCAAACCGGTGGCTCCCCCTACCAAGCAACCTCGGACCCGCAGGACGGTGGAAGTGGCGGTGGCATGGGATCGACCGGTAAAGGAGGTCGCGGTGGAGGATACTTGAAGTTGGAACTCAGTGGGACATTGTCACTTGAAGGTCAGCAATCAACCAAAATTTTTGCATGAATCTGCATAATTTGCTTCATGCATTCCTAAATTTAAGCACTAAAAAGACTCATCTGTTCAAAATTATTGACTCTGCCAGGTTCTTGTAAAATCATTCTCAAGTCAGAGCTGTGTTTGATTTTTATCACATTAATAAACTGCCAGTCATCTAAATATATTTCATTTGAAGCTGTGTATTAATAACGCAGAACTCTTTCAACAAATTAAAGCAATGACAGAGCAAAATCTATCAAAGAGAAATAAATAAGTACATATTTGCATATGGAAAGTTCCACAGCAGATTTTTTTTTTATTTTCTCAAATTTCCTTATTCACCATGTTCACAGTAGTAGTGAAGATGTATACATTTGCTAATATCTAGCATGAGAAGAAACGGCTCAAGGCTGGTTTATAATTGGCTTGAAACCAAATGCGAATGAAGCTTTGATGTCACAAAGTATACACAGAGTAATTTTACTCAACTTGTACATTCGCAGCACATATATTTGCCTTGACGTCACAAATTTGAGTACTTGTTTGCTTTTGTGCTGAGTATGGAGTGGTCTTGCGTGTGATAGAATCCCTCTGGCAGCTGTCAGGAGCCGTCATCTCTTTTCAAGCAGTTCCCATTTTCATTAAAAATATATTAGCATTGAGACCAATTTGGATCAATCTCTGCTGTCACTGTCATCAGTTAGATATTGAAAAGGTGGGGAAGTAATTACGGTGGTTCCAAATCATCCGGTCAAAATTCAGCCAAAGATGGAGCACCAGTTACCTCCTTTCTCAAACAGGATGTATACCAGAATTGTCATCCAATTTGACAAGGATGCTTAATTGCACTACGGGCAAACGGCACAGGGTTACCAAGTAGAAAACATATTTGCATAACAAAAGCTGGTGACGAGCAAATATGTCATGCATTGTGTGTTGGTTGAAAGTGGTGTCCTGATCTTTTTTGTTTGAATGTGTGAATATGTGAAGCTGTGTTTACTGCTCATTTAAATAGGACCAAGGTCCGCATTTCCTGGCTCTGCTCATGGTAAGTGATTAATCCCCTCTAACCATGGCAGAGAAAACTGTTCTAATTGTAAGCTCATTTCACAGGTTAGCAAGGAAATTTGGGTGATTCATGTATGCATATTAAATCCCGTAACTAAGATTTCTCTGCTTACCCTTTTAAAGTAGAATTTTTGTGCTAGCCCTGTGGGCATAGGAGGTTGATCAAAAGAGCAGAAATCAGCGGATAGCAAAGCCACGAAATGAGGCCCAGATTATTAGAAAAAAGATAAACCAAGTACCAATACTTGGAGCATGTGCTTTCTCATGAAAATACAAATAGATCTTTTTAAATATTTCGTTACAATGATTTGGATTGTTTAATAACTGTTATATGAAATTTCACACCATTTTCAGTTTGCCAAAGTAGTTACAAAGATTCTTTTTTCTTTCACCTTGAAGAAATCATACATTTTCTAAAAAGATCAAACTTGGCTTTCAATTTTCAACATGCTTGTGATTCCTATCCAATGCAAAATGAAAGCAGTACTTACTAATAATCTGTACCAGTTTCACATTTGAACATTCAAAATAATCAAGCTGCAATTTTTGTAACATTTTAAGTGGAATCCCTGTATCAATTCACAGTATCAAAGCACACTTATGATGATTTTATTTAACACAAATACCAATCAGAAAGATTAAAATATTTATACATATTTTGACATCTATTTGCACGTCGTGAAATGTTGAAGCTGTTGCTGTTGACAAAGTGATAATGTATTGAAGATACGCAGTAAAGTTAATGAACACACAAAGAGCAGTCGTTAGTATAAATGCAATAAGCAAGAATGGTCACAAATTTTCTACCATTAAGACAGAAGAATATGAATCAAATTTGACTCTACATAATGTAGAGATCTATTGTGTACACAATATGCAAGTTGGTTTTAAATCCTTGTTTAGTTTTCTTATCCAAACATGGGAAAGAAGTAAACATCACATGTAGGCCTATCATATTGATATTTACATGTATGTGCATTTTCACTCATCTTTGTGTATCAAGAATTTTGCCTTATTTTCACGCACAAACCTACCAAAAGTTAATGTCTACATCTACATGTAGTTTGCCGTGCATTTTGGTTGAGTGATTCCAATATTAAACGGTCAATATCTTTAAGGTAGTTGATACGTTATACCTGTACTTAACTGGTACAAAGACATAAATATAATTGCACATAAATTTCACTCCAGAATTGGACCATTCCTAAACTTGCAAACCCTAATTGAAAAGAAAACTGTCACGTTTCTCACTGACAGCCTTTCTTGTTCCTTGGTTTCTTGAAACCTTTCATGTGAAAAAATCCCCTTGCTAATTTGGTGCAGCTTTTTATTAAAAAAAACAGTTCTCTAGAATGCCCAGTTAGGAATTATTATTGGTCACGGACAGGCTCTGTGATTCTCAAGACCAGGAAATCTGTTATTGACTTGAAATCTTCCCTTTATTTTGGAAAGTTTTCAGTGTCCGGCTGTGTTAGAGCTTGTGTCTTTATGTTCTTTGAGCAGTGAGTTTTTACAGAATTTACATGGATACATAGTGGCTAAAAATTGATGCAGTCTTGTTTTAAAGGCCTGGTTCCGCTTGTAAAATATCGGCAAACAGAGGAACGCAAAGGCATTCAGAAGGGCATTTGAAAGGAAACCTAAGATGAAGAGCTCATAACTTTGTTGTCCTGTGAAAAAGTCATAAACGTACATTATTACAGTTGGGCATATGCTGATGTCAAAGAGCATACCAACCAAGCAAATCATGATGACAGATTTTCTTGCTGGATGTTGGCAGAGGTCCCCAGCCTTAGTTGCATTCTGCTTCATCTTCTGAATTTTCTTAATATGTCTCCTTGCAATAATGAACATGTAAGCATAGAAGAATACTACAAAAAAATATGGTGCCATAATGAATACGTCAAAGGAAATGGTAAACCAAATTTTAGAAAGGGATTGGAACTGGCAGCCGCACTGTTCTGGGAGATACGCAGCCCTAAGATTGGACTGGAACGGACCCATGAACAACCCACCAAGTATGGCGATACCCCAGGCCATCAGCACAGCAGCTATCGCCTTCTTCCGGGTAACGATTTGGTGGAAGTGCAAGGGCTTCTTGATGGCAAGGAATTGAATAAGGCTCATGACCAATAGATTCCAGAGACTGGCTGTCAGCAAAGCCTGTCGGAGCACGCCCTGAATGTTACACAGTTCTCTGCCAAGAGGCCACTTGCCATAGGCAGCCGAAACTACCCCTGGTAGGGTCCGAAACAACCCAGTACCCAAGTTGGCGACTGTCAGGGATATCATGCTTATCCTTGTTGGCTCAACAATGGACTTAATACGACACAGGACAATCAAGGAAATCATATTACCACCAAGGATAAAGAAACAGGTGATACCCATTATTGTGCTAAAAATTACTCTGATGTAAGTTAGCTGGGCAAATTCATTATAATCTACTGAATCAGTATTATTCATTTTGAAAATAATTTTATGAGCCTTCAAAACTGAATTGAACCTCCAAGGATAGTATTAAATGACCCAAAGTTTGACAGCCGTCTTACTAAGTTCTTCACAATGTAAAGAAAGTGTCAATTATAGAATTACACGTATAAAAGTAGTACTTTTATTTGCTTCACAAGTGTGCTAGAATTTCAAAGAAATCAGATTATGATGTTTTCCTCTGTATTGAGTCTAGATATGTGGCTGCTCTTTTTATTTGATAAATGAGACTCCAAGAAATGAAGTCTTGAAGCTAGCTGGAATGACAATAGTGATGCTGATACTGATCAGGTAGTAGTCCTTCCTCCTTTCCGGGGCATTTCCTTGTTTTCTTCTTTTCTTTTGGCTGTTCTTCTCAAGTCATTTCAAAAGATCTTTCATATTTTTCTTGACAACATAAACTTTCCTTGTGATCTTCATTCTCAAGCCAGAACAGGAGGGTTATAGGTGACTCTTTACTTTCCAGATCATCTACATGCAACCTAATGATCCTACTGGACTGTCTGTTTGAATTATGAATTGTCAGATTTCACGGCTGTACAACTCTTCCGGCTCTCAGGTTTTACGGGAACTTATATCTTCTCTGAAGATTAAACATGCTAGCAACCTCATTGGATTTCATTTCAGGAGATGCGGATCCACCTTTCCTGCCCAGAACCCCATGTGGATGGCAAATCAGCAGATCTGTTGAACTGGATGAATTTCGCTGACTCCTTTTAGAGTATCAGTTAATCTCAAGCAATAGATGTTAGAAGCTGTGGATTTTAAACTCAAGCCCAAGGCCTCTCGTAGATTGCGAGTCAGCTGATCTGAATTTTGATTCAGACACCACAGTGGTAGTTTTGTCCCGTTCAACTAGATGGAATTTTCTGTTTTTCTCTTTGTTAATTTATGGCTTGTAGATTGATTTCAAAAGCTGTGGATGCGGAGCTCAAGCCTGAAGTGGCATATGGAGAGCAGATGTTTTGAAATAAATATAAAATTGACTTCATCCAGTGCCACAGGAGCTGAACTACATCTACGAAGCATCAGTCATAAAGCTGATCTCTCAAGATGCCTACAAATCCACCCCACAGAGCTGAGCTGACTTTAGCTTCTTACAAATTTCCCTTGTGAGCAAGAATGTCTGTCATGGGATCTTAACACAGTTTGACTTCCACAACTGTGGATCCACCATTTAACAGAGACAGCTTTCCATGTAGTCATAGTATGTCCACTTGTTGCTGCCAGGCCAAGGCATTGAGCAGTTCATGTTGCACTGTGGATACACTGGAGAGATCTGATCATTCATGCAGATTTGTGCAATTTTGAAGTAAGCTGAAACAAGAGGGTGCATATACCACACAGTGACATTGAACGGCTCTCAAAGTATTACAGTCAGTAGGTGGGAGGTCGTGCTGTCCATAAGAAGACATTGAAGACTGTTAGATGCTTTCTCAGTACGCCAAGTTTTAAGGACACAGGAGATCAGAGATTAACCAAAGCAAGTCCTATCTTGTCGCCTGTCCTTCACAGATCACGTGTTGCATGGTAAACTCCTTTGTAATTGGCCCCCCGAAATTCTTTGCTTCAGTATCTCCATTGCCTTCAACAATGAATTCATGTCAAGCACTTTTATCAGTTGATGGATTGTGCTACCTGTGTAATATATCTGTTGGTCTTAATAAGCACTATACAAACACGCAGAGTGCCTTCCCTGTGTAATTGGCCTCATCCATCAGAATAACCGTCGTTTACCCTGAGTGGGGAATATCATGATGGGCATTGTTGACCTTGTTCGCTTTTTCCTCAAAGCACTTCCTGCATTTATCAATCATGCCCTGTGTTTTAATATGATGCTTTTAAGCAAAACAGCTCATGAAATACTGCCTTAAGAAAGTCAGCTCACAACGCTGACTGCAATTTGTCGATGCAGAAAGTTACCCTCACAGCAACATCCATAACTTAAAATTGAAGACACTTTTCCTCCAAAAGTGTTATGTCCACATACATTCGGCTCTATAAGATATTAAGAGCATGAACTCTCAGTTTCCAAGTGTTGAAAAGATGAAAGATGTCCTCTTCAAAGAAAAGAAATTGCATGCTTTGCTTACCACATTGAAATGAGTGCTTGGTCTATTATCATCAAGGTGGCAGGCTGAATCTGAGTGATGTGAAATGCAACACAAAAGTTCAAATAAATGTCAGATGATACCATCTTGTACAAAGTCATACCTTAAACCATTCATTGTACATGTATCAAAATGTAATGTACATGTACAATGTACCATCACCAAGGACAGGTTGGCATACAAAGGAGATCAATTTTTTCCCCAATAGCTTAATTCTGTCCACAGTTGCAAGTGTATTATATCTGTGTTCAGTCAAAGGGAATGTATTAGAGGAATAAAGAAAACAGTGCCCTGTCCTCTCTGGTTATAGTAAACAAACGGTCTGCACTTGTGTGGTGTTTGCCCAAAAATAAGTGCTCATTTTACGGGTTGTGTATTTTGGTCTTAGGCATATTGAATTTAGTAATGATCTACTGCCGATATGCAGATAGACATATAACTGTTATGGGGTGCTTCTTTGATGCTGGGTCAAACTTGTATTATTTCCATGCAGGTTCAATTCTAGCTAATGGAGTGACGGGAACGGGAAACAGTGGAGGAGGCAGCGGTGGGGGTGTCTACATCTCCGCCCAAGCCCTGAGGGGACATGGACTGGTGGAAGCCAGTGGGGGTAACAGTGACGGGCTCGGCGGTGGAGGATCGGGAGGGAAGATATCTGTGTATCTCCAGAACAAGTCAGTTTTGAAGGAATCCAGGCTCTTTTGGTGTCCCCCATGATACATATTCATTCAGTCTGCTTATCACCAAATGAATGCCAACAGTTTATGATGACATTTTAAATTCAAGTCATTAATTTAATGAGAGGCTTTTGGCCTCTTCAAGAAACAGCTCACATCTGGGAATTAGATTAAAGTTTAATTAAGAGAAATGCCTAAATAGGAGCACGTGCTGTCTCATATCAGAACATCCTTTATTAACATCCTTTACATGTAAGCGCTTTCATATGAAAGCGTTCAAAAGAAGCAAGAGTCTTGCATTCTGGGAACATTGCTTTTTGCCTCTGAAAAACTAATGAGTTGCAAAAAAAGGAGCATTTGAAAAATAACAAAAGCATTCTGAGTTTTGAAAATCTTTACATGGGGAGAAGTCCAATCTTAGTTTGTTGATCGTGAGTCAGTTCTGTATTTCAAACAAGGAATGTCATTTAGGAACAAAGCGCATGGGTAAGTCCACACATCCAAATTAACGTTCGAATGACCGCAGACACACTCCAGTATGGGCATGGACTTTTAGAATACCTAACTAGTTCATTCGGAAGAAACTTTAAAGTGCTTTGCCTAGAAACATCTTGCCTAGGACCAGCCTTTTAATGTTTCCAAAGTGTTTATCACCAAAACGGTATTTCTCTTTACTTTCCTCTATTTTATTTTTGTATTCGGAATATGAAATGTTGTAAAAGCGACAGTAATACATGATGGTGAAGATTTCAGCTCAACTTGTTCTTTTTTATTTATTTGTTCAATCAGGTTTGATTTTGATGGTACCCTCCGAACCCACGGGGGCCACAACACCGATATTGACAGCAACCAGATCACAGGTGCAGCGGGAACAGCGTTTATTCGGGATCCTCTCAGCGGCTTCCCAACCAGCAGGGTTATCATTGACGGAGGCAGGGCATCAAGCCTCCCAAGACAAGCCAGAACTGTCTTGTTTTCAGACAAGGAAGATGACGAGATGGACTACAGCTATGAGTCTCTGGTTTTGCAGGGTAAACTTTTAAAGTAGGAGTGAACATTGCGAAAAAGAAAGTTGTCACAGATATTGATTGAAGAACAGTTCTTTGTACTCTGATGTCACTTACAATCTTCACAGGAGAGCTTTAAATAAATGAAATCGAAGAACAAAATTGAATAAAAACCTAATTTATTTGTGGACTAGTCCTGATTAGATGGTATTTGTTCAATGACTTTTAACTACTTTTAATAAAGTCATTGGCAGTTGAACTGTTAATCTTGAGCTGAAGACCTCACTTGCAAGACCTACTGGTGTGCCATTCCTCCTGTTGAAAGATCTAAAAATAGATTAAAAACCCACAGGTACCTGTTTGATATTAAAATTTATACATGTAAAGACATTGTTTTCTGTTTTCATAAGCTCTATATCTTTCATTCCCCCTAGGCTTCTCACACTTGGAGTTCAATGGAACAGAATCAACTCTCACAGTCCAGTCTTTCGAAGGCGACAAAACAGGGACATTATATGTCCAGCACAACCAAGTCTTGCTTGCAGAAATCGTCAACGGACGTAGCACTCGCATGACCACCCAGGTCAACTTAGACTCTGGATGGAACACAACCCTGGTCTTCCCGTCTGTACTCTCAATCGACCAGACCGAGTTGGTCATTCGTGGACAGTTTGACATTCAGAGAGTCTCTGTTGAAGAGAACAGCATTTTCACCCTTACAGACACAAGCCTCACTGTCCGGAGGACCAGAAACGGGTTTGTCCCAACCAGTAATCCTGGGGCGTACTTGTTTAATCTGCTTGCCCTAAAGCGTGGGTCCTCATTCTCTGTGGACGGAGGCCTGACTCTCACAGGAGGATCATTTGAGGTCAAGAGTGGAGTAACTCTCCAGTTTGATTTCTTTGACATTTCATCAGCAGTGGTCACTGTCGAAAGAGGGGCAGCACTTGATGCTAGTGGAAAGTCCAGAGAAGATCACCCCAATGCAGGTTAGTTGCTCTGTAGACAGTAATATTGACTACATTAATACTAGATTGTCAATCTAGTTTTCCTCTTATTGTGCATTGATCTTTCACTTGCATGTCAAAATATGTGAGATCAAATCAAGACTTCCATACCCTGTTGAGTTTTTCTCACAGCCAGTGGAAATCACACATTGTAATGACAGTATAAGGAAGAATATAATTTTATGAAATTTTTCAGTTTTTCTTAATTCTCTATTGATATTTTGTTTGTACCCAGGTGACTTTGCACCCTGTGGAGGAGGGTCATATGGAGGGCCAGGTGGTGTGGGTCAAAGTGTAGGTGCTTCTCAAGCATTTCCCTCTTTTGGATCAATCTATGTACCCTCCCAGTCAGGCACCCGCGGTGGGAATGGTGGAGCGGGAGGTTCCTACCTGCACTTTCAGTCACAGGAAATACGCATTGATGGCAGCATGTTGGCCAATGGGAGCCCAGCTCTCTCAGGAAATGCAGGTGGTGGCAGCGGTGGCAGCGTGTGGATCACTGCCAGTGTGGATTTCCGTGGAACCGGGTTGATATCTGCTACCGGAGGAGCTGGGGGGTCTCAGAACTGCGGCAGTGGGGGCGGTGGACGTATTGCCGTATATACTGACTCAACAGAACGCTTTGTTGGCCAGTTCAATGCCGCTGGAGGCTCAGGTCAGTCCAGTGGTGAAGGCGGCCCTGGTTCCATCTACATCCAGGAAGTGAGAGATGGAGAAAGCTTTGAAAAGTTGATGGTTGACAACAGGAATGGGCAAACCAAGTTATATTTCACACTGAGTGAAGATTGGAGGGAGGGCGCCATTGACGAAATTGACCTGAGCGACAAAGTCCTATTCCACCTGAATCCGGATGGCTTGCACAGGTCATTTGATATGCGAAAGGTTGTTGGTGATGGTTCTGCCTTGGTTCACATTCATAAGAACCAGACAGTGATATTTGAGAGGGCTCTGGAGGCTAATGACACAAGTGGTAAGACCTACGTGAATATCAAAGTCGATGCTGACGGGGAGGCCATCATGTCATCAAGAACTCAGATAGTTGGTAAAGGAACCACACACATTGCTCTTGATCTGTCTGGAAAGTTAACAGGTGTCCAGGACCTGGCTTTAGCTGATGACCGAATACTGCGGGTGTATCCAACAGCTAATGCCGTTGCTTTGGTTGGAGATGAGAGTGGAGAACTAGGGGAATTCACTTTTGCCTCAGTGGAAATGGCCAGCGGCAGTCGATGGGAGTTTACTGAGAACATGGGAGCCACTTTGACTGTTGGGACCATGGACGTCAAATTTGGTGCTGGAATCTGGGCAGATTTTTTCCAAATTACGGCTTTTGATCTGGACATTGAAGTAGGAGGTCTTCTGTCATGCACTGGCACAGATCGACAAGGCTCGTCAGATGTAGATCAGTTAGTGGGGAGTGGAAAGACAGAAAGTGGGGTTGACTCAGGAGCTGGTCATGGAAGCTTTGGCGGAGTTGGCTACTCCATCTCAAATGAAGGAGGAAAGCCATATGGATCCTTGTACTATCCCACAGAAAAAGGGAGCAGGGGGACTGTTAATGGAGGACGTGGGGGTGGAACTGTCTTCATCATCTCGGCGGAGCTGATACTAGATGGGGAAATATCAGCAAGTGCAGGCGATGGCAAGACCAGCCACCGAAGTGGTGGCAGCGGTGGCAGCATTCTGGTTCAGCTGCAGAGTTTTGAAGGCTATGGCTTGCTCTCTGCAGATGGCGGAGATGGTTATGGGAATGGAGGTGGTGGTTCAGGAGGACGCATTGCTGTCTACACAAATCTCACTAGTCAGTACGGTGGCCGGTACTCTGCTCTCGGAGGTCAAGCATCCAGACAGTACTCGCTTCCTGCTGGAGGAGGAAGTGGAACAGTCTTCTTACAAGAGTTGAGAAATGGCGTCCCATTTAAGAGGCTCTCTGTGGACAACCAGAACCGGCAGATTACTCAGTATGTCACTTTGAATGAGACTGGTGCTAACAGGTATGAGTTTGATGAAGTCTCCTTGCCAAGGAAATCTTCCCTACATGTTCAGAGGGAAGTGTCTGACGTAACACTAGTGATTCACAAAGTTTATGGAGACAGAACAGGTCTTCTCCATGCCCATGCAATGCACCACTTTATTATTGAGGTTGTTGAAAGTGTACCCACAGTGACAAAAGCCCCTGTGAATTTCATCATTGACCAGGATGCCGAGATTGTCTTCCCCGCTACCTTGTATGTGATTGGACATGGCATCCCCACAGAAAACTCGGGTGTAGCTTCCTTGGAATATGATGGTCGGCTGACGAATGTTGCCAATTTGATCCTCAACCAGGCAACAACTGTTCAGATTATGCCAAATGCTCATACAGCCATCACAGAGAATGGGACCTACATAGAGATTGGTGAGCCAGGAATCTTCGAATTTGGAAGCCTCCTTCTTCTGACAGAATCCACACTCAATTTTGCCCCAGACATGGGTATGAAGTTCTCGACCAGTGAGCTCCATGGTCGGTATGCCGCAACAATCTCAGCTGAGCATGCTGAGCTGCAGTCATCAAGCTTGAATATTGAGGAAGGAGCATCACTGACCTGTTCGGCCTCTGCTCGACCAAATGATATGACATCGGAGACACGTGGGAAGGGTAGCCAGGCTTCTGGGAACAGCGGAGGTGGTGGTGGAGGTCATGCCAACAGGGGAGGCACAGGATACAATAGTGCTGGGACACCTATAGCTGTTGGCGGAAGATCGTATGGCAGCCTCTACAATGCCACAGAGAGGGGAAGTGATGGTGGCTCAGGACCAAGCCAGGGTGGAGGACGCGGTGCTGGGTACATCAACATCAAGGTGGCAGGCCGAATCCAGCTGGACGGGAACATCCAAGCAGATGGATCTACAGCCCCTGCAGGGACGCTCGGTGGAGGGGGAAGCGGCGGATCTGTCAGGGTTGAGTCTTGGGAGTTAGATGGTCATGGAAGTGTGACAGCTCATGGAGGGGATGGAGATGGCCCTCGCTCTGGAGGTGGTTCCGGAGGCCGTCTTGCTGTATACATAGATGGACTGAACAACTTTCAAGGCTCCTATTTGGCATATGGTGGAGCTGGCGGAAATGGAGGCCAAACACCCCATGGTGAACCAGGTTCCATTTATCTCCAGAACCTTCACGATGGCAGACCTTATGACCAACTCATTATTGACAACTATGGCAGGTCATGGAGTCATTATTTCACGCTGGATGAAACGGGAACATCCAATTACACATTTGATGAAATTCACATGACCAGAATGGCTTCACTTCAGATGTCGTCAGACAAAACAGAGAGGAGCTTAACCGTTAAGACATTGGCAGGTGATCTGAGTGGGCTTTTGCACATGCATTCCAATCACACTTATTCCATCGATGTGGAAGAGAACAGCAAGACCACGATCAAAGCTGAGGTCAACTTGCGTATTGACCCTGGTGCCATCGCAGCCATGGCAACCACAGTTGACATCATTGGAACGGGCCAGCCAGCGTTGCTGTGGAACGGTCAGCTCCTCGGAGTCCGACACCTTCGCGTTGCATACCAGCGAACCGTCACCATTGGATCTGAGGCCCACACAGCCTTGATTGTTGATGGGACATACGAGTACATCGATGACCCAGGAACATTCCGATTTGCAAGTCTAGAGTTTGGTGCCCAGTCATCCATCGCCTTTCCTCCGCCTCTTGGAATAACATTCAACGTTGGGTTTCTGGTAATTAACAACTTGTTCCCTTTGACTAAAAAATTCAAACGAAGGCTCTGTTATGAAACCTCATAGAAGAAGATATGGAAAAGATTTTTAACATATGACACGTATTGGATTTACATCTTAACACAATGTGACCAGCTTCTGACCTTGACATGTTTCAGTTACAGAAAGTTTATCAGTATTTTCACTTAATTTAAGTATCAATTTTCCTTCAATTAGGATATGAAATGGAGCTCCAGTTTCAGTGCTGAGTACTTTGAGATCTACGCCACTGACTACTTCCTGGAACCAAGTGCTACACTAATGTGCTCTGGTCGGGGCCCTGAGGAGGCTGGCCCTGGAACAGGGACAAGAGGTACTGGCGCTGGTCATGCCACTGTAGGCGGAAACGGTAAGCCAAACTACAAAGGGTACTCTTTTCCCGGAAAAAACTTAGTTTCAAGTTTGGTTACATAAATTCTTGCAAGGAGTAGTCACCAAAAGAGTGGACTACCCTATTACTGATGAAATCCCCATTTGAATAAAAGTTGTGCAGTGCCCATTGCAAAAATGTTCCTTCAGTCAAGCATGTTTGTTCATAGCATTCATACCCAAAGTGCAACTGCGCAAGATTAACAGCATAGCAACAGGCTATGTCTGATTTTGCATGTTCAGATCGCAAAATGGATTGCGTCTTTCGCGATGGATTTTCTGGAAACTGAGCATTAATAATGAAATTTTTCATGGCAGACCTAAATCTTATTAAACATTTTATTTTTGGTACCATTGATTTTGTGCCCTGAAATGTATGAAAAACCTAGTTTAAAGTAACCCCAAATTATTTCATTTTTCACTTGAAAAAATTAATTTTTGCCAAATTTGACCAATTTCTAATTTCAAAAGTTTTCTTAGTTATACAAAATCTAATTATAGAAAGTAGAGAATTGTCTATTTTTTTTCGCAACAATTTGGAATTTGCCTGGATTTAGATGTCATGGCATCTACTTTTTCGGACTTTTAAAGTTCAGATCACCACAGTGAGCAAGCCTGTTGTATTAGTTAATGTATATTACATGTCTTAACATTTTAGGAGAGGTTTGAATTTAGCATTAACTCAACAAGCCAGAGTTGATGAGGTTTCGGAAGTTCTTGGACACAGCAAGTATTCATGCCTATTTTCCGGTCTCCTTTTAGCTGCTGATGGAACTCCTGGTGGTGCTGTTTATGGGTCCTTGTATGAGCCCATTGATGGAGGAAGCCGTGGGGGAGATGCATCCAATGGCAGCCCAGGACCCCGAGGGGGTGGAAGAGTGCGCATTGTTGTCGGTGCCATCTTGAATTTGGATGGAAAGATCATGACGGATGGACTAGATGGAGCCAACGGAGCTGGGGGAGGAAGTGGTGGTGCAGTATGGGTAACCACAGGTGAGTACAGAATTTCCTTGGTTTAAACAAGGTTCACTGTACTACCCGAATTACTACCCGAATAAACTATCGAAATTGCCCGAGAACTGTATGGTTTCCTGGATTTATCAGTGAATAATTACAATAACACAGAATTTGGCTTGCTTTAGGGAGTCATTTCTTTGATTGTTATGGAAGCATGTAAGCTTCATTTCATTTGTTGCCACACAAAAGAGTCTGAAAGTTGCAATGAAACACTGATGTGCCCTGTTGAATGCCCTTGTCCTTCTGTGAATACCTAGAAGAATCACTTCACTGATACCCAATCTGATCCATTCTGAATTTTTAAGGTCACTTCAGGGGTCATGGTGAGATTTCTTCCTCTGGTGGGCATGGATATCTGTCTTCTGGAGGGGGAGCAGGTGGTCGCATTGCAGTTCACATCACCGATGTAGATGAGTATCGTGGTGCACTGACAGCTCTTGGGTCTGGAGGAACCAGCAGTGGAGACTACGGTGGGACAGGGACGGTGTACGTGGAGCAGCCCATCAATGGAACGTGGTACACCAGACTGTACTTGGACAATCAGAATGTGGCTCCCCCCAAGGCTTTCATTCTCAACGAGAAGAACCCACGAACTGTGAGAGATGAACTGACAGAGCACAACTTTGCTGATTATGGATTGGATGAGCTCATGTTACAGCGAAAGGTATGTACAAGTGTGATTCTTGAGCTAGAAATTGAAAGGATTTTATGGGCCTTTGAAAAGGAAAAATTTAAATGGAAGCGTGAAGTTTCTCAGTTTTGAAGTAGTTGCTAAGTTTAATGTTGGATACAACATGAGCTAGGCCACTTTTTTTATTTCATAACAGTTCCAGTTCAGCAACCTTGTCTTGTGACCCACCATAGCGTTAGATTCTAAGGTATTCCTTAGTGATGAAAATGATGTTAATTCAATCCTTCATATAGATGCTGTTCCGTATAGCTTCGAGTGATGGCACTTCCAACCCTTCTGTCTCGGCACAAACGATTCTCGGCGACAGTACAGGACTACTCCACGTGCAGCCCAACCAGACTTTCTACGTCGAGTATTCTCAGGATGAGGACCGCCGTTCCGTTCCTCCGGTCAACTTCCGCATTGAGGAGAATGGGGAGATCTTCCTCCCAGCTGACTTCCGAGTAATTGGCAAAGATAACCCTCCGTTTTATCTGGATGGACGCATGAGTGGAGTATACAATTTCACAGTAGCGGAAGGGAAGGAGTTTGTCGTTGGTCCACATGCTACCAATACTCAGGTCAACAATGGAACGTATGTGGATGAACCAACACCAGGTATTGAAAACATGAATGCTCTTAACCAATTCAGAATAATTGTTAGTAATTTTACTAAGGAATTCGCAACCGTTCCCTCACCCAGGAAATGTTCATTAACTGATAAATACAGCAATTCAGTTAAGAAAAGTCCTGCCATGTATCAAAAGTTCATGTCCAGGCTGTTACAGTTTACCATTGCATACCTTAGGCATCAGTTAAATTTAATACTGATGACTAGAGGGTAGATCTAGAAAAAGAGAACGCTTAAGTGTGTTGTACTGGTGTGAATGCGTATATCATTTAGATAAATCATATGAAATTTTGTTTCTAAATGAACTTGTGTAGGTGTTATCCGACTTGGTGTTCTCAAACTGGAAGCCCAGTCCCTCCTGACATATCCTAACCACATGCAGTTGGACGTCAATGACATCCTCCTTCGCTACCAGTCCCGCATCTCTGCCCAGTCAGTCAACATCCGAGCCACTAACGTCCACATCGAGGGCGAGGCCCAGATTGACACGGCTGGGCGTGGCCCAGGGGCGGAGTCTGGTGAAGGGGGTGGGACTAGGCTAGAGGGCAGCTCCATTGGCATTGGAGGGGGTCATGGCGGTTATGGCGGAGGGGCTGATTTATTGAACTTCACTGCAGGTACAGCACACAACTTTTGGCAATCTACATTTAAAAGGCCCTGTCTAGATATAAGAGTACAAACAATCTGCTGTTATTTCTTCATTTTATCGGGAAACAGTGGAACTAGTAGATATGTCAGAAACTTTCCTTACTTAACCCCTTCATACCGGGAGCCATCCACAGTGGCGGCTTTGTGTGAGGATTAGTGCATACCACACATACAGTCTATTCACCATGCAGCTGCTGATTCAATGGGGCCTGCTGATGGACAGAGCTTTGCATTCTGGGCATACCACAGCCCAGCAGTCACAGTCAAAAGAATCCCGGCGTGAAAGGGTTAAAATGTAAACTGATTTTATATTTGCCTTGAAATTCTTGGCTCACAGCCAAGCAAATAGTAACATTGTCTCTTAAAATGTTGCTGGATTTATCATGACCAGTTTAGAGCCTAACACTACAATCTGGTGATCATAAAATTGTAAAATGTACAAAATAAGGGTTTTGTGGCATGTTAGCATTTGATAAGGTGTACCCGTATGGAGGATTTGAATGCAACTTGGTAAGTTGCTCATTTCTTATCTCCTTCTCATAGGCATCCCATATGGCTCTTACACCAATTCCTTCCACACTGGAAGTGGAGGTGGCAGTTTAACTGGAGGTTCAGGTGGCAGTGTAATCACCATCCATGTCGGTCACTCGTTACATCTGGACGGTTACTTGCAAAACACTGGTGGTGATGCCAGTGGTGGAAATGGTGGGGGTGGTAGTGGTGGTAGTGTCTACATCACAACTGTCCTGTTCTCTGGGCATGGTGGGATTTATGTCACAGGCGGCAGCGGGTATGGTCAAGGCTTTGGTGGTGCTGGGGGGCGAATTGCAGCACATGTGTCCTGGCTAAGGGAGTACGCAGGAGACCTGATTGCCTATGGTGGATTAGGTGGCAGCTTACGACCCAACACCAATCCCGGCCATGCGGCTGGTGGAACTGTGTATTACACAGACACCAACCGTGGTCTGCGATTCCGCAAGGCGAGTTTCAGTGGCCACAATGAAACCCTGTGGGTAGATGGATTCACCAAGCTTTTCCTGGACAATCTGAACCGTAATGACAAATTACCGACAGTGATTGAAAATGACAACGGGACCCTCTTTGAATTTGATGAGATTGAAATTCACAACCATGTCGTCCTCTGGTTGCATGGAGAGGACTCTGAACTGATCACGCACAAGTTCGTCGGTGACCGAACAGGACAGATGCACTTGAGATATCACCAGAAGATGTACTGTGAAGTTGTGGAATCTCAGAGTGGATTCACCATAGCGCCTGTCAGCTACCGCATTGACCGCAACACTGAAATTGTCTTCCCATCCACTCTCTTCCTTCTTGGGACAAGAACCCACATCGATGGTCTTGTAACAGGAGTCTACAATCTATTTGTCACCGAAAGCTCAGTCGTCACTTTCACTTCAACATCAAGAACAGCTTTGTTGTCCAATGGAACTTATGATTTCATCACGTCCCCGGGTAACATAAGCTTCAGTCGGATAACAGTCCAGAAAGGATCAGTGATGGAGCTGCGAGAAATCCAAGATGATCTCACGGTTACTGCCAGTGACCTGACAATAAAATTCAATGGTCTTGTCAATATGAACCGAGGATTTATTGATACGGGAGATGCGACCATCGAGAGTGAGGGCATCTTAGACTTGGACTTCACTGGTTATTCAAGTGAGACTGGTAAGTTTGTATATTGTCTCTTGACATTATTCAGGCTATATAAGTACCCAATTTAAAATTTGTTTGTTGTTTCTCATTGTTTATTTTAACAAATAAACTGATCTGATCGGTTCCTACTAAATTGAAGTGTGTGGTTAACTTTTGTGTCATGGATTATGTGTTTCATTTTTTTATTTAATTAGGATCGGGAAGTGGATGGACATCAAATGGAATCGGGTATGGTGCTGGTCATGGAGGGTATGGTGGAGCACCAGATCCTGACACTGGAGGAGAGCCTTATGGATCCCTTTATGCCCCTTGGGAAAGGGGAAGCGGTGGCGGCAATGGTGGAGGCATTGGTGGCAGTGGTGGGGGTGAACTTCTCTGGCAGAATGGGGCCCTGATCACCATTGATGGTTTCATTAATCTGAGGGGTCAGGCGGGAGCTGGTGGCAGTGCAGGTGGTGGCAGCGGTGGGAGTATCCTGATTGAGACCACTGATTTTGGTGGGTATGGAGAAATCAACGTCAATGGTGGGAATGCGGCGCCGCAAGGTCAGGGGTTTGGAGGCTCTGGAGGCAGAATTGCAATTCATTCCCGTTATCACTACAAGTTTGCCGGTAATCTGAGAGCTTTTGGTGGACATGGTACATCGACAAACTACGGAGCAGCGGGGACTGTCTATAAAGAGGAAACTAATCGTGGACCACAGTATGCTGACCTCAAATACAATCCAGATACCAATGTAACAATGATTGTTGGAGAGCACCGGTATTTGTTTGTTGACAACAATGATCAGCACGTCCCCTGGATTTTCACAATGCTAATGGAGGGTGAAAAGGATTTCTATGAACTGGATGAAGCTCATATCACCCGCCATGCTAATATCCGCATACACCATCCTGTCAGTTCACCAAATGTGACTGTCATTGTTCATAAATTCCTTGGCGACCGAACTGGACTCTTCCATTTGAGAGAGAACCAGATCATTTACGTTGAGGTTGTGGAATCACAGACTAATGAAACTTTCGCTCCTTGCAGTTACAGGATTGATGATGGAGCAGAAATTGTCTTCCCGGCTTCAGTGGATATCCTAGGGACAAGGACAATTCTAGCTGGTAGGATCACTGGTGTACACCACCTTGTAATAGCAAGTGGAGGTGATGTTTGGTTCTTTTCAACTGCACAGACAGCACTGGTTGAAAACCAGGAATACGTCCTCATTACGAAGAAAGGGAACTTCAGTTTTGCAACTCTCACGATTGAGCGCAATTCCAAAGCAGAATTCCAGCAAATCACTCACCCCATGAGTATTATCGTCAGTGAGTTCTACGTCAAGTATCAGGGAGAGGTGTACATGAATGATGTGGAGCTTGAGTCTGCCAATGCATGGATTGAGAGCCAGGGAATATTCCACTTGGATGCCAGGGGTCACCCAGGAGAAGTGGGACCAGGGAGCGGATTTACCACCCAGGACGGGATTGGGATGGGAGCAGGACATGGTGGGCAGGGTGGGGGACCCCCTCCCTATGGTGGGGTACCTTATGACTCTGTCTACACCCCTCGGGAGAAAGGCAGTGGTGGTGGAAATGGAACAGGGATTGGAGGTAGTGGAGGCGGACTCCTCTGGTGGAAGATTGGAGAGAAACTCGAGTTAAATGGTGAGCTGGCCCTCAGAGGTGGAGATGGTACGGGACAAAATGCGGGCGGCGGCAGTGGAGGTGCTGCACTGATTGAGGCTACAAACATGACCGGACATGGTACGATTGCTATCACAGGTGGCAGCGGTGTTGGCAAGGGAGGGGGTGGATCTGGTGGCAGAGTTGGCATACATTGTCGCTGGAGGTATCAGTATGGAGGACAGTTCTTAGACTATGGTGGTGCTGGTGGCAATGGCTATGGCAACTCTCATGGTGGGGCAGCTGGCACAGTCTACAAGGAAGAGAACCTCAGGGAATTAGAGTACAGGCATAAGAAGTACGACAAAGTCCACAATACTACATTTTTGGAGGTAGATCACAAGTATGTGCATATTGACAACAATGGGCGACCGGTTCCACCAGCTACTATGATTTCAGAGGGGCATACAGTTGAATACGAATTTGATGAAATGGAGCTCAGCGGAGCAGCAAGGCTTTTGCTGTTCCATCCAGACAACGCAACAAGAGTTAACATGACAGTGCACATGTTCATTGGTGACAAGACAGGCCAGCTTCATCTGCGGGTCAACCAGACTGCTTTCATTGAGGTCTTAGAATCAGTTTCCAACAAGACTGAGGCACCTTGTAGCTTCATCGTGGACGAAGGATCAGAAATTGTCTTCCCGGCAGAGGTTCACATTCATGGTACAAATAGCACCTTAGCTGGCTTCATGGTTGGTGTCCACCACTTGTATATCGAGGACAGTGCCTGGATTGAGTTCCTCTCCACGGCACAAACGGGTCGGATGGAGAACAGGGCATATGTGGACATCACTCCTCCAGGAAACTTTTCATTTGGAACTGTGACCATCAAGATGGGGGGCCGTGCAGGCTTCTTACGAATAACATCTACAATGAGTCTAGAGTCTAGTGAGATCCGCATCAAATACAGAGGAGAGTTTTATGTGAATCATGCTGAAATTCATTCCACATATGCTTGGTTAGAGAGTGAAGGTGTCTTCCATCTTGACGGTCATGGCCATGGTTCTGAGCAAGGTCCTGGCTTTGGACCAACAAAGTCTGGTGTCGGGTATGGTGGAGCTCACGGAGGGGAAGGAGGAGGAAAGAATATCTCTCTTGTCAGTCAGCCATATGGGTCAGTCGTAACAGGGCTTGAGTTAGGTAGTGGTGGGGGAAACGGTGAAGGCATTGGTGGCAGTGGTGGAGGGTTACTGCATTGGATTGTAAGCCATTATATAGAGCTCAATGGTTTACTCTCGGCAAAAGGATCTTCGGCAGTGAGTGGCAATGCAGGTGGTGGTAGTGGTGGAAGTGTGTTCCTGGAAACTACCAATATCACTGGGCATGGAGAAATTAATGTCCGAGGTGGAGATGGTGTGGGACAAGGAGGGGGTGGATCAGGAGGAAGAGCTGCAGTTCATTGTCGTTGGCGCTACACATACGGAGGAAAGTACACTGATAGGGGTGGCAGCGGAGGTGCCGGTTATTTGTTAGATCACGGTGCTGCAGCAGGCACATCGTACATTGAAGAAAACCTACGTCCCCTCGAGTATCGCATCCGCAAGTACCTGAAAACCACCAACACCACTCTCCTGGATGTCGATCACAAGTACATCCATATTGACAATGAAGGTCTGTATGTACCAACCGCAACAGTGCTAATTGAAGGGGCCTCGAAATCTTATGAGTTCAACGAGATGGAGTTGACTGGTGCTTCCAGGTTATTGATCTTTCACCCTCCTCAGCATCAGCATGTCAATGTCACAGTACACCGATTCATTGGAGACAAAACAGGCCAGTTGCATCTTCGAGGAGATCAGGCTGTGTACGTAGAAGTGGTAGAGTCCCGCACAAATAAGACCGAAGCACCATGCAGTTTCCTGATCGACTTTGGCTCAGAGATAGTCCTTCCCTCAGAGGTCCACTTTCATGGAACTCGGACAGAGCTCCATGGTCTTGTAACAGGCATACATCGGATGTTCATTGAGGATCAGGCCAACGTGATCTGCACATCAACATCTCAGACCGCCATTGTTGAGAATCGTGAATATGTCCACATTTCAGAGCAGGGAAACTTTTCAGTGCCAGAGCTCTTCATTAAGTATGGAGGTAGGATCACCTTTCAACGGGTCCTTGATGATATCATCCTGGATGTGGATTTCCTGGAAATCAAGTATCGGGGAACGCTCTTGATGAATCATGGGTTGATTGAGTCAGACCATGCCGACTTGGAGAGTGAGGGAGACCTCCTACTTGATGGCACAGGTCACCCAGGTAACCAAGGGCCGGGAGCAGGTCACATGATTTCCTCTGGGTATGGCACTGGTGGAAGCCATGGTGGACAAGGTGGGTATTTCCCTGGTGCAACAAAAGGTGTCACATATGGATCTGTGTACACGCCTCTTGCCTTAGGAAGTGGTGGAGGAAGCAGTTCTTCTGGCTTGGGAGGAGCTGGTGGTGGAGTGCTGCACTGGATCATTGGGAAACTAATCCACCTCAATGGATTTGTATCAGCAAGTGGCGTGGATGGGCCGAGCCAAGATGCTGGTGGAGGCAGCGGTGGGAGTGTGCTGATTGAAGCGACAAATCTCACAGGTCATGGAGAGATCCGTGTAAATGGTGGGCAAGGGTTGCGCAGAGGAGCAGGCGGAGCAGGCGGTAGGATCGGCATTCATATACGACATCAGAACAACTATGGTGGGCTCTTTGTTTCCAGAGGGGGTTTTAGTGGCAGCTCACACCCAGATGCTTCCTATGGCAATGGAGCTGCTGGCACAGTTTACAAGTATGAGTCTCGTCGCGGGCCACAGTACAGGGAGTTGAAATACTCAGCCAAAAATGTCACTGACTTCAAACCAGAGCATTCTAAGTTGAAGATTGACAATGGCTTGATTGAGGTGGACCATCCTGCTGTTGTGATGGAAGAGGGAACAATCTTTTATGAATTTGACGAGGTGCAAATTGAAGGGCATTCCTACCTACATTTCTACCATCCCCTGGAGGCCCACAATGTCACTGTGGTTGTCCATGAGCTGACTGGCAACAAGCGGGGTCTGATCCGTGTACAGAATCGTCAACGGCTGTTTGTTCACATCGTTGAGTCTACTCACACCTACCTTGATGCCCCCTGTGGCTTCCACGTTGACTGGGGTGGCGAGGTGGTACTTCCAACAACAGTCATTGTACTCACAGAGGTCATAATTATTGAAGGTCGCATCACAGGGGTAGAAGAGCTCATTGTTGAGCGCGGGGGTGAAATCCAGTTCCTTGGCAGAGCACACACAGCTGCACTGCCCGAGAAATCGCAATGGTTTGATGAAACACCTTACACAGACCATAGCCCGGGGCTACTGACAACCGCCGAGGTAACCGTCAACAACCTAGGCATCCTAAAATTAGCCATGGACCCAATACAACCTGTGATGGACGTCGGTAACCTGATAGTGAGATACGGTGGCCGTCTGGACCTTCGGACAATGAAAGTGCAAATTGATGCTGGAGTAGTAAAGGTTGAGTTTAGCGGTGTGGTAACCAGTGATGGTAGTGGGTACCAGGCCCAGCAAGGTCCAGGAGCTGGGAGGAGTGGTACAAACAGGGCCTCAGGTGCGGGACATGGATCCAAAGGTGAGTGATATTATTACAAATACACAAATATAATAATGAACTGCATGAAGTTACTTTGAAAAGAACAAAAGGGGACTGCTTTTTGTCACTGATTCTTCCGAAGAGAAAAAGTAATTTTATCTTTTGTTTCAGTTATGTGCAGAGGACATTATAAATTTCAAATACAGGGTTTTCAATTTAACCCTATAGAGCACCAAAGTGTGACGTCACTGTGAACCAGAAAGTGCAGTGTAAATGAATGGAGTCCGTGTGTGTTGGTTCACACGCTGGTTCTCGCCATAATGCCCTTTACACACATAATTGTGCGTGTGACATATGCACTTCGGTACTCTATACAGACCAGGGGAGGTCAGTTAATTAGACCCCCCTGCCCTGTGAATACGGTCGTTTCATGCCTTTTTTCTCTGAAGTCTTGCACAGCTTTTGATTCAAAATTTTCAAAACTCGGGCTAAGTATTTTCATGTTATATGGCAATTTAGGGTCCATACGCTTGTGTATAAATTGATGTGTCATGCAAACTTGTTGAAATACCTTTCTATTTCTGTCAAGTTGTATGTTTTCCTTCTCATCGTGCAGGTCATTTCTAATATTACTAATAGTGAGAGCATACTCTTGAAAAGCCCAGTCCAAATAGGGTTAAACACATCTACTAGCTACCTGTGATACTTGGGCCAACTGTCTCATAATTACATTGGATCTCAAATCAATTCTATTTTGCGCCATTCATTCTATCTACGTGATTTGATGCCTGTAATAATTTCATTTCAATAGGAGGCACCGGAGGTGGGCAGGCTGGTGGAGCAGCCTACGATTCTTTATACTCTCCTCAAGATATTGGCAGTGGAGGGGGCGGGTCAAGTGGGGGTGCTGGAGGCGGAAGGCTGCACATCCAAGTGGGAAAGGTATTTAGAGGGGAAAAAACTGTATTGATTTTAACAGGACAGTTCCAACATCTACTGTTATCTGAAGTTAAGTTATATAAAATGAAGTTAAAAATAGGTTTTGTTGTAAAGAAAGTAGACACTCTCAAAACCAGACCCATGCAACTTGCTGAAATTTTGAAAACTGAATTGCATGCTTAATAAATTAAAAAGCATGGGTATGAACTGGCACAAAACACTTTGACAATGTTGAAAAAAGCATATGTTCTCGTAGAAAGTTTTTTTAAATATGCAAGTTTGCATAAAATCTTTCTAAATTTTTTGCATTCAGGATATTGTCTGCAATGGTCAGATTACAGCCAGTGGTCTGCAGGGGGCAAGTCTTTCACATAGTGGTGGCGGTAGTGGAGGAAGCCTGGTACTTGATGCTGCCAATCTGGTTGGCCATGGTACTGTTCAGTGTGATGGGGGATCAGCTTACACGGCTACCAACTACAGTAAGTAGTTTCTTTTCAAGGAGGTCAAAGCTCTTCTGAAAGTTGAATGAAGTCACCTAACCACGCTGAATGTTAGTCCTCAAGAAGAAAGCAATGAAAACAAGTTTTCAGAACTGATACAAGTTTTATAACTATTTGTCTGCAGATAATGGCGGAGGGAGTGGAGGCCGCATTGCTGTTTACCTCACCAACCAATTTGGGTTCCGGGGCCAGATACACGCACTAGGTGGAAGGGGTTTAGTGCATGGCGGGCCTGGCACCGTGTATAAACGCGTCACCCTAGGTGATAACGCTGAACACTTTTTGGAGGTTGATAATTCAAACTACCCCTCGAGTTTTGGATGTGACTCCCCAGTGGTGCTTGATGAGGTTGGATATAAGGAGTATGATTTCAACGGGATAAACCTGAAGAGGAAAGCGTGCCTCACAATGTTGCAGGTACTTTTGAGTTAGATCTCCTTTAACACACATAGCAATGTGAAATCAGTACACATTTTTAATAAATTGTTTTCAAATTTGATAAGTTTACAATAAACTTTAAGTTTTTTATTAAGAACTATTTTCTTCAATTCTTTTCAAATAAGCCCTTAAGAGATAAACATGAGACATTTATGTTTCCAAAAGCAATACCCATTTAGGGCACTGGAATCTTTACGGGAGCTTTAGGGGTTAATCAGGATTTGATGTCTTTCTGCAGAATAATATAGAGCACACTCTGAGGGTTGGCCATGTGATGGGAGACAGATCAGGGTATCTCTTCATTGGACTACATCACTTTGTGCATATTGAACCCCAGCAGAGGCGTTCAAGGGCCCCGGTCAATTTACTCATAGAGCCGAGTGGAACCTGTATCCTGCCACCAGAGTTTGTTGTCATTGAGACTGTGCATACAAAGGGGGCCCTCTACGGCTTAGAAAGGGTCAACGTTGATGGGGAGCTGTTGCTGTACCGGTCAGGCTACTCAGCTTGCACAAACTGCACGCTGGGGAGCCATGAGAGAGGTCACTACTGGTTAGGTGCTGCAACAATACGCAGGTCTGGCACCCTTACTATTGTGGAGAGTGGAGTGCGGGATCTGAACAGGGGAGCAGCCACACTGGTGCTCTCAGAGACACTCGACGTAGACTACGCAGGGTATGTTAAAGTACAAGATGGCCTTGTTGTGTTCGCACGAGACATGAAGGTGGAGAAGAGCGGGGTTGTTGATGGTGATGGGAAAGGGTATGAGACTGCTAGTGGTCCTGGTGCAGGATGGACATGTGGAGCTGGGACTGGGGCTGGTCACGGTGGGAGAGGCGGGGGTTCATATTCCTCCTACCATTCAGGGACCTACTCCTGTTCCCTTGGAGGTGCAGTATATGGCAGCCAGTGCCTACCAACTCAAGTTGGCAGCGGTGGTGGAAGTTGTAGCCATGGACGAGGAGGTCGAGGGGGTGGCAGTGTGGAAATTGTATCTAGTAGGCTGTTAGCAGTGGAAGGCCAGGTGCACGTTCATGGGCTACGTTATGAAGGAGCAGGTGGAGGTGGTGGCAGTGGTGGCTCACTCTGGGTTGACGGCTTCTTTGTTGAAGGTTGGGGTCACCTGACTTCTAATGGTGGTAGTGCGACATCTCATTCATACCGATCCGGCCATTATACATATTACCATTATGGTGGTGGTGGAGCTGGTGGGCGAATCAGAACCTTTTCCCCTAACTCGCCTCATGCAGTTTTCATTGGAAGACGTGCGGCTTCCGGAGGTTTGGCCGGCTCCTACCCAGGCCAGCCTGGGACACTTTGTGTCTCTGGGCTTGAGTGTAGTGGGCACGGTGTGCTGAATGCAGGAGTGTGCAACTGCCAAGATGGATACGTTGGCAGCAATTGCCAAATCCCATGCAATGACGTGTCGACATGCAATGGACAGGGAGTGTGCACCGAGTTTGGTGGTTGTGAGTGCTCTGCGGGCTTTGTCGGTTATCACTGCGAGCACCAGTGCGACAGGAACACCACGTGCAGCGGAAATGGAGAATGTACCCCACATGCTGATTGTCTGTGTGACCCTTGTCATCATGGCCCAGATTGCTCCTTGATGTGCAGTGACAATGGTGCATGCAATATAAATGGCATTTGTGAGTGTGACTCATGTTACATTGGCGAGTACTGTCACTCCCTGTGCAACCACCATGGCGAGTGCAGTAGCAATGGTACTTGTGATTGCGAGGAGAGTTGGCGTGGGGAGTTCTGTACTGTTGCTGGTTGTCCAGGTGAGGAAGTTGATTGCTCTGGCCACGGAGTGTGCAACTCTGCCATCCATCAGTGCTACTGTGATCCCGGTTGGGCAGGCAATGACTGTGCCCGACCAGACTGTCCAGGAGAGCCAAACTGCTTTGACAGGGGAATCTGCAATGCCAGCCTCCTACCCCCACAGTGCCAGAATTGCTCCAAAGGCTGGATGGGAGCTGATTGCAATGAGACATGTCTCTATGGCAACCAGGTTCCCATGGATAGCGGCATCTGTGTGTGCGACACTTGCTGGACGGCCAAAGGCTGCAATGTGGAATGTTCTGCTCATGGTTTCTGCAGCTCAGATAACACCACTTGTGAGTGTGATCCGCTCCAAGGTTGGCGTGGTGAGGTTTGTGAGATTCCAGGCTGTCCTGGATATGGAGAAGATTGCACAGGTCATGGAGACTGCAACAGCGCAACCCATGAATGCACCTGCTATCCAGGATGGACTGGTGTGGGCTGTCATATCCCCGACTGTCCTGGAGATCCGGATTGCTTTGGACGTGGTATTTGCAATGCCTCCCTAGATACTCCGGTCTGCCAGAACTGCTCTCTCGGCTGGATGGGTCCAGCTTGCAACGACCCATGTGTTAATGGCGTCCAGACACCCATGGACAGTGGTTATTGCAACTGTTCGGCAGGTTGGAGCGGGGTTGGTTGCGACTCGGAATGCTCCGAACATGGAGTTATCGTTGACGGTGCCTGTGTATGTGACTATGCCACAGGTTGGAAGGGGGAACTCTGTGATGTACCAGGATGCCCAGGCAAATTCAATCTTGATTGTTCTGGTCGGGGTGATTGTGACAGCTCCTTGCATAAGTGTGTCTGTGAAGAAGGATGGACAGATTTGGGTTGTGAGATACCAGACTGTCCTGGTGTACCTGACTGTGCCAATCGTGGTTACTGTAATGAGACCTTTGACCCACCACTGTGTACTAACTGCAGTAAAGGTTGGATGGGGCCAGCTTGCGAGGATCCGTGCATTAATGGTGTGCAGTTCCCAATGGACAGTGGTTTCTGTAAGTGTGAGCCCGGGTGGGCTGGAGTTGGCTGTGATGCTGAATGTTCGCTTCACGGGACCATTATCGAGGGAGCCTGTGAATGTGAACCAGAGTGGAGTGGCGAGCTCTGTGACGTCCCAAGTTGTCCAGGCCTTTTCAACCTTCCCTGTAGCGGTAGAGGTGAGTGCAACAGTGGGACTCACGAGTGTACCTGCAGCAACGGGTGGACCGGAGATGGTTGTGAACTAGCTGATTGTCCAGGCAGCCCCGACTGTTTTGAGCGTGGCTACTGCAATGAGACCTTTGACCCACCACGATGCACCAACTGTACCCACGGCTGGATGGGAGTTGATTGTAATGAGCCATGCACGTACGGTGTCCAGCAGCCGATGGATAGCGGTATCTGTGTCTGTGAACCCTGCTACTCTGGGAAAGGATGCAACAGTGAATGTACTGGCCATGGCAAGTGTCAAGATGACAAGTGTGTCTGCGATCCTGGTTGGCATGAAGAGGTGTGCCAGAGGCCAGGTTGTCCAGGTGTTGGTGTCGACTGCACAGGGCACGGAGATTGCAACAGTGCTATCCAGGTGTGCTTCTGCTATCCAGGTTGGACTGGGGATGGCTGTGACCAGCCCGATTGCCCGGGAGAGCCTGACTGCTCGGGTCGGGGATTCTGCAACTCCACGGATCGCGAAGTGCCGGTGTGCACCGACTGCATCTATGGCTGGATGGGGCCGGAATGCAATGATCCTTGCACTCATGGGACCCAAGTCCCCAAAGACAGCGGCTTCTGCGAGTGTGAGCCATGCTGGACCGGCGTGGGATGCAACAGCGAGTGCTCAGGTAACGGAGTGTGTGATGAGATGGGCCATCGCTGTCAGTGCTTCAATTACGCCAGCCAGGCCTTCTTGGGGGAGAAGTGCGAAACGGTCGGCTGTCCAGGTCTTGACGGAGCTTGCAATCAGCATGGCACCTGTAATGCTGTCACCCAAGAGTGCACTTGTTATCCAGGATGGACTGGCTCTGATTGTAGCATTCCAGATTGCCCAGGAATCCCCAGCTGCTCAGGTAAATTGTGCTCAAAATTCTTTCTAAATTCCATAAAGATCAATCTCTATCAGCTTTTGGGGGGGAAGAGATATGCCAAGTTTTGTATTAGGGCCCTACAAGCAACCTCTGTGACCAGCAAATTTCATTCATGCGATCTTTTAATTCTTTTTCTACAAATCACTGAGCCTTGTGCTTGAAGAAGGAAAATTAACCAAGATACATTCAGAACTTGCAACCCACTGGCACAATATGGCTACTGTTATGGAGTAACTGTCAACTTCCAACTTTCTTTGTCATGAGTCATATCCCATTTACGCCTATTGTCAGATGCATCTTTAGCTGATTTTTGTTATGTAGTTTTATTTTATCTTCATTGAAGGCCATGGCCAGTGTCTGGGTGAGACGCCAAGGCGTTGCCAATGCGAGCCAGCCTGGGCAGGTGAGGTCTGTGACACCCCCTGCGAATTTGGCTACAACTACGGTGACAGCCGCGGCTGTGTTTGCCAGGCCTGTTACACCGGCATCGGATGCAACAAAGTGTGCTCAGGCCGTGGTGAGTGCATGAACGATCAGTGTCAGTGCTTCTTCGAGTCTGGTTACCGTGGTGATGGATGTCAAATCCCCGGATGCCCCGGGTTGGGCGTGGATTGCAGCAACCATGGGACATGTAACACGGCGACGTTTGACTGCCTCTGTGATCCTGGATGGAAAGGTAATCTGTACCTTAGTGTCTGTGTAAGCATAGTGTGGACACTGTGTAAGCCCCTCAGGTGTGCCTGAAGTGGCTATGGCTATGGCAAGGAATAATGCTCATGTCTATAGGAAGTGGCTACACTGGCTTCCACAGCTACACATGCTATTCCCAAGTGAAGCCATAATATTTGGACCTAGCTTCACAACAGTAGCCAACAGGCATCCTGTAAACTCATGCCTACAAGAATTCAAAAATACAAATTCCACACACAGAGCAAGTGTGATTAGGCACCTCTAGTTTTATACAGACATCTGGCTCCTATCTACTAATACTGCAGAAGGGCACTTGCATGGTGATAAATGTTGAGTTATTCTTATGTGCAATCACCCTAATAGTTCTCAATCCTAATCGTCTTCAGTCCTTTGACCATTGATGGATTGTAGATTGTAGATTGTAGAATTTTTTCCCCCACCGTAGGCTTGTATTGTTATTGTCAGCTTGTACATAACACATGCACCCCACTTTGTTTAACATACACACGCTTGAATTGTGAATGCATATTTTGTCAAGTTTCAACCAAACCAGTTGTAATACATTCACTAAGATCTTGTACAGAATTTAGAATTAAACCACATTTTTAACATTCCAAGGTGTTGGATGCCATATACCGGATTGCCCTGGGGAACCAGACTGCAATGGCCGAGGAGAATGCCCTATCCCACCTGATGGCGAGGATCCAGTCTGTACCAACTGTCACAACACGTTCATGGGGGATGGTTGTGAACTACGCTGCATCTACGGCCTACCAGAAAAGATCAATGGCACCTGGCAATGCACTTGCTATCCCTGCTATGCAGGGCTTGCTTGTGACAAGCTCTGCAATGGGCAGAGTGACACATGCCTTGAAGATGTGTGCGACTGTGGCTTTGACGGGTGGCGCGGCGACACGTGCACTGAACCGGGTTGCCCTGGGTACGGCGAAGACTGCACCGGGCACGGAGAGTGCAACCGGGCAACAGGGAAGTGCTACTGCATGAACGGCTGGGCAGGGATTGGCTGTCATGTGCCGGATTGCCCCGGTACGCCAGATTGCAACGGACGAGGTGATTGCGTCACCGGCGAGCCTGGTTGCAACGGCACGGGTAATTGCATCCCCGAGGAGCCTGTTCCTGTCTGTCGGAATTGTGCTGAGGGTTGGATGGGACCAGCCTGCGAAGTGCCTTGCATCAATGGGAAAGAGGTAAATCCCACCCACTTGGTCAAAACACTTCCATCAGTGCAACAATCTTTTCCCCTCACTGTCTCCCCTTCTAGTCCAGCATCCATTAGAAATGTCCAAGCCACTGTACAGCTCTTGGTCATGCCCAAACTCTACAGCAGTTTGAAAAATTTGAGGAGGGGGGATTTTTACACCTCCACAATTGCCCATTCCCAGGTGTGTTAGACACTTCATGTAGCTCTCTAATCACTAGACTGTTTTAAACTGCTCTTTACTGTCTCTCTATACTGCTCATTAAAATTCTCACACTTTTGGTCTAAATGAGGGTCAGCCTTTAGGGTCATGGCAATATACCTAAAGTTTCAATTATCAAGAAGTCTTTCTTCTCTTGACAGAGTCCACCCTATTCTGGCATCTGCAAGTGTGACCCATGTTACCATGGCCCACACTGCGACATTCTCTGCTCAAATATTGGCAAGTGTACTGGTGGCATCTGTTTCTGTGGTTTTGAGGGTGGAAGGGGAGAGTTCTGTGACTCGCCTGGTTGCCCCGGATTGTTTGATACTGACTGCTCCGGCCGCGGGACCTGTCTGTTTGGTAAGCCATGCATCCTTTGACAAGATCGTATATCGTATGGTTCCTTTAGCCTTCTCATGTGGTACAGAATTTTGGTGCTAGAAGGTTTGTATTATCAAAGTAATGTCAAAATGTCCAGTGTTGTGGAGATTTGCTTACAAGTTTGTTTAATAGTCACAGTGTATTGTGTGAATAGTGTACATTTGTTTATGGTTTGTGGTTGTGGATTCAGGCTCTTCATGGTTTTCAGATCCCCGTTTTGTCAGTTTGTGTTCAGTACTATAGACAAACCAAGTACCTCCTCTGATGCCAAAGTTTGAAGTATTTTCACCTCCTTCAGTAACAGTTTTCAGATGGATATGGAGGTGTTTTTAATAAACGTCAGTCTCTCAGGAAAGATTTAACGGCTTCGTGCCTCTCTTTTAAAATAGCTCTTATTTCGCCGAGGTACATGAGTCGAGGTAGTAACACGCAGTATACTGGGATAGTCTTTCACTGGTATCCTGCCTCAAGTATTAAAAGCGTTGTTTTCTTTGCTCGTCCTTCCAAGAAAAGCCCACGGTGGCTTTTGAACATGATGGATATATTTCTTGTTTCAGATAAGTGCATCTGTAGGGAAGGATGGGTGGGCGAAGGTTGCGAAATTCCCAACTGCCCTGGAGAACCCAACTGTAATGATCGTGGAAACTGCACTGGTACGTCATCATTGGTCATGCCAGAATGCCGCAATTGCATCGACGGCTGGATGGGGGAGGCATGCGAGATACCTTGCGGCCCAGAACATGGGTACCAGTATCCCATGGACAGTGGGGTGTGTCTGTGTACCAGTGGTTGCTGGCACGGTGTCAGTTGCGACAGCATGTGCAGTGGCAAGGGCACGTGCGTCGGAGAAAAATGCCAGTGCGAAGACGACCAGGGATACAATCCAGGGAACTGGGGGGATCACTGCGAGATACCTGGCTGCCACGGGCAGGGTCAGCCCTGCTCTGGTCACGGACTCTGCACCGTCGCCCTGGAGTGTCTGTGTGATGACGGCTGGATCGGGGCAGGGTGCCACATACCGGACTGCCCCGGGGAACCGGACTGCAATGGGAATGGCGTCTGCGACGGGAGCGGGGACATCCCTGTCTGCATGTGCAACACGTTTTGGATTGGCGAGAGTTGTGGATATCCTTGCGTTCACGGCAGCGAGCAAGCAGACGGGAGCTGTGCTTGTGATCCCTGCTACTCAGGACCTGGGTGTGACCGAGAATGTGGAACACATGGATCATGTACCAATGCCTCCTGTATCTGTGATTCTGCATGGTGGGGTACGTTCTCCTAAACTCTACCTCTTCTGAAATTTGTCCAGGCATTCATTTTATTAGTCCGGATAAAAGAAGAAAATCCCAGCTCCACAAGCTTTGACACTGCTTCCAGAGTTGTAATATCAAAGGCTATCATAAACTCAAGGAAGGTTGCATAACTGCACATACATGTACATGTCAATTTTCAATCAACTCAAAATTTTTCTCATCCCACAAACAGTCTTGGAATTTGTATGAAATTGAAAGCTTTTGGCGCATTCACGGACGTCTCTATTTAAGAAAGTCTGATGATTTGTAGCGGATAACGTACAGTCATTCTAAGTCATCACAGACCAAAAGAACTTTGTAATAAGCAGTTTGGGAGAGATGTCAAAGATCTTTTTCTACACATATCAATGTCATGTGTCAATTGAGCTCCATCCTTCAATAAGTTCCACTATTTTGAAACTGAGCGTATTGTTGTTCACTGTTCTGTTATTCTATTTTGGTCAGGTCCACAGTGCACCTACAAGGGGTGCCCTGGTGTGGGAACCAACTGCACAGGGCATGGCTACTGCAATGTTTTTGACCAGCAATGCTACTGCAAGAGTGGCTGGAAGTCTTTGGGATGTGAGGTACCAGACTGTCCCGGTACACCAGACTGCAGCAACAGAGGTAATTGACATTTTGCTGTAGACTTGGATGATCCTCTAAGACCTAAAATTTCATTGGTTGTTTTGCATAGTACTAAGTTTTACATTTTTTGTGAATGGCTACTACAAAGCACACTGCACCATTATTAATCTCAGTTAGAATGGAAAAAAAATTGACAAAAATTCCATCCAATTTTGTCTCTTCCCATGTGTTTGTTAAACTAATGCTATACTGGTACCCATCATGCAGGAACCTGTGATGGCGACAACTATGACCCACCACGCTGTGTTGATTGCATCCAAGGCTGGATGGGAGAGAAGTGCGAGATACCATGCACTTACGGTGAACAGGAACCACCTAACAGCGGCTACTGTACATGCTATGATTGTTACACGGGTACCAGTTGCAATGTGGAGTGCTCGGAGCATGGAAGCTGTAATGGCACTCACTGTGTGTGCCAGGATGGATATAAAGGTATAAACGCCATCCATCCCAGATCTACGAAAACTCAGTGTCTGATTTGATGATGGCAGGACTCCACAGCTCCATTACAGCTGTTTTTATATTGGGCTGGCGATCCCAGTATTCCTGAATAGAGGATCAACTGTGAAATATTGCTCATTTTTACAAGGGCCTTGTTATCCCAGTTGTGGCTCCTATGGGATGAATGTAGCATTATTTACTGTGCAGTTTTCGATTTTGAAGGATTCAGGAAACATTCCTGGCAAATGCTTCTAAGTTAGCATTAACAGTGCTTACCGCTAACAGCACTTGAACTATACAAAGGACTCATTTTTATTGTGGCTTTAAGTAAATCAGAGATACACATTCCTAGGAACTACCAGTGCACCAAACACTGTAATAGTAATGCAGGTCATTTTTTTTCATGGTAGTTGTTATTTTAGCCGCACTTTCTCCTGGAAGCATGACAATTTTCATGTTTAAGTTCAGTGATCTGAGTTAACAGGCTTCATAAATATCAATGATTGTCGTAGAACTACTTGCAAATGCACAGGTTACTTTAATGTCAAGATATTTTTTTCAGGGGAATATTGTGAATATCTGGATTGCCCCGGTGAGCCAGATTGTAGCAACTACGGCACTTGCGTCCGACGGGACGGCCGCTCAGTGTGTCTGTGTAATCCTGGATTCACTTCCGACGACTGCAGCGAGATATACTGCGCGGGAGAACCTGAATGTAACAACAGAGGTATGGCTGGACGGAAGATAAATTTAGTTATAAAAACTTGATTGTCATTGTAAAGTATTGAGTAATGATGAAATTATTGAAATTTTCTTCTCTTTCCGTGTGTATGTTCTTTCACAAGTCAGTTATCGCCGACTGAATCTTTTGTTTGTCCTAGACATGAACCTAAATGTACCTGACATTACAAATTGAGGGGCTGCTTTTTTTTTCAGATTTTATATTTCTTGATGTTAAATAAGTAATTTTTTGGGTGGTTCAATACCACAGGAAACTGTACATTAACGGGAGCCTCACCGCAGTGTGTGTGCTTCCATGGGTTTAACGGCGAGGCCTGCGAACGCTGCCTCCCACGTTTTGATGGCGACCAATGTCAGCGATGTACAGAGGGCTACATTGGCTGGAACACGAACTGCGCGATACTGTGCCTTCACGGCTATGCTACAGAGCCTGGTGGGAGCGAGTGTGAGTGCTACGCGGATGCGGAGCATGGTCACTGGACGGGGGCTAGCTGTGATGAGTGCATTGAAGGCTGGGCCTTGCCTGATTGCAGGTCATGTCTTGGAGGTAAACTTAGTTACGACTAAAAATCTACATCACAGCAAGCGGGAAAATGGAGCATTATTTAGTTATTCAGAAGTGAGAGTTGTGATACATTCTTAACAGAAGGTTCACAGTTGAAGTAAGCATTATGTACCTTCCATAGGTCCCGATTTTAGATAGCATTCAGGTAATTTGTTGCTGATCGTCCATTGATGTACATCATTCCTAAGCTATTTGTTGAAGAGCTAATTCCAAATGCTCCACATGTTTCCTCTCGTCAAATATTGTACTGTATGAAAATGACATGCTTTAAAATCTTTAGCACTGCTGGAAAAATTTGAGTACCCTTCAACCCAAACTAATTTTCTAAAATTCTTCATGTTGCAGTTTTTTCCTTGATACTTGCCAGTCACCAACATAGTAGAATTGTACACCAGGTCTTTCTGACAGGCTTGTTCAAAATTTTCATCTGCAATTGGATGAGACCTAAACCCAAACTTGCTACTCAACCTCCAGCTTTGCCAGACACATTGAATACATTACCTTTAACATTTCTTTAGTGTTGAGCAACTTCAAAAGGGAGGTTGAATTTCTCTTATCATCATTACTCATCGTTTCACAGGATACGTTGGCCTAGGTCATTGCTTCAGCTGTATGACTGGCCACGGTGGCTACCGCGATCCAGATGACGGTGAAGGAGGCCGAGAACCCCTCCGTCCCATCCTAGAATGCGTAGCCCCAGAGATAAATGGAACAGGTTACATTGCCTGGTTTGGCTATGAGAATCAGAACCTTCACAACGTATACCTGGCGATCGGTCCAGATAACCGATTTGAGGTGTCATCCCTCATTCAGGGGAGTGTGGCTGGAGAGAATATGGGGCAGCCGACAAAGTTCAAGCCAGGAAATCACACGAACGTTTTCAGCCTACGGTATGTATTTATTATTGTTTACACTCCCCTTATCTATCTCACACCATTTGTCACACTCACTGTGTGATTAATCAAGCATGAAGTATATGTATCTCGTCTGTGACCCTATGACACTTGACTGGCAATGTTGGAAGTTGTTACAACCTCACAAGGTTGAAACACAACACAGCCACAGCTACCATTGTGAACAAAAGCACACTGCATAGAGTACATATCAATGCCAAGGGCCTTGGCCCCCCATTATACCAAAACCTGTGAAGTGACCTTGTGTGTTTTGGATTACAATTGCTCTGTGTTGAAAGCCCTCTCAGAAAAGTGACTGATCATTAAGATACATCAGTTTTCCACAGATGCAGTGTGCAATATTACACAACTTGTCCAAAAAAGTTGCTTAAAATTTTTTATTGCAGACTTTCAAGCGCTCAGGATGAAGCAACGTGGTATCTAGCCTACTCTCTGTCCAACAGGCGTTACCAAGTCTCAGCCTCGGCTAGCTTCCCAGTTTCGTGCACAGGAGATGAGATCTCGGAACAAGATGTAGGTGGCAGTTGGAAATTATTCAGCTCAGCAAATTAGCCAAAGAAAAGGCTTGGATTTTCTTGTATCAGATTAATTTTTTTCCAGATCTTTACAAATTTACTGTGAAAAGTTGAATAACAGTATGCTACGTATGATGCAGTGTAAAGAATTCCTTCATTTTGTTTGTTTCACTGTTTTCTCCAAACCAGTGGGCACTTCTTTCTTAGTTCAAGAGATGGTTTTCATTTTTTTGTTTCCACAGAGAACTCCAGCCAATGAGACAGACCCAGGATACTGTGGTTGTTTCCATGGTTACTGGGGACCGAGCTGTGAATTTGAGTGCATAGGTGGAGCCGACAACCCCTGTTTTGGTAATGGCATCTGCGACCCTTTCACTGGTAATTGCACATGCAATGCCGGCCTCCACCAAAGTGAGGACTGCAGGACTTGCGCAGAGGGATGGATCGGAGAAGACTGCTCGGTGGGGCTGAACCAAGTCCCCAACGAGAAAGCAGGGTACCATTATGCCACAGCTTACGGGCAAGGACATTTCACAACTTTTGACGGAGCATCTTACCGATACTATGGTGTTGGGGAGAACCATCTACTGAAAGCATCAGACATGGATGTTCAAATTAGGATGGTGCCGTGTCTACCCAGGTCCAAGGCTTCATGTATCAATGCCTTTGCTTTAAAGATCCAAGAGGAGGTGGTCACCATACACGGAGGTTACACAGATGAGGAGAGGAACGGGTATGTATGGATCAACAAGAAACAGTACAAGCCTGGCCTTCCAACTGCAATCACTTCCATGTGTTGGTTAACCAGGGAGGCATATGACCACTACCGTTTGCACATTGCTGATGAGTGGAACATTAACATCTATGTCCGTGGAAGGTACTTAGATATCAGGATTGAGGCTGCCCGCTTAATTTGTCAGAGCCTGCGTGGATTGCTTGGCTCCTGTAACGGACAGCCAATGGACGATTTTGTAACAAAAGATGGCACAGTAATCACTGTGGGAGAGAATGCAACAATCCTCCTCAACCAAGAAAACATTCACAGTGTCTTCGGAGCTTCATGGGAAGTGCAGGTCCATTCATCTCTGTTTGTATACGGCTTTGGGGTGTACAAGGAAATCCAAGATATCAAGAATTCCGGTGCTACATATTGTCTGAAGTTTGACGACTCTGTTGCCGAGTCAGGGCAGCTGAACACCTTCTCCGACTCAGATGTCACTCTTGAATTTGACCTGAAATTGAGTTCCGATGTCACAGATTGCAGCACAATATTGTCCTACATTCATAGTGAGACATTTGCCCTCGTTTACTGCAACACATATTTCAAGGTACAGTATGGGCAGCTAGAATATTCAACTGGGTTTGGGGTGGTAAGAGATGTGTGGTATCGTGTGGTCCTGGTCTGGCAAAAGTCCACCAACCTCCTGCAAATCTACTGCTATGACCCTGAGGGTGAATTTGAGACCCAAATTTTCAACTTTGGGAGTCCAGATGTGCTTTCGCCAGGAGGGAAGTTGGTGCTAGGCCAGTGGTACCCTCCTGCAGGGTTTGAAGGAAAGTGTCCACAACAAGGATTTGTTGGTCAGCTGGATGAAGTGAAGATCTGGAAGTCCTATTTCCAGCAGTCAGAACTGAAAGAGAGGCTAGGGATTGCACCTGACGTTGAAGACCCAAAGCTGGCGAGTTACTGGCAACTGAATGAAGGTCAAGGGTCAAAATTCTATGATGCTGTGTCGTTAGGGCACTTCACAATGCAAGAGAAGCCATGGAATACCCCGCAATGGGTCTACTCATCTGCTACAGTGAAGATCGAACAAAATGTGAAAGATATCTATGCTGTGCCGAGCAGTGATACTCCTACCTGGCATCAAGCAAATACAGCCTGTGATAGCTTCATTCTGGCAGCGTCCTTCAGTGAATGTCGCCGGATGGGTCTAACTGACTACTACCACCTGATGTGCGTTCAGGATGCCATTCTCAGCAAAGATCTTGATTCAGTTATGGAAATCATTCTCGCCTATGCAGATCACTGCCAGCTCACCATTGGCACTCAGTCGTATCCAGCACAGCCATTTTGTAACAACTTCCCCACAAGGCAATTCCCGTACTGGATTGGTCCCAGCTGTGATACAGAATGCATCTCTGGATATGCAGTCGTAAAACCAGGTTCTAATGTTACCTGTGAGTGCTATGATGGTTACTGGGGCCCCCAATGCGATAACCAGTGTGAGGGTGGAGCAGGAACCCCCTGTGGAGATAGTGGTGTCTGCCTGAAATCATCAGGCACTTGTGAGTGTCCTATCTACTTCACATCTGAATCAGATTGTACCATATGCCAAGACGGGTGGTCTGGCCAGGACTGCATCACTGCCGATTTGCAAGAGCAAGCAGCCAGTGGAAAATTTGCCATTGCATCTGTTTTCAGCTATGGGCACTACTTAATGTTTGATGGCACTGCATATAACATGGAAGCTTCTGGAGAGTTTAAATTTTCAGGCACCTCGGAACAGTCATTGTATGTGCGTCAGGTTCCCTGTGGAGAAGGTGTGGTGTGCATCACTGGAGTCTGGATGGAGTTATTCCCAACAGCTAGACGCAAGAAAAGACAGACTAGGGGCGAGCTGAACTTGACTTTCAGGACACCTTATGAAACAGGATCAGACCACCTTGTGTTAATCAATGGAGAGGTGCTAAACTATGTAGAACCAATCAACTTTGGGACGGGTCATACAATGACCAAGACTTCTCCAGATACTTATGTCATCTCCAAAGAAGGATCCAGCCAGGTGTCTGTAACAATCCAAAATCGCTACATCAACCTTCAAGTCACCGTTCAACAAGATCTGTGTGAAAATATTGAGGGCACCCTCTCAGGAAGCTGCGATAATGACACTGACAACAACTTCCAAATTGGACCAGATAGCTTTGTACCACTTGCCAACATTACATATGACATCATTAATGGACCTTTTGCAGAGTACTGCACCATTCCACTAACACAGCTGACACAGTTCCTGTATGGATATGGAGAATACAAGGAAACACGTGAAATCACCCCATCTGGCAATTCTCTATTCTTCAACGGCACTGCTTGTATCAGCGAGCCATTTACAAGCATCTTTGGGGATGACTCTGACATCACAATTGAGTTTCTGCTCAGAGGAGAAGACCCAAGCACCAGTGGAGGTACTCTGTTATCATACCTTGGTACCCACTCTTTTGCAATAACCAACGAATTGACTCTGAAGGTTCACTATGCCAACTTGACCTTCAACACTGGAATCTCAACTGATACCAATGAATGGGGACTCTTATCCTTCCTGTATTACCATGCTACAGGTCACTGCTCACTCTACTATGTCAGCCATGAGGGAGCCCTTGAAGGTTCTTCTTTTGAGCTTACTAGAGGAATTTTCGAACCTGGTGGCACCTTAGCACTAGGTCGCTGGCAACCAGGTCGTGACCCAGCTCTAGAACAGCCCCCTTTGACAGAATTCACTGGCTACATGGATGAGCTACGAATATGGACTCAAACCTTTGACATCCTAACCCTTTGGCAAAATGCTGAACTTAACGTCCAGCCTGATTCACCCAACCTAGCTGGATTGTGGAAAATGTCTGCTGGACATGGGAGCCTCGTGGAGGATCTTGTTCATGAGAATCACCTGTACATACTCGAAGTTGGTGGACCTGTTTGGTCCCTTATTGGCACAGCATTAGATCCAGCACCAAAGTCCATTGGCTACAACTATGTTGAGAAAGTCTATGACAAATTCTCTTCTGAAGAAGAAAGAGTTGCGGCAGAGAAGCATTGCAGAGAACTCTTTTTAGAGGGTCCCCTTGCATCTGAATGTCAGGATCTTGGACCAACCTTTGGGACGTACTACTACCAAATCTGCCTCATGGATTATGTCGTTGACAAAGGGCTTTCATCCGCCGAATCCTCTGTCGAAACCTTTTCCACAATCTGCAAGAAAGCCCTCAATTTGACCAACTCTCCTCTAACCACCCTCTGCCAGAACATCACCAACTCACAGCAGTTTGTTGAACTTGGTTGTGAGAAGGAGATGTGTGTGTTTGGCATCATTGATCCTTTCAGTGGTGTCTGTGCTTGCGATGCAGCACACTGGGGTGCTACGTGCTCTCTACCCTGCCCTGGTGGGCTGATAACACCTTGCAATGGGCATGGAACATGCATCCAAGACACAGGTTTGTGTAACTGTGAAACTACGTGGTCAGATGAGAGCAACTGTACTGAGTGTAGGCCAGGTTGGACTGGTCGAGACTGCTCCATGAGCAACACTGATAAAGAACCTAATGCCACCATGCCTATCTGTAACATCTTTGGTCAAGGCCACTTCGTCAATTTTGATGGTACTCAGTTTGACTTCAAGGAGTATGGGGAGTATTACCTCATGAAAGATACATCCACAAATTTTGTCGTCCAGGTCAGGATTCTGCCTTGTTACGATCAGTCGTCATGTGTTACAGCAGTGGGAGTCCGATACAGTGGAGACTCAGTTGTAGTAAGGGATGGCTATGTCAGTGACAGCCAAGTGCTTCTGTTCCATAATGGACAGTCTGTCATGTATAACAATATCTCTGTCCCCATGCAAAATTTCATCTTCGAGCGTTCATCATCTTTGGAATATGTAATCCGGAGTGAGCCAAGTCTTTACTTCAGGCTCCGTGTTGTTGACCGTTCGCTTAACATACTGATGAACATTCTGCCAAGCTACTGCAGCCAGTCGGGAGGCATTTGCGGATCCTGTGATGCTGACACCACCAACGATATTACAGATCCAAGTTACATCAAAGATAATGGTCTATGGGTTGTACCCTCTCATGAGAGCTTGTTCACACCCTTGTTTGGAGAATTGGGACTCCTTGAGGAAAGAGTTCCAACTGGCGCTGGATTTTGTCTTCATTTCAACAATACCTACCTGTCATCTGATGTACTTGATGATGTTTTCACTGATACCTCAGATATCACCCTGGAGTTTTTTGTCAAAGTTGATGCCAGCGATGGTATCATTTTATCCTACAGCACCACATCATCATTCACTGTGTTTGTTCAGCAAGGAACCCTCAGAGTATCAATAGAACATGATAGCTTTGACACTGGCCTAACCCCTGAAATCAGCATTTGGAACCAAGTGTCTGTTGTCTGGAAGAGAGAACTCTACCGGATTGAGGTGTACCTCTTGATGTCTGATGGAAGTATCCTCCAAGAGGCTCACACCTTTGAAGTCACCACTGATCTCTTCATTGCCGGGGGAAGGCTTGTGATTGGTGGATGGCAGCCTGGTACTGTTAATTTCTCACCTCCCCCTGTATTAAGACCTCTCACTTGCAGTTTCGATGAGCTACGAATCTGGCACAAGGCTCTGACGGTTTTTGACATCCAATTCTATCAGGGAATAAACATCCAACCAGGACATCAGCACATCTTTGGATTGTGGAAATTCAATGAAGGACAGGGAGAAATAGTGTATGATCTGGTTAACCGAGCACATTTCCATTTCTCAACCCAGGTGTGGGTAATAAATCAACCGATTTGGCAGTTCTCATCTATCAAAATTCAATTACTACCACCACAGTACACCTACACTTTCCTTGATGTTGGGTATGAGATGTTTGTTAGACGAGCGTGTCTTGATGTTGTCCAGTCTACGTCTATCATAAGCAAGTGTGGAAAGCTGGATTCATCCAACTTTGAATTCTACTTGGTATCCTGTATTAGAGATTACGGTCTGGCCAGAAGTCAGTATGCAGCTCTCTCAGCTTCTTTGGCAATAGCTGATTTCTGTTCCTTCAGGTTAAGTATTCCATCCGAGTTCTGGCCAGCACGATGGTCGTGTAACTACTTTGAGGGAATCCCATTTCCAGTATGGTTTGGAGAGTCTTGCAGTCATCAGTGCTACTTCACAGACCAGAAAGTTACCAATGGCTCAGCACCACTTGAGGTGTGCCTCTGCTCTTCTGGATACTGGGGAAGCAACTGCAACTCAGTCTGCACTGGTGGGGTCTTGTCCCCTTGTAACAACCATGGATCCTGCTCCCAGGATTCAGGAGTTTGCCTTTGTGAGACCAACTGGAATGGGGACACGGGATGCAGGACTTGCTCTATGGGCTGGAAAGGTTCAGACTGTTCCCTTGCTGTACTTGAGACACCCCCTGCAACAATCACTCATCATTGTACTGTTTTCAGCAGTGGCTTCTACACACTCTTTGATGGATCAAGTGTTGTCTTCTCCGACATAGGGGACTTCACTTTTTATGAGAGTGGAGATTTGACCTTCCAGATTCGACAAGGACCCTGCTTGAACAAAAAATCATGTATTACTGCGCTAGCCCTCCAAGTTGATAATGAGGCTCTTATCATCAGTGCTCCATCAGCTTTGACCAGTGAGCCTTTGGTGGTTCTTGACAACAAAACTATCACTCTAGGCTCAAATTTGACTTTTGGTTCTTCAGATCATTACTTACTAGCTCGTGTAGAGCTTGGAAGATTTGACATCACAGGTCCAAATGGTCTGCACGTTGTCCTGGACATAGCTGGTGTCTATATGAACATTGACTTTGAGATCCATCAGACAGCCTGTAGTGGAGTTCTTGGGTTGTGTGGTCCATGCATTCCCACAGAAGCTCCCTGCACAGCTAATGACAACGACCCCATATGTGCCATGCAACATCTTGGTTTAAGTGGTTATGCAGCACGCTTTACACTCACCCACTCCCTGACCTACCAATTCTGTGCTGTGTACTTGTTGCGTCCATCTGCAAGCCTCATGTATGTGGTCTTTCGTGATCACACTTTTGTGGGATATCCACTAGTTCCATATCCCTCACCAGCTGGCTTTGGACTGTTCTTCAACAACTCCGGTATTGTCTCCAACCCCATACCTGCTGGCGCCTTAATCTCAGATCACCTCACTGTGCAATTCTATGTCTACTGCTCTAGCACTGCATCAGGAACCCTGCTATCATTCACACGCCACACAACCTTTGCTGTAACTGCGATTGATGGCACTTTTCACTTGCACTATAGCGACTTGGTGATTGACACCGAGATCAACATAGCTGTTGACATCTGGCTTCAGATCTCACTGGTCTATGATCAGACCACTGGCAGACTTGGCTTCTACTGCGTGGACTCAGCACAGGTTATCCAGTATCGGTACTACTTCATCGGAATTGGCATTTTTGTGCCTGGATGCACCCTTGGGATTGGAACATGGCAGCTGCCAGTGGATGGAGCCAGTTTACCTCCGGAGGGCATCTTTACAGGATACTTCGACACCATCTGCATCTGGGGTGTACCCTTCTCTCCGACAGATGTGATCAGTAGTTGGGGATCACCAGGAATCCGCCATGACTCAACACTGGTGGCACTGTGGCCATTGGACTTCGGAATTGGCCCTATTGGCTATGATGTCATCTCAAACATTAATCTTGTCTTCCCTGTTAATCCTCTTGTTGCACCGTCTTGGTGGGCATCAGGTGCACCCATATCTCAGATATTGCCCGGAATAGAATTTACAACCACAGTCACATTCCAAACGCCAGAGCTTGAGGAGAAGGCACATATATTGTGCTCACACCTCATCTACTCTGGTCCAATTAGAGATCATTGCGGTACCCTGATAACTAGTGCTCAGTATCACTACATCGCTTGCCTTCAAGACATCTCTTCAACATCTGAGACACAGAAGAGTAGAGATGCCGTTTTGTCATTTGCAACGGAATGCCAAGACGTGTTGAAGCTTCCAAACTGGCCAGGGCAACTTCTCTGCAACAATTTCCCAGGTGAACCTTTCCCTGTTTGGGCAGGCCCCAACTGTACACAACGTTGTGTCTTCGGAACATACTCAACCACATGCATCTGCCACTACGGATACTGGGGAGCAGAATGTGACAGGATTTGTCCAGGTGGTGGACCTATCAACCCTTGCCATGGCAATGGTTTCTGTGATGTAGAAACAGGAACATGCGAGTGCTTTGGTAACTGGAAAGGTGACCGGGAGTGTGGATCTTGCTCAGAAGGTTGGACTGGAGCAGATTGCAGCCTTCTAGTTTCAGAGCTCCCTCCAGGACGTACTGAGGTTTCTTGCTCTGTCAGGTCCGAGGTGATCACCAACTATGCAGGGATCAACTATGAGGTACCAGATGTCGGGGTCTATCTACTCACAAAACTTGGGAATGTTGAAATGCAGGTATGTTTTCATAAGGTCATACTTACATGATTCAGTTGATCATCTCTACTCTTTTCTAGTTCCCTACTGTGCCGCACGCAGCAAAAATATTCTTTTGGTAAACACCTCAGACGGACTCCCTATTCAACAACGTGCAACTTTACCGTGTATAGACATTTGATAATGCCCGTTGAGAAGTGATAATGCCCGCTCCGTAAATGGAACACTAGCACCTGGATACAAGACAGTTAAATCGATTCTGATTGGTCAAGAGTCTGTGTGCACACAGCATGCGACAATTTGCACAAGGAATATTCCATAAAATGGACATGGGTGTTTGGGAAACTGAAAGTAGAATTCCAGCTCAAATTACTGGAAATCCATTATATATTGACCTCTTTTGACTCATTGACTAAATAGGTGTTAATGAATGGGAATAAATATGTGCTTGGCCAGTGTTAAGCCTGGTTTCCATATGGTCATTTATAATGCAGATGAAACGCAAGACGTCAAGACGCAAGACAGTCACGGAAGAGATGCTATGCGACGTCATTCCACAAAAAAATTAAACCAAATGGCGCCGAAACTAGGAAAATATTAGCAAAAAATGCCTCTTTTAGGTGGCAATGTTGCCTCTTGAAGCCAAACTGATACTCCAGTTTGATGTAATTGAGAGCTATCTTGTTGATGATGAAGGTTGCATATGCTTGCAATGAGGAGAAAACGGACAAAATGAGTGGTATTAAGCAAGAGAAACATAGTTGTACGCCCATCATGCCAGCATGCGTGGTTTGTATAGGCCTACTCAGCAACTCAATGCAGACAGTTAGCAAAGTTGAACCGGGCTCAATTTTGCCAATCCGTCTGGGGCTGGTTCCATTTGACATGTTTCCATATGTCTGCGTTTCAGTTTTGCGTTGCTCTCTGCTTTTCTATGTCAATATGGAAACAAGGCTTTAAAGTAATGTTTAAGACTGGCTGATAATGCCCTTGCCTATGGCTTGGGCATTAGTCGTGTGCAGTCTACTGAGCCAAGCACATATTTATTCCCGTAATAAGAGCTGCTGGTGAAATCTTTAAAAGTTTTATCCTATTAAGTTTCATAACGTGGGAATGTGACACACTTTAAGATGATGAGCATTGCTTTGTGTGAACTAGTTATTTTCTCATAACCTCATGCCAGACAAAACTTGACAAAAACGCTTAAGACCAAGAAGCACTGTAGTTTAAGATTCCGGTTGTTTTATTAAATTGATAGATGTTTCAAGAATGCTTTGTATTTTCTATTGTAGATGAGTCAGGTGATCTGCTCGGATGAATCTGTTTGTCTCGACGGGCTAGCTGTCAGCTTCTCTGATCAGAATGTAACCATCCGGCACTTTGCAGCAAACTACCACTCCATTGTTCATGTAAACGGCGAGATGACAGTAGCGGATGAACCAGTTGTTTTGAAAGACCGATCAGATGACACACTTACCCTGACAAGGCTCTCATCTGAGACTTATGAAATCCAAACAGGCACTCTTGGCTTCTTCATCCACATCAACATCATGGAGACTCACATCATTGTGGATGTTGAGATACCAAGCAGTGTTTGCTGTAACGATGTGCCTCTTGGTCTGTGTGGTCCTTGCCTAGATTGTTCCGGCATTACCCCTCCTATTCCGGACGGCACACCCGGCATCGTCATCCCAGATCCAACTGAGGGACAAAGGGATATGTTGGCAAAGATCAAAAAAGTCAGGATTCCCCCAGGCCCTGGTGTTATCTTTTCCACTGACGAGACACCGTATAATCCAGATTCATATGCTGGATATTGCCTGTCATTTAGAGAATCAGCTGTGGTCATTGAGAACATTCGCATATCTGTCAAACGCTACACTTGTGTGGAGTTTCTTATCAAGACATGTTCTGAAGGCTGTGGTGGCACTATCTTCTCATTTGCAGCATCCAAGACATTCTTCATCAGCACCATCTCTGGTTACATATCAATTCACTACGGCAACTTCAACGTCACAACAGACCTCTACCTTGACATTGAGGTCTGGAACCTTGTCTCCTTGCTCTGGGATAGCCATTCATTCACCCTGGATGTGTACATCTTTGATGCAGAGGGCCTGCCTACAAGAAGAACATACTTCTTGCCAGCTAATATCTTCCCGTCAGATGGAAGCATCTGCCTTGGAGCTTGGCAGCCAGGAATTGATGGAACTGGATTAGAACCCAGTGGTGCCTTTGTTGGACTGATAGATGATCTACGTGTTTGGGACAGGTAAAATTGAGTTCAGCTTCCAATGCCAGAATGTAAATTAGCAGCACTTAAGAATGCAAATTCAAAAACTGGAAATCTAAACTTGCTGTGTTTTCCTCACCCTGAAGCCAAAATTTATCTTGTTCCTTGATGAATCTTTTCTTTTTTCTTTTTCTCCCCTGTAGTTTCTTTGATAGCAATGCCGTTCAGACTCACTGGGATACATACATAGGACCTTTCACTCCTGGGCTGACAGGACTCTGGAAGTTTGATGAAGGAGCAGGTATGTTTATAGCACAACCTTGTAAATGTAAACATTTTAATGCTTGAAAGTCTTCACAAATCAGCCGAGCACGTGCAGAATTCTAAATAATTTTCCGTGTTCTATACATTTGTCATGTAAGTAGCACTGTGTTGGAATTCATTTGCTTTCAAATATGCTTTTGATCACACATACATGTACCTCTGGATAGTTCCCCATGAAAGAAAAACTACAGGTGTTCAGATTTAATGCCAAGCTTTGTTGATTGACTTCTCAGGTAAAGAGGCATACGATGCTGTCTCGGGCCTTCCGATCATTCTCACAAACTCATCTTACCCAGCCCCAGTCTGGCAACCTTCAGATGCACCTATACCTGCACCTATCGATAGAAGTGGTAATGGAGGAGCATCGGGAGATAGCGGTGGCACTGGTGGTGGAGGTGGTAGCAGCAGTGGTGGAGGTGGTGGCAGCGGTGGGACAGGAGATGGAGCAGGAGGCACTGGAGGAGGAGGTGGTAATAGTGGAGGAGGTGGCTTGGGTGGAGGAGTAACACCTACTGTGCCTGACTGGTTGGATGATTTCTGTAAGAGTGTGACCCTTGCTGGACCACTGTACAAGTAGGTGTCAAATACAACTTTTTCAGACTAAAATTTTTGGCACATTTGTAACTGTGTGATCTGTGATGTGGCTTTGGGAAGCCAAGACACTTTGAAGTCATTGGAAACTTGATGTAATGTTACTGTGTACTTTATGCAACAATGGGTCTCAGATCAGCCTAAGATCTCACTTCCCACACATCATTTACCAGTTTGTAATGACAACAAAGTAGTTCTCAGGTAGAATGCTCAGTCAATTAATAGTATTAGCTCTCAAGATCAATATAGTTGGAAAATTTTGTCAGAAATCTAAGTCCTAGGAAACCCTTTCTTGGTTAATTTACAGTTCCTGCCCAATTGGTGATGCTGCTCAACAGCGCTACTACCAAGCATGTCTGCAGGCTGTTGCTACCACCAACACTGTCGAACCAGCCCTCGAACCAGTCGTTGAGTTTGCTGATTTCTGTCAAGTGGCTCTTGCCCTACCAGACTGGCCTGCACAACCACTTTGCAACAGATTCGGAGATGCTGTATTTCCCCGCTGGATTGGTGACAGCTGTGACATCCTTTGTGCCTTTGGGTCGCGCCATCCAGATGACAGGAACATTTGTGTCTGCGACTATGGCTACTGGGGCATTAACTGTGATGAGGTCTGCCCAGGAGGATCGAGCCTGCCTTGTAGTTCCCATGGACTTTGTGATGCTCTGACAGGAACTTGTACTTGTTCGTCAAATTGGAATGGTGCACTAGACTGCAGCCTTTGCACACCAGGCTGGCTTGGGACTGACTGTTCCACTGCACTTGTACAAGTGAGTCTTCAGATTAGAATCCACCTGCGTATCTCTGTCATTGTCGGCTTCTCCCAAATTACCACTGTGAGTGGATACACGTTCCTTCATTACTCTGTTGGACAGTACTATCTTCTGCGAATTGCTGACAACTCACTTGTTATCCAGGCCAAGTTCATTAACTGTTATGGTGGCTATTCTTGCATCAGGTACCTTGGCCTACGATTTGGAGACCCAGTTGGTGGCTTTGCCCAAGTAACCATTGGAGGTGCACACATTTCCGGTGGATATTTCATCATCTATGTTAGTGGAGTGGAAGTCACAGTTGATGGCACATTAGAGTTTGGCCACTCTGGATACGTTTTCACCCGTCTGTCATACCTTGAGCTGTTAATTACTGGACCAGGTGATTTCAGCATCATTGTTAGAGCCGATGGAAAATATCTATCCCTGGCTACCAGACTTCCCAACAGCCTTTGCTCCATAGCAACAGGAATCCTCGTAGGTGGCTGCTGTAACTCAACTAGCATGGATGAAGCTGTTTTGTCACTTCCAGTTGCTCGCCCAGACCTTGGGCTTTGCAAGAACAGCCATCCAATACAAATGCCAGCACCTATGCAATCAGGCAATTACCAGTTTTCCACCAATGAAACCACTGATGCAGCATGTGACAGCAGTACTCTGTCACCTTCAGACCAGGCCATCAAAGATTTCATGAAGAGCTGGCTGGTCAGTGACTGTGATAATGTAATAACCTACCCTAGCTCAAACTCTGCTTTGCAGCTTTATGGCAGCTATTCACTCCACTTCCATTTAACTGTGATCTTCACACAGCAAGTGACCCTCTTTGTTCAAGAAACGTATAATGTTGCATTTGAGCTGCTGATCAAATGTCAAGACACTGTCACAAATGGAGGTGTTGTGTTCTCCTACTCCCACTACACAACCTTTGCTCTCAGTGTGGAATCAACTGTCAAGATATACATTGGAAATGTGGTTTATAACACCAACCTGATTGTTCAGAATGAAGAATGGAACAAAGTTGTGTTAGTATATGAAGACATCAATGGCAAGTTAAATATCTACCATTTTGATCCCAAAGGGAATGTGAAGCGCTACCAGCTCTCTGTTGATGTTCACCTATTCCGCGTCGCTGGGTATCTCTCACTTGGCTCCTGGCAACCAGCCTGGAACTTGACAAGCCAGGTGCCGCTGAGATCCTTCTCTGGCCACATTGATGACTTCAGAGTCTGGAACAGGTACCTAAGTCCTGCTGAGGTACCTGGCATGTGGGATAACAGGCCAGGAACTGACATACCCGGATTGGTGCGATATTGGCCATTTGATGAAGGGGAGGGATTGTTTGCAGAAGACCGTATCACAGGTGACAAACTCTACATGCCTGACAATCCATGGCCTCAGCCGCAGTGGGTTGACTCTGATGGACCTGTCCCAGATGATGGTTTCATCCCACCCATTGATCCGACTTTTGACAACAATGATCTGGAAGGTGAGACAAAAAATCTCTGCAAAAGTCTTTTGCGTTCCCCACCTGTCTCAGATTCCTGTGACGACCTTGGAGAGGGAACTGCAGGCATGTACTACATGCTCTGTCTGCGAGAGGTTGCTGAAACACAAGATCTTGTCCAGGCATACAAGGTTGCATTTGGTTTCTCAGACATTTGCCAGGCTGCTAAAAACCTGAGTACCTGGCCAGCATTGCCGTTGTGCAGTGAAGCACCAACTCTTAGAACCGGTACCCAATGCAAAGATGACTGCCTGTTTGGAGTCAAGATGTCTTCTGGAGCTTGCTCTTGCCTGAATGGCTTTCATGGAGACCAGTGTGACAGTGTGTGCCCCGGTGGATCAGTCAATCCATGTAGCTCCCATGGAATTTGCTTGCCTTCCGGATTGTGTGCCTGTGATCTTAATTGGTCTGGCCTGCTGGATTGCGGGATCTGTGCTCAAGGATGGTATGGGCATGACTGCACTGTTGCCACAACGCTAATCGTCTCCACTCATAGACTGTACTACACAAGCTTTATCACTGTGTTTTCACAGTACACCTTATTTGACGGCCTGAGCTTTAACTTTGCAGCTGTAGGTGAGTTCTACCTGATGCAGACCAGTAACTTTGTTATTCAGATCCGACAGGTTCCTTGCTATCACCAGTCAACCTGTGTCAATGCCATTGCAGTCCTTATTGACAGCACTGTTGTGGTAATCCATGCTCCTTATCAGGACAGTCAAGCTCCAGTAATATGGATTGACAAAACCAAAGTTGATTTCGCAGCCACTGTCTTGCTCGTCCCAAGTACCAACTGGATTATTGAACAGACAGACGTTAACAATCTGAAACTGTACTCAAGCACTGAGCTTGAATTTCAGGTCAGTGTCCGCACCTTTGGATTGCACCTCCAAGTGATGATTTCCTCACCATTAGGAACTTGTCTCAGTTCGAGAGGTCTGTTAGGAAACTGTAACAACAATCATACTGATGATCTTGATGCAAACAATACTAAACCATGGGATGATATATCACAGGAGGACATACACACCCTGATTGCAGACTTGTGGAGGGTTCCATCTTCAGATTCTTTCTTCATCCATCAGTACCAAAGCTATGTTGAGAAAGAGGTTCCAACAGGAGCAGTCTTTGCATTGGTGTTGGAGAACACAGGTGGCAGGACTGAACCTCTGAAGAACTTGTCAACATTCATCTCCCACACTGAAATGACCATTGAGTTCTTGATCAAACCTTATTCCTATGGAGGTGTCATTGTTGCATTTGGACTGGAGTCAACATTTGCCATAATCAATGAAGTCACCATTAAAATTGCTATCGGTGTAGAGGTGTATGACACTGGTATTACAAACAATCTTGAATCCTGGAATCGGATATCACTGGTATTTGAACGTGAGAAGAACAGGCTGCAGTTTTATCATCACAGCACTGCAGGAGTTGTGAGCTCATGCCGCTTCACCATTGACCACTGGCTTTGGCTGGAAACTGGAGCAATCCTGTCCATTGGTCAGTGGCTGCCAACACCAGACAACCAAACTTTTGTCCTAAATACCACCTTCCATGGAGCCCTTGATGAGTTCCGAATCTGGGGTGCCTCATTCCTGCCTGCCTTTGTTCAACTCACTGATGTCACTAACGTTGATGCAGTCAAATATTCAGACACCCTTGCTGCCTTGTACAAATTTGACGCTGGCTTAGGCAGTGTAATTTCAGACCCTGTTTTCAATAATGACTTCCTCACACCTACTGGCCCATGGCAGAAACCATTATGGACGTACTCCAACGCTGACATACCTGTGAAGTTTGGTACTCCATTTGTGGCTGTTTTTCACAATAGCTCTCTGCAAACGGAAGCTGAAACACTTTGCAGTAAGCTGAACATCAGTGATGGTGGACTGCAAGATATTTGTCCTGACTTGAGCCAGGCAAGCCTGGATTTCTTCTATCTGACTTGCTTGCATAATGCAGCAGCAACAGGAAGCACAGATGGTGCGTTTGCAATTATTGAAGTGCTGATAGAGTATTGCCAGGTCATTAGAGGTTCCAAAGTCAATGCCAGTGTGATTTGCGAGGTCTTTTCAGAAATTGCAATTCCAGATTGGCTGCTTCTGTCATGCACAAATTGCGGATTTGGATTTCCCCATCAAGATGATTACCACATCTGTGTTTGCATCGACGGATACTGGGGCACATCCTGTCATGAAGTTTGCCCTGGTGGTGTCATTGCACCTTGTTACAATCATGGCAGCTGCGACAAGGATGGACTCTGCCTGTGTGAGGTCAACTGGAGAGGTCAGGTGGACTGTAGCGTCTGCTCTGCTGATTGGCTTGGAGATGACTGTGCCATAGCAACGGCATCCTGGTACAGGCAGTCAATTGTGAACTTGAGAGTCTTTGCTGTGTGCAGTGCCGAAGGAAGGGTTGTGACTTTTGGTGGAGTGTCGATCTACATTCGTCATGTTGGCATGTACAACATGATTACTCATGCTGCTAGCAACCTCAAGATTAATTTAAGGCTTTCATGGTGTGCTAGAGTTGACAGCTTTGCCACCTGTTTTGATGCTATTTCCATTCACCATCACTCCCACACCCTCATTTTCCGGGCCTCCACAGACTCAGTTTTCTTGCAGCCGACTATCTGGCTTAATGGAAAGATAATCTTTCTGGATCACACAACTTCCATCAGCACAGAGATTTCAGTTCTCCGGATCAACATCATCCAGTATCAAATCTACATTAGGCCTGTGGACCTCTTCATTTTGGTCACAATCCATCCTCATCATTTTGGCATCAGCATTGACATGCCTTCTGACATCTGCAACAGCGTCAGCACCAGCATGGAAGGATTGCTTGCCTCCTGTGACACAGTCAGTGACATAGAACGTGTCGATTGTTCATTGGCCGAAATTGACACTCCTGATGGTAATTCGGCTTGTCAACAAAATGCATCCCAATCGGCCGTTGACAAATATGCCGACAAATTTGTGGCAGCTTCTCTCGGGAACACATCTTTTGAGCATTACCAGTATCTGCTTCCTGTTCTTGGTGCCGGCCATCATCTCTACTTTGCAGACAGTGTTGTCATTTCAGAGCCCCTGTCCAACTTCCCCTCTACCAGGTTTACCTTGGAGATCTTCATTAAGGTTGAGCAGTATGGAGGTGTAATACTCTCTTACTGCACAAGTGACAGTGTCTTTGCCTTAATCAACTTGGAAACAGGACTTGCTGTTTTCTATGGACATCAAGTCCACGGTCTGAGATTCCAACTGACACTGCAACAGTGGACACAGATGTCCCTCATGTGGCACCAGTCTACTGCCATTTTTGAAGTGTACGTGTTTGATGTATTTGGAGTCGCACAGGTCCAGGCAATTCAACTTGAAAGTAGTGCATTTCAGAGTGGCGGCCACCTTGTGCTTGGGCAGTGGTACTCAACAATTTCAACACCCGTCCCACCATTACCAAATGATCCATTCACAGGCTCCATAGACGAGATAAGAGTCTGGGATCGGATAACAAATCCATCTCTAATTACCTCAAATTGGAAGCTGAATGCTGGGAAAGACACACAAGATCTGCGAATGGTTTGGAAGCTGAATGAAGGGAATGGCTCGGTATCTGTTGATCTAATTGGTGGCTTTCAGCTTCAGTTCCCTGACTGGAATAGGCCTTTATGGAGAATCAATGGTGATGATTACCCGATCGATATTGACAATCCTCTTGCCTATCCAGACTTCAACAATGACACACTTGCTGATCTAGCCACCTCCAAATGTGAAGAAATCTTCTTGAGTGGCCATCTCCATGATTCCACTGTAGCTCTTGGAGTTGCAGTGATTGACATTTACTACATTCAGTGCCTGCGGGATATTGCATTCCATCTTGATCTCAGTGCTGCAGTAGAGGCAACTGTTTCTCTCTCTGATTTGGCCCAGTCTCAGTTACTACTGGATAAGTGGCCTGCTTGGTACCTGTGCAACAGCTTCCCCGGCTGGGACTTCCCCTTCTGGACTGGCCCCGACTGTGACATTCCTTGCATCTTTGGACGGAGAAGCCCACAGGATCAGTCTGTCTGCATTTGTGAACCAGGCTACTGGGGATCGGCCTGCAGCAATGTGTGTCCGGGAGGAGCGTTGAGCCCTTGCAGTAACCAGGGCAACTGTAACATGACGTCCGGTCTTTGTGAGTGCCACTCCCATTGGCTTGGTTCAGAAACACAAGTTATTAACAAAAGCTACGCCTGTTCAGCCTGTTCAGCTGGATGGTTTGGTACTGATTGCTCAATAAGTACTATTGATCAAACGCTAACAAGAGGTCTTTCCATATTCTTTGGCCACCTTCATTTCACAACATTTGATGGCGCAAGTTTCAATTTTGGGGTTCCTGGAATGTACAGCCTTCTTACAACTTATTCAACCACACTTCAGGTCCTTGTGGAGCCTTGCTTTGCAATGGTAGCCTGTAGAGAGATCACAGAGGTGTCAGTCACCAGTAGAGATGTAACATTGTCAATCGGCATTAATCTGGATGCGGTGGAGAGGTCGTTAATTGTGCAGCAGAGATCCGGACAGTCATGGACAATTATTGAGTGGACAGAAAATGGCGAAGGTGCAGCTGGAGACTTATCATACACATGGCACAAACTGCATCTGGTGAATATCACAACAACTGATTCCATTGTTATCACTGTGGCACTTTACTCAGGTGTAGTTACACTAATCATTAACACCCCTAAAGGAATCAACATGGAGCCGGTAGCTATGTCCGGGACATGGGACGGTGACTGGATCAACGATGTAAATGTTGGAGAATTCCAGCCTGGAACAGGGGATATTCCAGACAGATGGGTGTCTGTGAATGACAGTGATTTTGTGTTGGACCTAGCTTCCCAGAGATACTGTGATGAGGCTCTCAGCCGTTACTTTTTGGTGCCTCTTGGCAATGCCGTTTTCGTAAGTGAACATGCTCAGGTCTTCACTGGTGCCGGATACATTCTTCGATTCAGCCACAACCATGTGTTATTTTCAGGCCTGACAGTCAAGGAGCTAGACCAGTTCACTCTGCAGTGCTGGCTGCGCATTTCTGTCTCATCTACCTCCATTCAGACGTTGATCTTGTTTGAATCAGAAACCTCACTGGCTGTGCAATTGGACAGGGATGCTGTGAGGGTAGTCTTTGATGGGCGTGTCATCACAACACAGCTCATTGTCCGAGCAGGTCCTTGGTTCCACCTCAGTGTGTCCTGGCGAAGCTTTGATGGCAGAGTGACAGTGGACTTGTATGCATCAGACCAACAACTTGTGAGGACTCATGTAGTATATGGAGTCCACACCACTGAATACATCCGGTTAAGTGGAAATCTACATCTTGGTCAACATGCAGGCAATGATGATTCTGATTTTGAGGGTGACATAGACTTGGTGCATCTCAAGGAATACTTCTCTCATGGGGAAGACTTCATCAATGGTCAGGAACAATTCAATGAAGACCTTGTCCCAGGTATGATATTCCTCATTGCATTGGATGAAGGAAGTGGGTTGAAAGCAGCCACGAAGCTGTATTTACCTGGAAACAGCAGTTTAGTTGATGGAAGTTTAGGACCGGAAGATGCACCTCCTACATGGCTTCCATCAGATGCACCAATCAACACTCAGCCAGACTACTCGCCCAGCTTTCCTACCCCGACCCTCAAAGAAGATGCTGTAACTGCCTGCGCCGGTTACTTCTACCAAGATCCTTTGTACAGTTCCTGCAAGGACCTGGAGAGCACTCTCCTGTTCTACTATGAAGCCTGCATCTTGGATGTAGCAGCAAGTGGGGACGTGGCTCGTGCTAACATCTCAGCTTACATGTTTGCCCTTCTCTGCCAGCGGACCCTAGACGTCCCACCTGAGAAATTCTGTGGATTCTTTGAATTCTGCAAGGAGAAGCCAACAGATTCCTGCTGTGCTTGGTGGGTCATCCTGATCATAGTCATCTGCATTCTCCTGTTGATTCTGATCCTCATCCTCATCTGCTGTATTTGGAAGAAGAAAAAGGACAAGAGCAAGCAAAAAATCCAAGTGGTCGGGGGAAAGAGGTATGTTCGCCCTTTCTCCACATCCAGACCCCAGTCTGGTAGTTCACATAGGCGACTTTTGATGGAGTTATCACAGAGGTCCCTGCGACGCATAGAGCCTGAGCCGGAAGCTGAGGGAGGCATCACACTGAAGGTTGTCAAAACTCATGATGAAGAAGCCCCCCCAATGGATTCTAAATCTGGACTAGAAGCTGAAGCCGGTGTTGAGACAACCTTCAGTCACCTTCCAATCGAACACTTCCAATCAGATGACAGTAAGCAGCCAGCTGTTCTGAGTTCATTTGCACCGCTGGAGCCTACCAATAAAAACCAGTCTGCAGCCACCGAAGATTATAATTCTCAGGGACTGATGGGGCTCCCAGAAGGGGCATTTGCAATGCCAGTTGGGTTGGCTGGCAATGATGGCTTCCAGCCAGTGTATGACGATAAGTTTGATCCCTTTGTTGACTCCGTAGACCTCCCTGAGTATGACCCTCTTGATGTTCCCCTTCCACCATACGAAGGTCACCCACAAAGCAAAGATGACACCGATGCTGATACATTTAATCCAGCTGGAGTAAAATACCCGCCACCCAGACCAGCCTCGCAGAACACCTGGCTTGAGGATGATCAAGATGATGATAACAGCTCAGCAGCAGTCTTTGGTCAAGCTGATACCAAATTACAGGAACCAGCTGGTGCATGGACACCTGCTGACACCATTTCTCACGCCTCAAGAGACTCTCCAGTATTCAACTCTGCCACAAACAGTAGGCCAAATTCTCCATCCCATACGACAGTCCCAGTGGCATTTTTGGCCTCTGCTGGTAACCAGTCAAGCTCATCCTCTGGAAGTGAAGCAGAAGAAGAGGTAACACCCCTGCAGACAGAAAGACCAACCTCTGCCCGTAGTGACCAGGAAGCCCATACAAAACCGAAACCACATGGAAAAGTGCAAGCACTGCGACAGTTGATCCACAAGAGAAGCTCCCAGATCACACCAAGATCATCCAACCAGAGTTCACCCCAGGGATCCAGGATGACCTCACCAGTTCCTGTTCTTGATTTTGATGCTGCGGAACTGGAAGAGCTGGAAAGTCTGCCTATGCCCCCCGAGAAGTATGAAAAACCATTTTCTGACTGGAGGGATGAAGGAGAATCTATTGTGTAATCAGTGAAAACCTATCCAATTCATTTGAAATATTTTACGGAACCCTTATTGCCATGTTCTGTTGCCATAAAATCACACAACTTATGTTTATATTTGAGCTCTCTGAAAGTTTTATCTATGTACATCTTGCTTTTGCTTGTTTTCTTGCACCAGGCCAATGTTTTTGAAATGCTTTTACAGCCTGGCTGACCTCTGATTTGACCTCTGAGAGGGTCATTCAACCTTGTCCTTAACAAACGAAAGTCCAGCATACATGAACCATCCATAGACATGTTATTAAATTGTTATCTTGTGTGGTTATGTGTTGCCTGCAAGAAGTTTTGTCGCCAAATCAAATGTAGTATTGTTCCACTGAATATAAATTGCTGTTTTGTACCTTTCCTTGATATTACTCAGAAGTCACTTTATTTGTAACTGTGAATGAACATCTTTATCACTGAAAGACAAATATATTTTAATGATTAAGTAGACATTTAAATGAGGTGTATAAATCTGCAACTTGTGCATTCTATATGCTGTACATTTTGATATGTTGATGTGACTTCTATTTTAAATTACAATTTTTACACAAAATTTATTTTGTTTAAGCATCTATATAATGCAGCTACTATTCTCCATTGTAAATCTAACAAAGGAGTAAAAATATATATTTCTCATCCTGCTTTACAACCAAAAATGTCAATTTTAATTTTTCAACCTGCTACGAATGCCTAGAAGTTGTAGGAATTTTTATGTACTTAAAGATTATTTCATCAGATGGATATGCACTCCTTCATGTTTTGGATAAAATTTCTTTCATTATTAGCTGGTGTCTTTAACATCCTAACAAAAATATTTACATTCTTGTTTTATCAAGAATTCTTGCTTGGAAGGTTAATGTGCTATGCAAGTAAGTGTATTATGTGAGGTAACTTCAACAAAAGATGAAAAGTAGTGATTTTGATTGTCTGATAATTGCGTTTTGGGGGATTTGAATTTTTTTTCTGTCATCAATCTTATATATTCCACAGTGGTCTACAGTTTAAACAACTTGACATTTGTGATAGGGGGCTTGGTTCCTGGAGTTTTTTGAAAATTACATTAGTAGTTAGAATGTTTATAGAGTCATGATGTTTGTGTCTTGCAAGTCACTCTCAGTTGCTGCACTTTAGTCAGGAGCACTTCTATTTTGTCAGTATTTCATGGTCAAGTGGCAGTGGTGACAGACCTATGTTGTGTGGTGAGGGCTTCAGAACGTAGGTCTTTCCCAAACCATGAGATTATGTGATACATGTGTCTTCAAGCATGTCACTTGACTACAAGATGCATGTCATTGCCTTGAATCATGGTCAGAGTGTTGATTGTGGACCGGTGGTCGGGCGACAGACCTATATTCTAAAGTGAAGGCTTCAGAATGTGAGTCTGTCGCCAACCATAAGCTGTTTGTGTCCTTCAAGCCTCAAGGCACTCCTCTACAATAGCTCCTGTAAATAATTTTATTCCCAGAAATCATGGGATCATGTTCAGCAGTCCAGTGGTAATAGAGTCAGAACCACATTTTGAGGTGAAGGCTTTGGAATGAGGGTCTCTCTCAAACCACATGGTGTTTGATCTCTGATCTCTTCTTCCAAATCCAAAAATGCGGCTCCTGTTTGCTTCTCACAGACTTGGACACTACATTTAATACAATCAATAAAGCCTAAAACCATCATAATCATGCTGTTTATATGTAAAAGGACAGAAATGTTCCATTTTGGTTTCACAAAGTTGTCAGTGATCATAGCTTTTCATAGCTTTCAGTCTTCCAGGTGAAGTGCTATAAAACAAATTTGTTTTTGATGTTTACTTCTTTTATAATGAAGAAATCAATTTACTGACTTGAAGAGCTGTAAAATCCATCTTTAAAGATTGATGTCATTAAGTCATTCCTAAGATCATCATGTTGGGGATGGCAACTGTTCTGATTTCTTAGGCTAGTGATCAAAACAAAGTGTACACCAAATGGCTTCTTTTGCTTGCTTTGAATTTTCAGTTTCTGATTTGCCAGAAAAAAAATTAAGAATAGTAACGCAATTGGCTTT